CCCCCCCCCAAGTAATTCATGAACACGAGGGCACAACAGCAAAGGCAAAAAGAGCAGAGACGGCCAGGCTTCCAGAAAAAGCCTGATGGAGGCCTAATGCAGTACTCTCATAGTCTTTGTTCTTCTTAGAGTCGGCAGTCGAGACGGGGACCCTGGAGGTCGAGGTAGCTGGTGGTTCACACCTGTATTGCAGATTGCAAAACCAGCCGGCTGGGCAGTAGCCGCTTCTACAGCAGAACGCACCCTGGGGCATGCATCCCGCAAGGCAGAGTGCCTGGTTGGCCAGGCATTGCCCGTTTTGCTGCTTGAGAAGGGGTGCCGAGGGCATCACGCCACTGAGATCGCGTTGGAGAAGAGTAGCTTCATGAGCTTCCATTTCATTCAAGGCAGCGGCAATGCCAGTGAGGAAAAGGACGAAGAATGATTGAACCAACATGGCGGCGAGTAAGAGAGAAGATGTAAGAAGTTCGAGGTTGGGTATGACAGGTCGTCAGCAATGACAGGACAGATAGCGTGAAGAGAGAACTTGTTCAGGGCCTGACAGACGAGAGCAGAGAATGGAATGGAAGAGAGGGTAATTGTAGAAAAATTTACGGGCTTAAGAAGTAGGAGGCATCGTAATAGCCACATGTTCCTCATATGTTCAGCCCGAAAAGAGCCAAGAAAGCCTTGCTAATCTATAGAACCTCATCCACCGTGCGTCTTGCGAGCTTGCAAAATTCTCGTAATATGAAAGCTAGGCCGCTGCATCACAAGCTGAAAAGGTGTTCCAAAATAGTTGAGACATGCCCTTGAATGCCTGACACTAGTGAAGGCTGAAACCCTTGCCGCCAGTCTCTCCCACAGCGTGACGCCTCACTCAGCTTATTCCATCTAAGACAATCAAATGAGCACAGCCATGCACCGTGAAGCTGGTGCAAACATTTCTTTTGGTAGTATATATGAGTTTGGAACAGGCATTAGTCTTTAAAAAGTCACACCCCCCATGGCCTGCAGGGGTGTCGGACATGACATTAAGGCTAGATTTTGGGGTGACCAGTCATTTGATTCTGTGAGCTAATATAAGCCGTATCTTTGTATTTTGGTGAACTCGAGATGAATTGGGAGCTCAGGCCTGAGCAGATCTATGGGGTGGGTAATTAATTTTGATCTCTAGCGGCATCAAGTTATTGAGGTGGCCTCAACAACTAAGCGTCTGCCAGCTTGTCAGACATTTCCATACACCGAGCCCTCGCTAGTTTCCACTAGATGAAATTTAAGCTAGGCATGATGTATATAGATATAGACGGGGCGCCTTAGGAGTGCCTTGGCGGCCGCGCTGCTCTGCTGAGCCTTCCAGATCTACCGGTACTAAATGATGATCGACTCGCACATTATCCAATCCCAACTATGAAGCAATTATAGCACGCCTAAGCTGAAAGCCTCAGACTCAATTTAGTTCGTCGTGCAAGACCATCGGTCATTGACCGCCAAAGCTAGAGCCCTCAAATTGTGCGAGCCAAGAGTTCCAGGGCCACACCCAACGCATACAACAATAGTCGAGGTATCACTTAGGCACTGAAGCGCTCATTCCCTGAAAATGGGGTAGGCTCGTCAAATGGACAGTCTTGAGCGTAGCCTCAGATCTAAAATTCAAGGATTGAGTTTGGTGAGACACCGACCATCACCCAGTGTTCAATTTTGATCCCACCCAAATCATTATTTTATTCTACAACCAAATCCTGCGGCAGGCAAACCTCCGCAATGCTCTCACTCCGTCCTCACAATTCCATTCTAGGCCCAATAGCTTGGCATTAGAATATTAATCATTTTGAAGGGTGGTCGCCGGTCTTTCGAGGCGAACCCTGTGTACTGAGGGTATTTTCACAAGAACTTAACAACACTGTTTTCCTTTGCCTAGACATTCAACCTAACTTGCCATCGTCAGCTTCATGCCAGGCACCTAGACGAAGGTTATCTCCGACCTCAAGTGATAGGTCAATATGTCACTTGGCATAAAGGAATGGGTCCGATCATAAAGGGGCACGTACCCAAGGTTGACACCGAGGAAGAGAAGGTTCCCTCCCATAAACAGTAACATTCAACAGGGCTCTGTTATACCATTGGGAATGCCAAGGGCAAGTCATAGGGCTCTTTTTTGAACAATAGTATCGTAAGCTGGGACAAAGACTTGGGAGGCTTATTAGACAAAATGGCAGCATTGATTGCTAATGAAGAAAATACAAAAATGTTTATTCACGCTCAAGTTAATAACAATAAACTAATCCAATACCAATTGGGATTCGCAGATGATCTGGTCGATATCCCCTTCTAACCTGCTCCCCCCTTCTTCAAATTATATACAGATGAAGTGTAGTTGTACATTCTTAATAGTCGGCAGAGCGCTTGTGGCCAGGGCGCTTAGTCTTGCCCATATCGCCGGTGCTGCCGGGGATAACGATGGGAACCTTGAGACCACCGCCGTTACGCTTGTGGTGAGGAGGGCGCTTGGTCTTGCCCATATCACCAGTGCTGCCGGGGATAACGATAGGGACCTTGAGGCCGCCGCCGTTGCGCTTGTGGTGGGCAGGGCGCTTGGTCTTGCCCATGTCGCCGGTACTGCCAGGAATAACGATAGGAACCTTGAGACCACCGCCGTTGCGCTTGTGGTGGGCAGGGCGCTTGGTCTTGCCCATATCACCAGTGCTGCCAGGAATAACAATAGGAACCTTAAGACCACCGCCGTTGCGCTTATGGTGGGCAGGGCGCTTCGTCTTGCCCATATCGCCGGTGCTGCCAGGGATGACGATAGGAACCTTAAGACCACCACCATTGCGCTTGTGGTGAGCAGGGCGCTTGGTCTTACCATAGTCACCAGTGCTGCCAGGGATGACGATAGGAACCTTGAGACCACCACCGTTGCGCTTGTGAGGGCGCTTGGTCTTACCCATATCGCCAGTGCTACCAGGAATAACGATAGGAACCTTAAGACCACCACCGTTGCGCTTGTGAGGACGCTTCGTCTTGCCCATATCGCCAGTGCTTCCGGGGATGACGATCGGAACCTTCAGACCACCACCGTTGCGCTTGTGAGGACGTTTGGTCTTGCCCATATCACCGGTGCTGCCGGGGATGATAATCGGAGGCTTGAGCCCACCACCGTTGCGTGCCTCCAAGATGAGGTCGGCGGTAGCATCGTTGGCCCCCATGGCAAGTCCCTGGCTGGCAAGTCCCAGCCATAGGTAGAGGGCGGCGCCAAATTTCTTGATGGCGACCATTTTGAATGAGCCGAAAAAAGACACAAGGAAATAAGAGAAGAAAAAGGAAAAGTAGAGAACGGAAGGCCGGCTTCTGTCAGATGATTGTTGAGTCTCTGTGTTGTTGATGTTTTGGGTTGTTGATGGAGTAAAAGGTAGAACTCTGGAGGCAGAAGTGAACAACTTTATACATTTCCGTCCGGTTTAATTCTGGCAACGCCCAACATCTTTGAGATCGAGAATGTGGTAAATTTAGAGGCGGATTCCACCCCCAGCTCTCTCAATGCCGGGATTGACAAGGCAACCTCAACGTAGGGCATCCTAGCTCCAGCGTATCTTGACCGATATCAGCAACCACCCTCTCGGTGACTGGGGGATCTGCCACGCGGCCTCTATTTTGGAGCAGCTTCCTGGCGTTCGCAATTAACGGGACACAATCCTGTGAGCACTAGTCAGGTTCTGAATCGTGGGTTCTCGGTCTCGTAGCCATTGTAGCCCCAATGGCGGCCGTCGAAAAGACGCGTAGTCGCCAAGCGTCAGTCGTCTCCAGTCGGCCCCGGGCCTCAGTGGTACCCGAACACAATATGAAATGCAAAATGAGGATTACCCTCATTGGCTAGGTCTCCGACATGGGATGCCAATGGTTGGAACTTGGGACCAACGAGTCGATAATGCTCCAGCTAATGCAGGGGTCAGACACCCTCATCGTTTCGAGCTAACGGCACTATACCAACCCAGGCCTTGTTACGGTGAACCTGGATGAGCTATGAGTAAGAAATGTTCCACAGATGGGCGTGTTGTGATTCCACAAGGGGGAGTGTTCTCCTGGCGGGTCGCACTACAGGAGGAATCGGCAGTTGGTCGCGTGTTTAGTCAGGCACTCACTTAATTTAACCCCGGAATGGATGTAACGGCATTTCGGTCCACTTGTCGGTATCTATTAATAAAACAGTAGGAACCGTACAACTTTACCGGCGACCAGACTTGTATCCCTGGTAGACGCAGCGCTATCACGAACTTTTAGCTTTTCTTAGCATTGGCAACATCTAGACGCGGCCCCTCACGGTTTCTAAAATAGCAATCATCCCATCGTAGTGGAATGGCCAGCCTGAGCGATGCGTGGGCGTGGGCAACATCGTAGCACTCAGCTGTTAGCCGGCAGTCCCGACTCGGCGCCGAATCCAGGCACAATGAAATGTATAGCAAGGATGCTGTTGGCAGCAGCTCTAGTCGGCGACTCTCTTTCACTTGCGGGATAGGACTGGTATTTTCTTAAAAATAGATCCAAACAGAATTCATTTGTGGTGGATAGAGGACGGACTCATTCAATGCCGAAGCTGCGAATCTCTCCACTACCGCTACCCTATACCATCCACCAAGTTGGCATCCTTTCAAGCCATCTACTAGTTTTCCGTAGATGAAAATTTCATTCACGATAAGTCTGTGACAAGCTCCTGTTGCTTATATTGTTTATTAAACATGTTGCATGCGATGGGTGTTGTAACAAATTAGTGGATGCAATATCTTCATCGACGCACGTATTGTTGAAGCTGTTCATTTGAGTTTTCGAACGTCAACCTGTGAGATCTTACCCCAAAAGGACTTTCACCCACCGGAAGGATTCTACAAGCAAATTTGACATGATGATTAGATTTCCAAATACTGTTTCTTGGTAGTTTGCACGCAGAATAAGGCCCTCTTGCGTGGTTGATTGATGCCCCGCATCGGTCTTTACCCAAACAAGACAATCGACGCGAGCAGGGTTCGCGTTAAAGTGAGTGGACTGGTTCTCCACCGGCAGATGGAGAAGTCATGATATTGGACAGGGAAACCCTTGCTGCCAGCTAGCGGTGGGCGGCCTCGGAGGGTTTCTCTTCATACTTGAGCTTCAGTTCACCCGTTGGATGGGTTGGCTAAGCTTTCAACGCACGTGAATCTTGTGTCGAACATGCGTGTCAACTGAACTGTTGTTTGAAATCATAATTATTCGATAATGGGAGTGCGTTCCATGTCGGTAGGATGCATCTTGAGGATGGCAATACATGCCGGTCGCCCGGGATTTGCCGTTGGCCGGTAGTTGGTAGCCGCTCTGTAGGATTCCCCCCATGCAACATGTTGGCAACCTGATAAGGCTCTACACCTATAGGTAGTATTACGTTGGATTTCTACTATGTACACTCGTTGGTTGTTAGTAGTAAAAATAGTGCAATGTTGGCCGCAGATAATAACTAACAAGACCTACCCATGCCCAATAACCAACACAGGTGGATCAACTCGGTCATGGAGGACATTAGGCAATGGAGCCCAAGTGTTAATTCTGCGTGCACATATTCCTGATTTGGACTCATGGCAGATGCTGCATTGCCTGGTTTAGAGTGGCTTGTGCTGCTCTTGCAAATGTGGATAGGACGGCACAAAGCCTCCGAATGGAACTTGGTCGCCGACTGCTGGGTCCGGCCTGGCTCGCGAAATGAGGAGGTGCATTTGCTTGCTTGGCATCCGGCCGCCTAGTTTCAACTCTATCGCGCTTTGGGCAGTGCTCGCCTCAATCCAGCCCAGTGCTTACTCCTCCTCCGGCACTTGTGCTATCCTTTGATCCAAGCTTGGGACTTGGCTGATTGTGTCAATGCTGGGGGGTCGGAATCGCAATATTTGGCAATGTAACCTAAGCGGAAGACCATAATTACGGCTCGGCGTTGATATTCACATCCTCATCGATGTGGTTTGACTCTTATCTGCCTACTGAATGCAGACCACCCTTGTCCCTATCTCGGAGCCGAAAGCAACATGAGGTGTTGTGGATGTTATGCCCAACGCTCCGGACTTCCGTTCTATCCGAAGAGTTTGGTTACGTGTGCTCCCGTCGCTCTTGGTCGCTCTCTTCTCTCTGCATGTTTCCCCTTTGGATTTGTGAGCCGCCAACTATGCAAATTGGCTACAGATGGACTACGGAATCGTTCTTTCTGCGTTCACGGCGAATAGCACTTTTCATCGCTCTCTATCCCGAAAACTCTTTGCCCAAAGGACCAACCCAAACAAATCTCTCTCCCAAGGAGGTATTCGCAGCATGCAACCGGCCGCAACTGAAGATCGCATTTTGTAACAGGATATCCCCATTTCTGCACTGGGGGATATGAGACATAAAATGTGTCCTCGTACGCCCAATAATTGATAGCGTTCGACACGAGACTCCGTAATCCGTTGACCGAGAAGCCGACCGAAACATTGTTATGCAATAGAACAAATGGCTGTCCTTTTTTGTAGCCTCCTCAGGCCTACCAACTGGAAGTGGCAGCAGAAAAAGAAAGAAAACAGCGAGCGAATTCCATCCTGTTGGGTTTGCTTTCGAAAACTCGAGACGCAAGAACGGTACCCGCGAAGGTTGCAAGGACGACCTGTCAAAACGTATCAGGGCAGCTGCATTCCTGCAAGTCGCAGAAGCTGATCGATCGAGATATGAAACAGGCAGTATTAGATTCCATGCTACAACCAGTTCTCCCTTTCGACCACGGTCCGGTGTGGGAGGATCGCACGGATGTCCCCATTCTTCATATGCTCTGGCTGGATCCTTCTATTATTCATACTTTGAAATCTTTCGAGAGCTGAGAGCTGACACTCAAAAAACTTAGTAGTAGCGGCGTTTACATGTTAGAAAGATGCAAAGCATTGCCGCAGCGGTAGTGGCCCTTGGAAATACTTCGAATAGCGAACTGCAATCTGGCCCTCGCAGCTTCATGACATCCATACCAAAGAGCATCAAGTTTGAAGCAGTTGGAAGAGCGAGTACCGAAATCTATTGTTCATTGATGATGTCTCCCCACCCCCTTTTATAGTGGCGAAACCATCTTCCCAGTTGAAAAATTCGGACGTTGTCGAATCAAAATGCGGAGTATAATACCGCGTGAAGCGTTCAATATAAGGTAAGTCTATACTGCATGATGGATTTTATGAGGGGGGTTAAGGTTACTTTTGCTGGGGGCGTCTCATGACCGACCTGTCCGAATCATTGCAACGGCCATTCCCATCTTTGCCATGAAGCTTTTCCCGCCAACGACCTTTTTCGATGTGTCGACTCTCTCCAAGTTATCCAGCAGATATGACTTCTCATCCTCGTTCATCGCCTCCACCGTCTGCACGATACACCCTGTTAAGCGAATCGATAGATAACCTAAAGAGGTTGCGTAGGGAATGAACTTCCACAGCTCCCTACAGACGTTTTGGTAATTCTCATAGTCTTTGCATATGTTGGTTTCATATAGCGCATTGATGTCGTAGACGATTTGTAGTATATTTGCCCGAAACGAGAGAAGTCCAGCCAGCCCCGTGGCGAACGCAACAGAGCTGAATTCGTATTTTATACCGGTAATGCATTCCGGGTCCAGGATCGCCTGCATTTTCCCGCCGTATAAAGCTGCTTGGATGGAATCGTCGATGATCTTTTCTATGGTGTGGTCGCATTTCTCGATTTGCTCAAGGACCTTGGCTTTGAGTTTTCTGTTTTCATGTGGCCTAGCTTGTATTGTCTTGACGATGTGCGTCCACTCGACCAGCTGGGTTAGGAAGCTACTGAATGTGACGGTGTGCTCTGAAAAGCCCTTGATCTCTTCCGAGGTTAGGTAGTCGTAGTGAGTTTCATCTGCATAGCCCTGCCAGGGGGACTGTGTGAATGAGCCGTCGCTACTGGCAGATACAGAGTCCTGCGCTCAAGAGTTAGCTGGTTCTGTACAAGCCAAGAGCGCAATTACATGGTATAAACAGGGGTGAGCTAACGAGAATATTTATTCCTTCCCGTGTTAATAGAGTATCGAATTTATCATCCGGTTTCGGCGGCGCCTTGTTCGCAAGTACCCATTTCATGGCTGAATAGTGCGAGGACATGTTCTCTAAAATCTCCTTGGTGCCGAAGGATATGGTGATCCGTTCCAACATCTGTATCGCAGCAAGCGTATCGGCAGTGCAAACCTCACTCCCAGTAATTTCGCGTTGAAGACTTCGGATAGTCTTCCCATATAAGTTTGTTGAAAATAAAGATTGAGGCGAGCGCCGATGGCGATACTCGTTCCACGCATAACAAAACAGAGAGGTCGTGTTGAGGAGGCACTCACTCTGCGATAGGCGTTGTGGGAGGTATAGAAGATAGCTCATTTGCAAGCAGAGCACCGTGTCATAACCCCAGATTAAGAAGTGGGCGAGCTGGCTTGCAACTCGATCCGCCCTAGTCATGAGATTGGCACGAGGGTTTTCTGGGAAGAACACGCCCTCAACAGCGTCTCCGTCACCATAGGTTGCCAGTCTGGTCCAGTTCTGCAATTTCCGCGGCCGGTGTTTTATTTGCCCGTCCGGCGGCTGAACCTCTGATGGCTGCGAGGCTGGCCCTTTTGCCCGGCGATGTGGCACGAAGATGAGTGTATTCGACGGACCTGGACATTTCCGTTGTGAACGTAAGCAGTTTCCGCATGTTGGCCACTTCTCATCGCACTACAAATGGTCAGATATGAGAGCAATTGTGACCTGGATCAGAGATCGGCACACCTTGATCTTCCTCGTCTTGCAGGGCTGGCAACCTGCTGATTTCGGCCCTCTGGGCATTTCTTTGTCCTGCGATGCACTAGTGACACGCAGTTCCTGTTGTTATCCGTTATGTTCAATCTTGCTTACCAGAGAAGCTGTCTGGAGCTCCATCCAAGATGGAACGAGGGGAGAGCAGGGGGCATCTGCCAAAGCGCGAACCCGTGCCATTGGTAGCGAATCCGATGACTAAGCCACCGGTTTCTCTCACTCCGTGGACCGATAGAAACTGAAAGGATCCTTGACCCATGTACATACGCGCGCACCATTTTGCATAACTTGTATGTGTGCAGTCTCACCTTCCGAAAGCAGGGGTAGCTTCTATTCGGCGAATACATTTCGGGCTCATCTGCCCTGTTCACGGATAGTTCACGGTCACAACATTCACACACCACACGCTTCGACTTTGAACGCTCCCACCTAACCAACAACCAAACTGAACTTGTCCACCATGGAGAGAATGCCAGTTGAACTCCTGCGAAATGTTCTGCAGGAGCTTGGCCCCTCTAGTCTCAAAAACGTGAGACTGGTGAGCAAGCGATGTGCGGAACTGGCCACCCCCATCTTGTTCAGCGTGATCAAGCTCGTCGGCAAAGGGCACATCTCCAATCGCATTGCTGACCCTCGGCGCTTACCAAAACGCTCCGTTGAGTTTGGAAAGCTGCATGAGGCGATTGCCGAAGTCCTGCCACTTGCCCGTAATGCAGCGGGGCTGGTGTTTGCCCCGGCAGTTTACCGAGAAGGTTCGATGAGAATGCTGACCGATGCGATTTTGACCAAAGCAACTGACACCCTTTTTAGGATTCTGGGACGACTATCGGACATACTTAAATCAGCAGATAGATGAACCCGTGGAAGAGGTTGAGATGGACTATTCTGAGGATGGAGATGAGGACGGAGGTGATGACGGAGGTGAGGACGAGGAAGATCGCTATGAGGCCCGAATTCAGCGCGTCATCGCCAGAAGAGCAGCCCGGCCTGAGGTTGAAAGGGACCAGATACAAGAAACCGAAGAGCACTGGAATCTAAAGAGACAGGAGCAAGAGGCAAACAGCGAGAAAGTTGAAGCTTCTCTACTGGAGCTCATCTCGTGCACAAACCTCAAAGAACTTGAAATCCAAGCATGGGAGTTTGCCGGCTTTGGAGCCGGCTTTGGAGGCCTCTGTTTCGAAAGGTAAGCCAACAGCCACGGCGATAGGGACTATGACTTACATGGAAGCAGCTTCGTTATCGATAGTTATCGAAAAGTCTCATCACCTACTGCTCATCATCTGCATCTCATTGCTCGCTGCCTTCACAAGTGCGGCCGCCATATTGAGAAGCTACACGTTCGTGCACTTAACCCAGAGATGATTCAGGATTCGCTCGCTATGCGTTTTGCGTTTGAAGGTCTTCGTCACATTAGGCTCAATCTATACCATGTGGACTCTCTTCTCGAGAATTCATCCTTTGACCACGCACTGCCTCACCTTCTCGAACATGCCGGTCCCACTCTGGAACGCATCGAATTGGTAGCCGGCAGCAGATGGCCTCGGCTTCCGAGCCGTGGTGTGCATTTATTGAGCAAGATCTTCTACCAGAAAGAGACCAGCAAGACCCTATCTTTCCCCAACCTCCGATCCTTTCGACTCGTCTCTTTGATCGTCAGCACCCCCTCCCTGTTGGAATTTATAACCGCTCAACCAAAGATCGCCAAGCTTGAGTTTAGCTACGTGTATCTGGCAACTTTAGGCATGGGGTGGGAGTCTCTGGCCAGCGCCCTTCCTGCCTCTGTAGAGATCTTGGAGGTATCTGGTAGTCTCGGCCACGAACCTATTGCAGGTTCTGATGATCCGATTGCATACAACTGGTGTGCTGATTGGAAATATTCCGAGAAGCAGTTGCTTACTGAAAGTGGTTGGAAGGGGGAGGCTGTGGACTCAATTCGAACTCAGTTCCGCAGGATCGAGAATTCCAGCAACGAAGAATGAGATTTAGGGCGGCTGGGCTATAGGTAACGCATGCACTGGGTGATGCAATTGAGCCATTTTGCTTTCACTTTCCATGGCTTTCTGTATCTTACCCATACTACTGATGAAATTTGTCTTGAAATAGTGGAGGCCTCAGCATCGATAGGTGCATTTTTAGTTATTCTTTCCTGATTAAAAAACGCTCTTCTTATTCAATCTAGACTAAATTCTAGGTGCTAGATATTAGCACTATGGTGGTTTCAATCGATTCAAGGTGGTGGTTTCAATCGATTCAAGGTCGCATCAAGTGCCAGTTGGATGCACGGATGAAAGCAAGCATTGGCAATGGCTGCTCTCTGTCAAGGAATTTCACACTATACAAACACTGCGCGGTCGACGAGAAATTTCCGCACTTGAAGAGAAACCCAACAAATTTTATTAAGAATCAAGGAAATAATTAGTGAGTGAGTGTATTCAGCCTGCCCCAACATTGATGTACCCAGCAGTGCCTATTGTGCTTGTTGTTCTGAAAGATGCCAGATTGGACCATTTCGCTCCTTGAACTTTTTGATGGCGGTAGCATAGTCATCCCCCACAAGGATGGGCTCAGACCGAATCATCCAACCATTGTGTTTCAAATATCGAGACTGCCAACGATTGAGTAGGCTGGGACGAAAGAGCGTATACTTGTTAGCCCGATAGGAGAGAATAACAGCGTTCTCCATTTTGGGCATGATTTCGTGCTCAAACTCTTTCGCATCAGAACCAAATATCGAGGCCAGGTTCAGTTCCGTCGTGGCAGTAGCCCGAACGCCGTAAGCCACCTTGATACCGGTGATCATGTAAAGCTCTGCCTGCTTCACTGATTGATCGGCTCAGAATTCAGGGATTGGCGGAGGTAACTGTCACGCCCAAAAAATTTAGGATTGAAATACCGTGTTTCCACCCTATCGCACACGACATTTAGTTGAGACGATGTAGAACAATCGAAACGGATCTCAGGGGTGTCATGACCGGCTGCATAACGAGTCGAGAACTCGAACGTTTGCAGGCCCCGAACGTGTGTGTACGCGTGGCCGGCTGGTATTTCGACTCGATGCGCCCCCCCATTGAGTGCCTTGAAAGGGTCGGCAAGAGACTCGAGAAAGGTACCCAGAACAAAGGGACCATCCGCGTTATTAGGGTTGCGCTTTTCATCGTCCAGGGGTATTTCGGCTGGTATGTCGAAATACCGAGGGACGAGGTCAGGAGAGCGAACACCAAACATGTTGTAGAGAGAGATGATTGTAATGAAGAGCAATCGAGGACTGAGAAGCGTGTAATGAGAAAGTGCTGGGTAGTTGGAAGACAGATCGAGGAGATAGAAGTGGTTGCGATGAAGAATAACATAAATTCCAGATAGCGGTCGGAGTTTGGGCTGTTAGATTAGAAGAGCACAAAATTGGCAAGGCCTCAAAAGACAATCCAAGATGTAGTAGAATACCTTGCATTGTGAGGAAAGACCTACACTTATTAGATACTACTGAACAAAGAGATTTTGATCGTCTTGTTAGTCTAGAAGTAAGCTAGTTGCTTGCCATGACTTGTTCCAAGACCGTTCATACTCACTCGGTGAGATCTAAGCAGGGATGTAACAGCCTCTCTTTAAGGGACTGAACTTGGATTCTTTGTGATTTATGAATGCAGAGTATTAATGCACAGTGGATGGCATCTTTAAACAATTCCGCTTTATCTAGGTTGGTTGAAACCAACACTCTCAGAAGTCAGACACTTCTTTGTTCAAGTGAGTAGGTTAGCAGATTAACTATTACGTGTCGCCACTAGCGAGCTGCCCCTTTAAGAGTTTGTTCTTTTACCTAGTAGATTGCATTGATGTCCCCTTAATCGAGGGTAGAGGAATGTACTTCGATAGGTAGCTAGGAGGAACATACTCACACGGGCTGTACTTCACTGGAGCCAATATACATAGAAACGATGATATTTTTACCTTTGATTCCAAACAGACGACTAAAGTTTGCTCCTGGGCTAGCTAATACAAATTTCTTTTCTTGTTATTCTTCTGACTTCCGAACGGTCATAGAAAATTAGTCAGAAAATCTCCCTTTCATCTTCCTTCCTTGTACACAGAGACCGATCTGTTTTCGTCATCTTGCCTGTAGTAGGTCGTTCATGCGAACTAAAAGATAATCAGCACCAGACCCTTAGCGTCCAAAGTGCTAAACATCTCATTACTTATCCAAGTTCGCAACACCGCCATTGGGATCGAAATACACCCTTCCTGGTGTAATAATCCAATCACCACCAGTGCCGAATTGTCCACCAGCACGACAAAGGCTGTACTTCCGAAGCCCATATCCAACAATAGCCTGTTTGTCTAGCTTGGGAACGAGGATATGCTTCACATCGGGACCCAAGTTTGATTTTAGATGAACTTCCGTCAAATGAGAAATCTCAAGGCCTTTGGCCACTTGAACACGATCAACCATATATAGTTCAGTCATTTCCTTGCCTTCAAGCCAACTTTTGACTGGTTCAGTACCAACGGCTCGTTCAAAGAATTCATCTGACCCATCGCTTTCGAGATAGTAAGTTGTGATTTTATCGGTTGTGGCTCTCATCTTGGGTCCGAAGTCACCATCGGAGGAGAATCCGGGCTCAACATGTCTATGAGCAAAGCTGTAAGCTTCCGTCGAAGGGCATCCAGTTGCAATATGTTGTCGTAAGCTTAGATATGGAAGACCATGCTGACCGGCATTTAGGGCATTGAAAGGAACCACCGGGAGAGCCAAAATACAGCCCAAGACAAGAGGGCTATCATGGCTGTCGACGTCATAGTCTGGAGACTGAACCGCAAGGTCGGCCTGCACGGGGCAGTGTTTGAGAGGGCCATCTTCCCCATTGTCAAAAGAAAGAAGCCTGCTGTCTTGGTTCATGATGGATTGTAACCGAGAATAATCTTGCGGTGAGGAATGCCAAAGGAGAATCGTCCAAGCCGGGGTGAAATCGAGGATATATGTAGATCTAGCTCTCTGAATTGAGAAATGCTAGACAAACCCGGCCATTTCACAAGTAAGGTGATTTATTCGAAGGGGAGAGGACCAAACAAGGCGCTCACAAAGCCAACAAAGATAGTAGAAGCATGTATCTTTCATTAGGGTGAGGAATTTGACGAGCTACCTGGAACTCTCGATAACAAACAATTGAGCAAAGCCCAGATCCACAGTGGGGAAAGAGATAACAAAGAACAAAGGTTCAATGTATATGGAAACTGAAATTTTATCCTCTGATTTGGGCAAGTCTTTGTATGATGGGGCTCAAAGGCTGGAGGTCAAAGTCGCAAATTGAAAGATTGTTCGTATGGGTGCGCCAACCGTGATCTCTGCGTCCGAAAGACCACATTTCATGTTTGGCATCCGAAGACCTCGCTAAACCCTGGATACTTTTATACTCGCCTCAATTTATTCTTTTTTATTAAACACGAACATTGCCAGATGGGGAACGCGTTTCTGCACTGCGGATGCTTCGATCGGATGTCACTGCCCTTGATGCACCATTTTCAACCGTCATGGCATCTTGTAAATCTAGACTTAGACTAGGTAGGCTGGTTGTCCGCGAAGCAGTTGATAACTTTCAAGATTCCAGAGCTTCTATCGAGTGAGTGATTGCCACCACCAACGCTTGTCTGTGACTGATTCTCCAGCTTTATGTGCTTTCTTATTCGCTAGTTTTCATTTCCGACAATGGTCTATATTCTAAGTTGACTGTATAATGCATAGTAATGAGTCTAAAGAGTTGAAAAAAGAAAGATAGCGATATACAGGTGGTGTTGAACAATCAAAATTGATATGATCGATATCGCAGTCATCGTGTTGCCATTCGATGTTGTGCTGAGGTAACCCGCAAGCCCTGTCTTCATCCACCAAATATGGGCGCTGGTGGATCAATCATACCGGCTCTCACTGCTTAGTGTTCTTTGAGCTGTGGATAATCTGTTCCATCGTTTCCTTTTGATTGGGACTTTGGTGGCCTGGCAGCTCAGCTTTGCGTCCAACGTTCGCCACGGCCGTGACTCAGCCCGGCCACTCCTTTGTGGAAATGTTAAAATAATAATCAGGCGAAGGCCAATCTTTCATCTCTTCCTAGATTGATGCCGTTTTATTTCCCGATTTCATCACGAACTGGCACATGATGGCGCAAAACACCTCTCTCTGCACTTTGCCGCCAGAGATCAGGATTTCCATCGCTGGCCACCTTGATGCGAAAAGTCTGCTGGCGCTCAGCCTGACGTGCACCCCGTTTCGCCGCCTGATCCAGTTGACTTCGGACCAGCGCCTTCAGACCCTGCTTCAACTCGAGCTCCTCGATCGATATGGCGGTAAAGTGAGAGTCTACGGAAACCGACCGGAAAATGGAGGAGAGCGTTTTGCGACGGCGCAGCAAATAGCGGATTGGGGACGGTTTCGATGGGCGTGCTCTGGATGCCTACGCGTGCTGCCTCATCTTGAGTTTGACAACCGACTCATCTTTGGGAGTGCGTACAAGAAGCCAGTACACACACGGCCGAGCGATCACGTCTGGTCCTGGGGCTCTCGCCCGGACGAGGTTGACATGCGATTGCTCGGTTCGGGGGAGAAGCGTCATTTGCGCCAGTGCAACGAGTGTCTGTTCCAGCGAGGCTCCTCACCTCTCCGCTACGTGGACGAATTCTGCCTGGGTTCTAAAGGGACCACGCCTCCAGCCCTGTCCCGTCGCGTCCCGGTTGCCAACAGCCGCCGAATACGTTGCGCATCTGCGTTCAACAGATTCTTTCCAGGGTTTCTCGACTTTCTTTCACGCAGTTTGGACGAATCGAAGGAGGTGCCTAGCAAACGGACCCTGCAGTACCTCGGATACCACTCACGGCTTTATCCTGTTCGCTCTTCTAAATGCTACCTACTTCGTTGTCCGTCATGCGAACGATGGAAGGAGTTGCGAACTTTTCCCGTCCCATGTAACGTCTCGTGTTGGAGCGCTGATACGGAATCGGCCAAAGAAAGGATGTTTGTTTCGCCCGATCGCGTCTTGCAGTTTGACGAGCACCACCCCATTAATTTTGGCTGCATGACGTGCTTAGTTGCTAAAGGAAATGACCGTGACTCTATTGCTGCGGTGGTGCTGGCCCTGTTTAAAAGCGAGATGGATCTTGCCATCAGGGCCGAGGAACAACGCTTGGAGGTTGGTTGGCGCGTGATGACACAATTCATCAAGTCCGATTGGCCCGAATCTGTCCGCCAGGAGCTGGAGATAGTCAAGGGAGTTCTGGACGAAAACATGCAGGGAATCACGAATCTGGATTTGCAGGAACTGGGAAACTCTCGAAGAAAGCTCAGGGATTTCATGGATGGGGTCTCCAGAGACCCTTCATTTCGGCGCGATTGCTGTTCGCAGAGTTGCCCACGGTCGACAGTGGCGGCATTTGTGAGGCACTACGATGCCATGGTCGCAGAAATAAATTGGCTGCATGAAGCAAGGGCGGCTGTAGAAGCGATGCCGGAGCTTTTGATCAACTGGGCGTTGAATCCGCAGAACATGGACAAACCGCCATGGGACCAACCTGACCTTCCGGTGCGGAATTTTAGCACTGATGAAAATTGAGTACATGGTAAAGATCTCAAGTTGGAATGTAATCCAACCAACTCATTAGGATGTAGAATGGCTTATTCTTGATAGTACAGATGGAATCTCATACCATCTTGATGGAAGCATGCTCATGTCAGATACCTGAAGTTGTTAGTCCAACACCCGCGAACAAGTGAGCCGGATCAAAGTAGGTATGGTTAAATATAAATGAGAAATTTTCGGTTTATCTTGACTCTTAGAATATATAATTGTCGTGTGCCTTGCTGTTTGTTTCATTGCGCCTATCCTAATACCCTCGACTACTTGCTCTGCGCTGTGTCGTAAATATTCTGATGCCTTCCCCCTCGGCCGAGAAAGGGAAGAACATATAGTGTAGATGCAACTCTAATGCTATCGCCCATACGCGAGCCTTTCACTGTCCCAGACATCTGCGTTCAATATTATGTCTGGCTTGGAGTTTGGATTTTCTTTGGCCATAGAGCAAATAAGAGACCAGTCGACAGTATTCACATCAGCTTTAACCCATGAAACCTGGGACCCGGGGCATAGAAGTTCCAGTTTGGTGACCAAATTCTCCAATTTGTCTGCCAAAACGCTCAGTTGTTCGATATCTTTGCTTGGCCTTTGAACTAGCCTGCCCATCCGCCAGATAAAGTCCTTCAAACTGAACCTTTCTACTAGCGGTAGCTCTTCTTTGATTGATATGAATCCTGACGGCCCCGAGAGATGCAAATGAACGATGCTCTCGAGAATATCTTTCACCTGAGTGTGCATATTATCGTCCTGCAGTAGAGGATGGAACTCGCTCAAGGTGGGAAAATCTGGCATGAGAGGGAACCCATTGGCGCGGCCCCATGTGTAGAGGCGACTGTTCTGCCTAACAAGCTTATTCCTCACGACGTGGTGCTTTTTCCCAAAGCGTTTCGTGTCTTGATGCTGGCTCAAGTATTTGCATGCGAGCTCATACGGTGCCTGCAAGGTCTCGGGAGAGGCGACCATCGGTGCGGTTTTGGCAGACAAGAGATGTATTCGCTAAATTGATAGATCTTCGGGATATTATTGATGTATTAATTTGCAAAACGGAATGGAGGTGATGGGAAACACTATTTGAGTGAGCTTACGCTGAAAGGGTTGAGGGTGAGCTGACTGGCACCCCGCACAATTGCTGACGGACCGAGTATGCCTTGCGTTAACCAGCCAATCAAGCATGCATAATGACCGCGTCAGTCATATTCTGCATTGTCGGTTACGGTCGGTACACAAGGTTACTGTTCTCTAAATACCGCTTTGAAAGGCGTGATTGGCCTGTTCTTGAAGACTAGCATTTCGACGCTGCTGAGATAAAGCATGGCACACCAAAGCTCTTTTTCATGCAAGCTAGAAACCTCGTTCGCTTATTAACAATATTTCCAATAATAATAGTGAAATAATAAATTATTCTATACTATTCAGCTTGATATTGTATTGATAACTGGGTTATTGTTTTGATATTGTGTCGAAATCTAAGGCTGTATGGAGGCTTTGAAAAAGATAAATATCTTCAACTAGAAGCCATCTCAATTTCCGCCTTGCCAACCTCTTTCCCATCATGGTGAACTGAGAATATAAGGTGACCGGAATTGTCATCAAGTCGGGTGCGCAGGGTGAAGTGGATATTGTACCAGGTTTTCCCATCTTCAACAAGACTTTCTATTTTATCAAGATCTAAAAGATCTAGCGGTACTGAATATCCGACTCTTCCAACTTCTTCGATCCCTTCTCAAAATTAGACTAATTCACATGGCATGGAGGATGGATCCCGTCACTCACTGTCGTTCTCGATGGTCGGTGGACCGTCATCCAAGCTACAAGAATATAGAATCATCCGTCCATGGAAGACTGAACACTCGGACACCTGGAAATATATGTGGCCTTCGATTTCAGTTGAAGAATGGATGGTTGCACCCTATGAACGTTGTCAGCGATTGTTGCATGCTTGGCCGGAGGGACTGTCCGGAGGGGCTGTCCGGAGGAGCTGTCCGGACCTTGCCTATACTCCAGTTCATGAATCCAGACAGGTAGTCCGCCCTGTTGAACTTGCTGTAATAAGTAAAGCGTTTCGCTTTGTCGTATCCTGCATGAAGAGTCGGATAGTACCGTTGGCCAATTGAGTAGCCATAGTGACGCCGACATTTTTTCTCCTTGACGATTGAACCCTCAAGCCCTCGGAGAACCGCGCCACGAACGATGGCAGACCATCTAGAGACATCAGTACATGTACGTTAGGAGATTAACACATTGTCAACAAACCCGCCAGTCCAAGGCAATGTCAGCCGAATTTTTCGCTGTTTGCACCAATCCTCTAATCTTTCATTGAGATAAGGTGAGGATCCAAAGCCACCCACTAGGATGATGGTGCTGATGGAAGATCCTTCCCGCCGCTCCACTTCAGAAACTTGATCTTGAACCAACTGTTCAATTTTCTCGATGACAGGATCAAACAAGATCCTGAAGTCTTCCGGCCTGAGTAAAACAGAAGATGAACGCTTCTCGTAGTACTTTTGAATTTCCGGAGTGAGTTGCAACGACGGCATTGGAAGAACCAGACGATGAGGTCGTTTGCTAGGATTCTTCATACTGAAATCCTTCTTCTTGAGCTCAAATTGATCCATAAACGAACTTGCTGGGCCAATCTGGTCGGCCCCAAGTGACGTGAAAGCCTCGCCAAATCGTTCAACCATGAGCTTGAAGAAATTCCTATCCACGAATGTACCACCACACTTTCCGGCTAAAATCACAAGTGTCACTGATGTTGCTTCTCTTGATTAATGGAACTGAATCTTACTTACCTGCCCCAACGGCTACCTCTCGTAGTTTAAGGGTAGGGTGCGTTCTTTGGATCTCGTATGAAGTGATGTCCTTGCCATGCGTCAGAATTTTGCCATTCAGCGGATATCGGCCAGACAAACCACAGTGCCACCGCCGCAGTCGCAAACCATCACATTCGTTCCTGTCTGAGCATTTTGTAAGAAAAATGAATTCACAATGAGATTGTAGTGTTTACCTCGACGAAGTTGGCCAAAGTATGCAGGCCAGATTTGAGCGCCGCATGCGCTGCTGCCTCTGGTTCTGGGATAAGCATGATCTTGTCACTCTCCTTGGAAGCAAACCCGGCATCGAGAGCGGCAGATCTAGTGAGAAGCTTGGCTTTCTCGCTCCATGTCGCAGGCACAGTAAGCCAGTAGTCAATTGGCATGTCATTGAAACCGTCTTCACCCAACATCTCAAGAGCAGCCTTTTCAAACATGTCATACATTCCTTTCAAAAATCGCGTGGCGACGGTGAGCGCTGACTTGCCGGTGGGGAGCATGAATTCGTCTCCTCTGGAAATAGAGGCAGCCAGTTCTGGATCATCATATTCTGACTGGAGCGTGTCTTTGTCCAGAAGGAGCTTCGTCAAGGCGTATGCCTTCATGTCTGGTTCAATCTGATAACCCCACGCGTCCTCGTCAAGGTCCTCATTTTCGCATGCAAAGGCGACTCGCGTTGGGGCTTTCACGGCCATCTCAGCATGATGAGATGAGGCACCAGGATACTTTGTCCAAGGCTTGATATCCTTAAAATCAGAGGCATTGGATAGGGCAAAACTGAGTCCTTAAGCTTGGGTTTTAGCCTTCTATCCAACTTTTTTTTTTATATAGACTTACCCGAATACGTAGTGCCATAATCGATCCCGACTATCAATTTCTTTTTGTTTCTGAAAGCCATGGCTGTAGGAGGTTTATTTACCAACGGTAGAGAAAGACTTAGCAAGAGAGCACTAATGGAAATAATTCATGCAAGGTCAAGACGAGAACTGAGTGGTTTGAGGAATAAAGAAAAGAAGACATAACAGATAAGTCCCTCTGCTCGTGGATTCTAACGTATCAAATACTGCCAGATAATAGTGCAGATGAGGGAGCCTGATCTCATGTACTCTGCATCTGGCTGAGACGAAGGATGCAGGAGGCCAGCTGGCAGGGGGTAGCAGGCGGGTCAAGGCCCGGCGGCAAAGCAGGTCTCTGGCAGGTCTGGTTGCCCCCAATGGCTGTGCTTATGTCCATATCGCTCTTATTCAATCAATACCAATCAACTTGCATGTACATGGGATGGTCTGGACAGGCTTCGAAGTTAAGGCGCGGCTGATGGGATAAGCCGAGAGCCCCCGAGATGTTGTATCATCCATCGAGGCTGGGGTTGGCTGACTTACGCGCCCGTGGCAACTGTACGTTGGCTGCATCAAGACCAGACCAGGCCACCTTAATGTTTCAATTTATGCATGCATTTAGTCAATTTAAGGTAACATTCGTATCCAAAACGAAAAAAAAAAAGAGCTAACCAACAGTGGGACGGACAGACGGCCGCTTACTGGCCCATAGTTTCATCCCCGTCCACACGGCTCGAGATCCAGGCCAAAGCCTTCAGCCATGTAACCTCTACCTTCACATCGCCAGATCTCGCCAATGGTTGTGAAATAATACCAGGTCTCATCAGAAGAGCAATAGGCCGCCCTTCTGTCTGCGAGCCTAGAGTAGCAAGCGCCTGGGCGTCTGCATCCATTGAGGGAGACTTCCAGCGAAACGGAATGTTCGCGAAGCTGTTAATGTAGTGCACGTTAATATTACCTCTCCTCTTCCAAAGTCGCAGAGACAAGGTTGCAAAGCTCAAGATTATCTTGGCCAGATCACCCTTCGCATCCTTATCGTCCCAATATAGTTCATCGATCAAAAACTGGAAGTTATTCAAAAAGACTGTTGCGGAATTTTCCGCTGCCTTTGTTGTCATGGGTGTAGATTTCTCTAAGGTTTGCAATGTATTGATTCGCCAGTCTATGGCAGCATCAGGTTGCACTAACTTCTGATCAGTCTCGGTTCTTACAAATTGTCTTGGAGTAAGTTATACCTTTGGCCAACGTCGACTCAATTGCATCGAGGGCCGGACTGCCTGCAACTTGGCTCTCCCTGTGCAGCCTAGGGTTCATATCCACGAGAAAGTATGGGGATTTCAAGAACTCGCGACAAAGAAAGCTGGAAAGCGCTGCTTGTAGCAGAGGTAATGACGCCTCACCATCACCTAATCTTAAATCCAGTTTCAGAAATTCGGGAGACTGAAGGTAAGTCTTGGTAGTGTTTAGGATATTCATCGAATGGAGATGAATTGCAACTTGATCTGGATCCTTCAACTCTGGAGCGCAAAGATCCGAGCACCAAGAAAAGAAATCCCCCTGAAAAAAGACTCTCAGCGCTTCTCGTACCTTGTCGTCCGGTAATTCGTTTGAGACGTCAGAGGCGAGATCGGATATCTGTTTGGTGCGAATATCTGTGACCACCGCTTCCTGTTGCTGTATCTCCTTCTTGGCCACTTCTAGCTGGGCCATTGTTGTCTTTAATTGGGCCTCAAAATGAGAGCGCTCCTGCCAAACTGTCTGGCATTGCTTTGTCCAATTTTCATTCAGTTCTTGTGTTTGGTGCTGGTGCATTTTGCCCTGTTTCTGGAGGCGCGCCTTGACCTCATCCAACTGTTTGTCCTTGGAACGGAGCTCATCTTCCAATTTAGCGATGCTTTTTTCGAGATCGTTGTTGGGCTCTTCCGTCCGGTCAGAGAAGAACGGGGCTGTAAATTCTGTAATGGTATGCAAAATCCCCCCCTTTGGTTTTGTTGCGCGATGATTCCGTGAAAAGTTCCGGGAATTTGTTTCCTGGAGATCTTCAGGTGTATCGATACGCTGAAAGTCCTGATGAGCGTCTTCGGAAGAGTCAATCGATACCCCGACCTCGGGATCGGCGTTAGCTTTGGATAGCCCTTCGTCCTGAGTTTTGGCCCTTTCCGCACGGGTTATATGATTTGCACCTCTCTCATCATTTTCCCGTTGAGGAGTGAAAGTAGAAGCTTTCTAAGTTAAGTGATAGGTAAGCTGCTGAAATAATGCGAAAGCTCCATCTTAACCCAAACCTTATATCTTTCTTCTCTAGATGGGCCTTGGTTACCGGGCGATTTAGGGTCTCTATCTCTTTGCTTTGAGTGATGGCCATGAGATAGCTCGAATCTTAGTTAGTCCACTATTCTCGAATTTTACCTTGCTAGAGCCAAAAACTTACCGGTTTGCTCTTATAGCCAGCTGACACTGCTTCTTTCATGATGAGGGATGTTGGTAATCCTGCTTTGCGGCACTATAAAAATAGTGTTTCGAGGAGGACAACTTGTTACAACAGGGCAGTAAGGACTCGAGAGGATTGAAGTGAATCAACAAGAGAAGAGAGATGCTTTCGTGGGCCATGAGTCTACCCCATTCTCATAAGGCTTCTGGAATGGGCCGCGCTTGAAACAATTTCCTTTACGCGCGCGCTCCTGCATCTTGCAGTAGGATGACTGCAGGAGGCGCGTACTGTTACATTTAGAGCCAATAGATTCAAACGAAATGTGGAGGAAATTCACATGATTAGCCGCCCAACCCCTGCTGGCTGGCCTCCTGCATATTTCGTCTCAGCCAGGTGCAGAGTGCATGTTAGGCTCCCTCACCTGCACAATCGCCTAGCAGTATTTGATACGTTGTAAATCATAAGCAGAGGGACTTACATGTTATCTTTTCTTTTCCTCAAAGCCACTAACTTCCATTCATCTTGACTCTACATGTACGATTTCTGTTAATGCTCTTTCGCTAAATCTCTGCCATTGGTCAATCAGCCTTTGAGATTTTTTTTTTCTTTTTACAGTTGTCTTCGGCAGGGATGCAGAGAAGTGATCGTTGCTACTGAAGAGCTTGAGACATACTTCGCTCAAGATCGTGTCAGAGATGATTATGTAGGCCAATGACCAACAATACGGAATATAGCTAACCTCTTAAGCCAATTGGTCAAAATCAGGTATATCATTCCGGATCACTGTGATATATTGAGAAGATCTTGTGGCAGTTCTTTCGACGGAGTTGAGGTGACCTCCTGGTTGGAGCTGAAACTATCTTCATAGAAGGATGTACTAAGCATGTGAACTTGAAAGCGCATCTGCCCGGCAGGCGGGTATTCTGTGTATTCTTGTGTGTATTCTGTGTGTTCGTGCGTGTATTCTGTGTGTTCGTGCGTGTATTCTGTGTGTTCGTGCGTGTATTCTGTGTGTTCGTGCGTGTGCATGCATGTCTCGGTGTCTCGGATAAAAGCACTCTGCCATTCGTCAAATCAAGCCACACATCCCTCCTGAGATCCATATACAATACTCCCTCAGTATACGTTGCTATTCCACCCTATCAGCGCCGCCGGGACTCAGTCTTGCATAGAAGGGAAGATGATCTGCATTGATGCTAGGCCGGATCCAACTTGAGGTGCTTCTGGAAAAACGCCTCGTATGCAGGAGGCCCTCCCCCCTTTATCAAATGAGGGCCTACAAACTCTAAATCTAGGGTCTGGAGGCTTCTTTGCATGCTTTTTGCTCCTCGTTTTTTCGCTTCTTCACTCACCGACATTGAGAAGATGCGGTTTTGTCATTAATGACAGCATTTCACTTCCCTATGATAGGCTAGGCGTATGATGTTATATGTGTTGCGTAGTCCGTAGGCTTTTTGGCTTTTTCGTCATGTTGCCTTGGAGGCCAAGAATGGTCAAATAAAGTGTAAGAATTCACATCTCACTCATTACTATAAAATGGACAGCAGCCCAAGGCAACTGTCAAAATCTTTCGTTCATGGCGAGCAACTTCAATCGAGCAAAACATACATTGATTCACATCATTTACATTGTACAAGATTCCAAGACACACTTCGCAATGAACATCAAGCCAGAGTCCCTTAGCCTCGTTGACTCTTCTCTCCTGGAGAAGATCGATGCCCTCTTCGCATGCAACCTCGGCCACGACGTTGACCTCCCACAGCTCATTGTGGTCGGCCAGCAGTCCAGCGGCAAGAGCTCGGTCCTGGAGGGGCTCACCGGCCTCCCTTTCCCAAGGGACAGCAGCCTCTGCACTCGGTTTGCCACTCAGATAATCTTCCGGCGTGCCCCGAGAAAGAGCATCTCGGCCCGCATCATACCATCCAAAGATAGTTGCTCTGAACATCAGAAGAAGATGAAGCAATGGCGGAAGGACGAGTTAACGGAGCTTGATGCAGACTCGTTTGCCGGGATTATGCGCGAGGTAAATATACTTTTCTTGACAGGACCAATAGAGATACTGTTGGCTAAATATGGTGAAATGTAGGTTATTGACTTGATGGGTGTTGGTCCCAATCAAGAACCAGGATCGCCTGCTTTTTCCAGAGACGTTCTGGTCCTGGAGATCGCGGATCCTACCCAGGAGCATTTCAGCGTCATCGACGTCCCAGGCACCTTCAAGAGAACCACGCAGGGCCTGACCACCAAGGATGACATCGCTCTTGTCGATAACATGGTCAAAGGATACATGACCAACCCTCGGTCCGTGATGCTCACGGTCGTGCCCTGCAACGCCGACATCGCCACTCAAGAGATCGTCGAACAGGCTGAGGATCTTGACCCTTCCGGAGACAGAACTCTCGGTGTGCTGACCAAGCCCGATCTTGTCGACAAGGGTGCCGAAAACGATATCATTGAACTGATTGAGGGTAAGCGGCATAAGCTGAAGCTCGGCTGGCACCTGTTGCGCAATCCCGGCCAAGCAGAGCTGGTAAGCCAGAGTAAATCGCGGAACGAACTTGAAGGGGCGTTCTTTAGGAATGTCGCGCCGTGGAATAACCTTGATGGCGAGGTCGTTGGCGTCAAGTCGCTCAGGGATCGGCTTCAAGGAATCCTGGCCTCCCACATTCGAAGAGAATTCCCAAAGGTGAGATCTGACAGCCCCCAGGGCTTGGAAATCAAGCATCTAATGCTAACCCATTGGATGATATAATTTCGATAGGTCAAGTCTGATATCCAAAGCAAGCTGAGGGCGGCTGAAAAGAAACTGAAAGGGTTCGGGCCCGCAAGGCAAGGCCCAATCCAGCAGAGACAATACCTGATGAAGATCGCCGGGGAGTTTCAGGACATCGTCTCATCTGCCATTGGAGCTCAGTACTCTTCTTCTCCTGATTTCTTTGATAAACATCGCATTCATCGGGTAGCGACGAGAGCTAGGCAGCGAGCCGAGGAATTCGCCAAGCTGATGACTGAGTCTGGCCATAAATTTGATTTTGAAGAAACTGGTGATAAAGCAGATGAGGCTAAGGAGGGTCTCTTGAAGGTGGAGCTGGCCGTGACCACCCGGAGCATTGTCGAAAGTGATGATATCGAAGACATCCTTTCCCCATATGACGACGTCGAAGAGCCCTATGACGAGGGCATTCTTGATTGGCTGACGGAGGTGTACAAGAGCTCTGTTGGGTTTGAGCTTGGGACTTTCAGCTCAAGCCTTCTGCGTACAACAATGCAGAAGCAGTCCCAGAAGTGGAAGGATATCGCCAAAGGATATATCAGCGATATCATCGCGATTGCTCACCAATTCGTCTCGTCCTTGCTCCAGCATATCATCACAGACTCACACGTTCTTGATGCACTGAGCTCTCGGCTGTCAGACCACCTCAGGGGGAAGTATTTGGAGGCTTTGGAGAAGACAGACTCTCTTTTGCGTGTCGAGCTTGAGGGTACGCCGGCGACACATAATTCCGTTTTTACAGAGACACTTTATCAATGGTGTGTTTTGTCTCGAGGATATGATCCAAGGAGAAATCGAAAGCTAACTGTTAGGTTCATGAGCACAGCCGGCAACAACGCCAGAAGGCGTTGCTGAAAGAGAAAATGATTACATCAGGGAAGTACGGAGAGGTGATTCGACTCGAGGATCTGGTTTCCCAACACCCCCTTCAGAACGGGGAGCAGATGATCCAGAAGATCCACGACATTCTCAAGTCGTACTACCTGCTCTCTCGTAAGAGGTTCATTGATAATGTTCGTATGCAGGTGGCGGACGATCTTCTGGTTACGGGACCAAATACCCCTTTGAAGATTTTCTCGTCGGAATTCGTCTCGGGGATGACGGATGAGGAACTTGATGATGTGGCGGGCGAGGACCCCAATGTCAAATCTAATAGAGAGGCAGCCCAGGAAAAGATCAACTTGCTTAAGAAAGCACAGAAGATTCTCCGTTGAAATGGGGACACGGGCCGCCGGCACGAGATCTGCCTCTGAGGGTTAAGAATAGAAAATGTCGTCTTAGTCTAAGCAATTATCAGCAAACATATTGGGGCCATGTGCAATATAGCGACGTTGATACGTAGTGACCTATGTTCCTCAAAAACGATTCTAGCCCATTTCAATGTTTCTTTTTCATGATTGAGCAGTTATGAGGTCTGAAATTGAGAGGGGGCTATGGGATAACATTGATTTTTAGCTATAGTGAAGCCCAACAACACAACCAAGACGAGGGTGGCAAAATTAAGATACGAACAGAATGCTGAGAGGTATTAATAGCAGGATAAAAATTCAGAGTCCCAAAGAAAGAGCAAACAAACGAAAGAAAGAAAAGTCATTCCGGATCTGCCGACGACGACGCCGCGCGCTTAGCGCTACGCGCAGCCTCGACCATCTCCCCTATAAGCTTCTTCATGCGGAAGCCCTCAATGATCGTCAGCCGCATCGCCTCGCTCACGAAATCAAACGGGGCCCCGTTCTTGATCTTCATGCGGCTCGTCCTGACCTCCTCCTCGGTGACCCAGGCGTACTCAGAGTGCTCCTCCGGTCGAAGCTCGACCTCATTCCACTCGGTCCCCGGCTCGGCCATGACGAGGAAGGTGACTACGGCCCACGTCTTCCCGGCGGACGGGACCAGGCAGACGCTGAGCTCCGGGTCCATCCTGGCATCGCGGCCCTCTTCGTCGATCCATACGCTGGCGTTGCTGGCGATTCCTATGGGGATTGGGCAGATGATGCACTGGGCGCGCAGGCCCGTCTCCTCCCACAGCTCGCGCACGGCGGTGGAGATGATGGTGGGGTCCAGCTCAGGGTCTGCGGTGCCGGCTGGGACCTCCCACTTCAGCGGATAAGAGTCAGAGGCAGACCGGCGGAGGAGAAGCGTCTCGTAGACCCAGTGGTCGCGCACGCTGGCGAGGGTCGGGCGGAAGACCATGCAACCGGCGAGCACGTTGTGGATGTCAGGGCGCGAGGCTAGGAAGTCGGAGGGAGAGACCGACAAGGCCTCAGTGCCGGGCTGGAGGATGACCGTGCAATGAGGAGGGCCATCGTGGGCGTTGCTGGAGTTCACCTCGAGCCTCGAGGAAGTTGGAGCTACTGCTGTGGTCATCTTTTCATTTCAGTACAGATTAAAGATGGATGATGGTGGAGAAAAAAGAGAGACAGGACAGAAGAGAAGATGAGGAAGGAAATATGGTACGGAAGAGGGACGCTGGCGATGGCGAGGAGGCAAGCGCGACCCCGACTCAAGGGCGAGCGAAGGGTGCGTCGGTGGTGCGAAGCTGTGAGACGCAATCACAGCAATGCATCACTTGGCGAACGCTCGCACAGTGGCAAGGGTTGGTAAATCGGGGGACGCGGCTCGTGATCCGATGCTAACGAGACGGGAGGATCGGATTGAGTGGCGCCACGATGCAAGAGCGAAGATGCAGATGCCAGGCAGACAGATGGAAAGCGGCCAACTGGTGGTGGTTTGTTGGCGGTTTCAATTTGGACCGTGAGGCAGACTTCCACCATTACTGACTGGCAGCTGTCGCCTGTGACTTCATGCGTGGGGGCGCTTGACAGGCGCCTCAGCGGGTGATTTACAGGGGACCCGCTGCTGCAGTGTTCCAAAATAGGCCCAGACACCACCAACAGCCGCTGTAGGAAGCGATCCCCATTGGCGATCTGGCCAATCCTTCGTCTCTTGAGATAAAAATACCACGGCAGAGGAGCAGTCTCATTTGCCTCCCAGCAGGGGAAAATGATGCGAGGTAAATGCGTTACTATCTAAAGCAAACATCTAGGGTCTAGACAGCGATTCATACATTATCCATTCCTCCCGCGCAGCAGGTCAGTGCTTCATTAATCAAAATGTCTCTACCAGCATGCCAGCCAACCCGGATGGTCCGCCAGCGAGGCTCTCTATATGCTCCTGTTCTCCCATGCTCAAACCACAATCACGGCCTGGTGCCCAAACCATGGTCACAACCTGGAGACTGATGCGCCCTTGAGGGGACGCATGATACTCTGCTGCGTCATGGACGCCACAAGAGCGCCCGACTCGTCGTACAATCTCCCCTCCGAATAGGTGCGCCCGTTGCCCCCGCGCGAGGTAATCCTCTCCCTCAGGTGCCACTTGTCTATCTTGACCTCCGTGACGAAGATGCGGAGCGCAAAGTCCAGCGACGAGCAGGCGCTCGCGTCCTCGAACCCCATGTGGTTGTGCGAGAGCGGGAGGAACGACAGCCCCCCATCCATGAGGAACGAGAGCACGGCCGCGTTCTGCGCCGGCGTGGTGACGGGGACGTGTGATCGCTGCCACTCGGCGGACTTCTTGGAGGTGATGGGCAGGCTGTCCTGTGTTGTGACGTTGCCCTTGGCCGCGCCGAACAGGTTCTGGGCCGAGACCCCGTTGACGCAGAGCCTTGACTCGAAGAAGCTGTTCCCTACTCCAAAGGATTGCTTGAATCCCCTGGCTTCGTCATCCGTCACGAGTCCCTTCTTCCTCAACGCCTCCGCATAGTCCATATAGCTGGGGCAGTCCTCCGGCTTCGGATAGGTCCCAGCGGGCGGCGCGGAATACTCCAGCAGCGACGGCTCGCTAACGTGGAAGTCGGCGGTCAGCTCCATGCACGGGCGAAAGCTGCCGTCGGCCTGCTTCTGGTTGACCTGGACGCGGCGCGTTGCGAATGATCTGGTGGTCCGTACTTCCTGGACGGTGCAGTACAGCTTCTGTTCCGTGGACGCAGGCCCCAGGAAGTGACCGAGCACAGAGTAGAGCGCATATTCCGTGGGCACTGTTGCGCACGCCGAGCTCACGGCAACTGAAATGGTGCTTCCTCCATAGGCGATGGGTTGCGCGTTGCCCATTCTAATTGGCAGGGACTTTGAAATAAACTCGTTGGCCTGCAGCTGCTCGACCGCGACCTGCTCGATGATGGTGTGAGCCATCTTGTTTAAAGAGGGGGAAATGGTCGTAATGCTGGTCTTCCCGTCGCAACCAAAGGTGAGGTAGACGGCTGACCGTGTTAAATGGAGGCCAATCCAGGCCCCTTATCTAGATCCTGGGGAAATCCTCCCAGTGGGTCGACCTCGGCCCAAGAAGCTGCACCATCCCGCCTTCGTAAACGGATCAATCATCTGCATCGCCCTGCCGAGGAGTCAATCGGGTGGATTTGGTAATGACACCGACTCTATCTGGCTAAGGCGCCGCGCCCCTATGACTGCTTCAATCAACAATATTGATTATAATAATTGTCAACTTATGACTTTTAGGGTATTTTTCAAAGCTTACTGTTGGGACTTCGCCGGCCATTGCCTTAGGTACTGGAAGTTGCCTACCCTATACCTGATCTCGGTTAGACAAGAAAGGGTGAGCGTAGCTATGGGAAATCTCAGAGTCCAATGATATTGGCCATTCGATGATCACTTTTATGAGAGAAATCGTACTTGAACACAAGTTCTTTTGCGATACGGTCCAGTTCCCAGCCTTGTCATGCACTTCTCCTTATGAAACTTACACCCCTTCCTAATCTAATTCTGGCCGGAATTTTAAGGCAAACAGGGATGATGAGATTCAAGACGAAGAACAAAGAAGCTAAAACACACCATTGGGCGTATACATGGACAAGGATGACAGGGATAACACGTTTTTGCGCATCGGAGAATTCGTTAAGATATGCAAAATACTGCTGTAACTGCCGGGGAGAGCTTGATCCATCATCGAGATCTTGATCAATCCGCGGATGCACAAAGTGTGGGGCCATTAGGCTGATAAGGCCGATTTCCAGGGCTTAGTCCCACTGTCTTCAAACTCACTGACGGCATGTTTCTTCCTTTTCAGCAACCACCCTTTGTTTCGCCGATCAGCGCGGCAGAGAAAAGCCCAAAGCTGATCTAAAAGAATCGCTCAGAATCAAAGGTTAACGAACTTCAGGTGCGGAGAGATGGTGGGTGTCCCGGGGAAGTCCAAGGGATGCGAAACCTGCCGCAATCGCAGGGTCAAGGTAGGATCAACCCAGTCGCGTCTGACCGACGATTACTCACACACCAGCAATCACAGTGTGATCTGCAGCGGCCGGCGTGCGGCCGATGTTTGAGGACGAACCGGACGTGCCCGGGTTACGAGCGTGGATTGATCTTCGTGAACAATGCGCCGCGGGAGACAAAGAGTGGTGTGGCTGTTTTCCGCCCCAAACAGTATGCCCGTGACAACGTCTCGGTATCGCGGGTGCGCGCCAAGACTAGCTCCTCATCACCCCTCCGTCTACTGCCGCCCGGACTTGCGACGAGTGCGAGTGAGCAGCATCTCATTGGGGCCTTTTGGGCCAGTTACCTCCCCAACGGACGTTTAGCCACAGACGGGGTCATCAAATTCTCCATGTATGGTTGGACAAATCTCGTCGATGAGTTATATCACAAGACACCGATGATCCGGCTCACGCTATGTGCCTGCGCTCTGGGATTAAGGGGGCTCGGGGATAAGGACCCCAGGTTGCTTCAGAAGAGTTACCAAATGTATGGGAAAACTCTCTCCAGTCTGCAAAGATTTATCAGGGAGCCTGAAAGCCAACAGCGGCATGTTGTGCTCACGACCTTGAAGCTTTGCTTCTTATATGAGGTGCGTTGCACCCCTTCTGGCATTATACCATTTGCTGACTGTTTGCTAGATATGGCTTGGAGCCAAGGATAAAGGCCCGCTTCAATTCGCGTCATGGGTCGCTCATGTCAAAGGCAACACCGCTTTCATACTGAGTTGCGATCCGGGGGTGTTCTCACACGGTGACGCGCATCGCATGTTCGCGGATTGCCGGTTCGAGACGGTACGAACCGAAAATACCATTTGGAAACTTAATGTTGCTGACGTTCTCCCTTTAAAGGCAGTTATTGCAACCCTCACTCGAAAGCCTACGGCTATGTCTACATCCAAGTGGAAAGAGATTCCATGGGAATGTCTCCCAAAAACCCCGAGAGATCGCTTCGTTGACATCATGCTGGATTTTCCCGAGATCACGACGGAAGTCAGCAGATTGGATCTCACAACGAGCGAATTCGACCAGCTGTTCAAGCGAGAGAAGCTGATAGAGAAGTGCTGGTCGATTATCCGAGACCTCCGAAGATGGGAGGATACCTGGGGCGCAGAGGCCGTCGAGTTTGCAACCAACATAGTGAATACCGAGTCTACTCCAGAGCCCCCCCCTTTATCCTCTGAAGACCTCGCCAAGGGCCATATAATGCTCATATATTGGGCACATTGCATCATGATTTGCGACATATTTCAATCGCAAATCAAGAAAAGCTTAAAGCCGAGGACGCCAGCCGCTTGGCCTGAATATACGAAGCCAGCAACTTACTGCCATAAATTAGCCAACCTTTTGCGATTCTTCCAAATAAACAAGTCGGGCTCTTTCTTTATGAATATGGTTCTTACAACGACGGCATACTGCTTTGAGTATCTTAGCAGAGAGGAAGAAGATGGGCTGTCTATAGAAAAGGCCATCCTTCTGAAAGCATTGCGTGGTCACATCGACAAGGACGCGGCGATTTTTGCCAATAGTTCCAGGGTTTTCTTGAACTCAGGAGCCAAAGAGCCATATTTGAAAAATTTAATCAAATGACAATCTATATCAAATACGAGTGGCCACGGACTCAGTAGGGCGAGCCAAGGCCGCAAAGGGGGGCTGGGAGAAATCGATAGTCAGAAATTTTATACGGAGACTCGGTTGAGCCATCTTCCTCTCACTTGGTGAGCAATGACCATGATTCGGTACTACCTACAATCTCAGATTCTTGGGCAGCTCTTTAGAGTCTCCCACCTTGCCTGCTACATTGCAATATCATAATCAACATTAATAACATCCAGAAAACCTGGTTTTGGGGCTCATGTCTCTTGCAGCACAATCAATCAATCAATCAACCCCTAGCAACAAGGTGACATTGGAATTGATCTGCTCAAATGTCATTTTGCGTGTTGTCAAGTCTGCACCTAACATTGCCATAGCAGTGAAAGCTAATCATAAACATCTAAAGAGTTACAAACGGTCATTTTTATCTGCATCATCGTCTGACCCTTGTGGAAAGCGCCCCACTTACGACTGCTCTTCAGTTTCATGTCTTATTTCTTATGTCACCCAGTTGACTGGGTTATTTACCCGGCAATCAGTTACCTTCCGTCCAGGTTGACGCTACAACTCGTCACAGTTCGGGCTCGGGGGAATCCAGTTCTCCGCGGAGACCGAGATCCCGCTGCATAATGCGGAGTTTGGGTATATTTACCTGCAGCGCTCCAATATCATCAAATCTAATCTCGGAGATTTATCAGGAAAGAAAACCTTAGAACTTATTTGTTCTTTATTTTTAGAAAAATGGCAGACCTTGATAGCGTTGAGGGCTTGACTGAACTTGGGAAGACCCAGTAAGTATCCAATTCTCCCCAGCAATAGCGCGCGTTGCTTCTTGAACAACTGTGCTAACATACTTCAGCCCGGAGTTAGAAAAGGTATCTCCGGGTTTGAACCTAGGTTTTAGATCAAGTGTTGACAGCTCTTAGCATCTCGCTACCGCTGAACTCAGCCCCGTGGTAACTTTACCCTTCGAACAGGTAGTGAATCTAGCCAAAAGCCATCCTCAGCCTGCGCCACCGACTTCGGATCTGGAGTTCACTGCGCAAGCATTGATGAGAGACGGCTACCAGAATGAATACCGAGTTCATAGACCCGACGACTCATCTATCACCCCACTTGTAGTCCTTGTTCATGGGGGCGGATTTGTCATCGGCCACAATAGCCACATCAGCGTCTACTCGCGAGCCATCGCCAAGCTTTACGGTGTGACCGTCGTGAATGTGTCTTACCGACTCGCCCCGGAGCACCCATTTCCTGCAGCACCAAACGATGTCTGGGACGCTCTGAAGTGGTTTACGCGACCGGAAGCTGCAAACGAGCTCAAGTTCGACACCTCGTTGGGGTTGTACATCGGCGGTGTCTCCGCCGGTGCAAACTTGGCCGCAGTCACCGCGCAGCGATGGGTCACAGACCAAGAGTCTCCTAAACTGAACGGCGTGTGGCTCGGCATACCGTATATGCTGGAAGCAGACCTTGTCCCGTCCAAGTACAAGCACCTCTGGTTTTCGAGAGAACAAAACGCGGAGGCACTGATCATCAACAAGAAAGCAATCGAATTCTGCACCAAGGCTTACGCGCATGACTTTTCGTCTCCTCACTGGTCTCCATTCGCCGCGGCCAATCCACACACTGGCATGCCTCCCGTGTACATCCAAGTCGCTGGTCAGGATCCTCTGAGAGACGATGGGATTATCTACGAGAAGGTACTTCGGGAGCATAAGGTGTCGACAAAATTGGATGTTTACCCTGGTGTTCCCCATGGGTTTGCTGATGTGTTTCCTGAGCTTGCAATCGCTCGCAAGGCTGCTCTTGATACTGTAGCTGGGTTTGGCTGGTTGATGGAAAAAGAAGTGGAGGAGGCGGCGATTGCGAAGGCATGGGACGATTCTGTTGCTATACAAAAATCCGCCTAGTTGAGAGGATGTGTATGGTACGGTGACAGCCATTTTTGCTTGAGGAATATTCCCTAGAAGGGCGCTCGTGGCAACACAGAAAGCATACTCTATCTAGCTTTATATAAGAGCATAAACTTCACATGCAAAGATGATGCCACGGCTTACATAGAACGGGACTGAAGATAAATGAACCCAGCACGGCTTTTCAACTGGAGGTCGGAGCGCAGTTACTCCTTCATTCCCCCCATCTCTTTTTAGTATCTGGCTTCACAGTTTCCGTACACCACGGACCACAAACGGAATCCATTCACGTTGCTACCTTGAAGTGACCAACGATATGCAACCGCTGAATACCAGCTCATCCCAAGACGCCGTTCGATGGCGTGGTGCTCTCTACCCAACATCACGGCTATTTGAAGGGTATCTCGATTCGAGCTGGAGTCCGAGTATCAACTGGAGCTTACAACTAGATACCTCGTCAGAAACTGTGCCGCTACGACAACACGGGATTACTTACGACGTATCGGAAACCTGGGAGCTCTAGATCTGTCTTGTCTGAAAACTCATCACTTGGCGAACTCTGATCTTGGCCTTCGCTCAAAAGTTTGTCTCGTCTCTTATTCTCGCGGACATAATATATGCGCAAGAGAGTGAGGAAAATAGCTAGCGCCGTTTAGTATCTCTGCCATCCAAACATATACGGTAAAACATAGTACTTGCCTTGTAGCCCAATGCATATGATGTCTGCGATGAAAACTGATCGGTAAGCAGGTGTCTCGCCTGGCTTAACCGTGAAGGGGCCGGTGATGTTGCCCAGCGCATATCCAAAGAAGGCATAGGAGGATAGTGTAATGCGCTTTGTGTATCCAGAGCTATTCACTCCGGGAAGGGAAAGGACGATGAAGAGACAGGTAGCAAAGGGCGGAAATAGATATACTGCACACTCAAGTTAGTTTTGGCCAAGAGCAGCTGTGAACTTGAAAGCTTACCTCCAATGAGTAGTCCGGCTACATTTGACCTTGGGAGTACAATCTGCAGGAGAAGTCCAACGAAGGTAGGAACCAACATGCCAATGCAAACATAGATACGAGCATTCGGTAGCTTTTGTGCAAGCCAGCCCCCGAAAAGAATGCAAACCATGTTAATAAATCCCTGCGGAATGTAGATGAGAGTCGACTGAAGAGAGTCGAAACCGAAACTCTGGATTGTAAGAGTGCCAAACGCTCCAAATCCGCCGCTGTCTAGATGTTAGAACAAAAGAAAACATATTCATATGTGCACAGAAAACTCACTTCAAGACTTCATTGCAGAAAATCGTCAAGAATAAAAGCAACCCTTGAGGGTCTCTGAACGGGTTGAGGGCTTCCTGAACTTGGTTCCATTTGAATTGTCGATTCAAAATTCCCTGTTCAGAAGAATCATTAGTTTTGGAGAAGTCAAAGAAAACTAGCATTCCATCAAGCTCACGGTCTTGTTGCTCCGAATTCGAAGAACGGCGAGAACCCTTTGCTTTTCAGTCAAGAACCTGGCGGTCATAGGCGATGCTGGGAGGAAAATGAACACGAGTATGCCTGAGTACGGTTAGTATTACTGTGAGTCCACGTTCGAAATTGGCTTACTCACCCCAAACAACAGTTATAAGCCCTGCAAATCGTGAGGCACAACTGTTAGTAACAAAAGAAGTAGCAAAAGACTGATGATCAGTTAACCCGGAAGGACGAACCGTTGAGAATAAAGATCCACTTTGAAGATGTCAGTATTTGTCGTAAGAAGGTGATCTTGAATTATGTCACATACCTTCCAACCGGGAACACCTGCGTTGACCTGCCCCATGCCATAAGCGACAATACCTCCGATCATTGCTTATCAACAAGTTAGCCACTATGCCTAAAGACCTTGCCCTCTTTGAATACGAACTCACATCCGAATCCGTTGGCACAGGCCCAGGCACCGGTTCTCAGGACTTGCTCCTTCCTCGTGTAATACATGCCATTCTATCCATGGTAAGCCCACTGTATGAGGGATTTTGAGTTGTGAGACTCACGATGAGAACGAAGGTTGGAGTGATCAGTGATTCGAAACCACCCAAAATGAACCGTAGAACAGCCATGCCAGCAAAATTTTGAGCGCCTCCCGTTGCAATAAGAATTCCACCCCAGAGCTAGCGTAAAGAATCAGCACTTCCAAGATTTTCCTCTAATTCAGCCGTACTTGGTCAAGCTTACCACGATGGCAACGCCAATGAAGCGACCTATTGGAAATTTCTGAGATAACAGTGTCGTCGGATACTCAAAGACCAGGTACCCGAAGTAAAAGAGCGAGGATAGCCATGAACTGATTGATAAGGTGTGAGCCTGCAACCCCAGAATGTCTGGATCACCATCAATTTCTTACTATTGCTTGCCAACGAGGCCCAGGTCTTTACTCAATGTGAAGACTGAGGCATATCCAAGACAACTTTTGTCAATACATTGAAGCGCGTAGGTGCCGAAAAGGAGCGGTAGGACGAGCCTGTCCAGCTTGCGGACGATGTCGCTGTAGTCGCTGTCTGTTGCTGAAGCCGTGATTGAAGCTACATCGTAGTTTTGCAGAAACTGTGTCAAACACGCATTAACAAAATGGTAATCAAACTTGCTGCTTCTGAAAGAGCCTACCTTCCCTGCTTCATCCTGATCGCTCAAGTAAGCCTTAGGGTCGTTCGCTGTAGGATCGACATTGACTTGAGGAGCCTTCGTTGGCTCCTCCTCGATGGTATCGCTAGCCATACTCTCTGCAGTCTGGCTTGTATCGGTCCGAATAAGTGTTGATAGAGCGAAAGAGAATCCCAGGAGATTATTCAGATGGCGGAACTCTGAAGCAAATTATTATCAGACTTCCAGGTCGGTGATATCTATTGGTTAACGAATTCTGCGTAACGTCCGCTACCGAGTGGCAAAGTGTTGAGGAGATGGTAATAATGGTTCTGTAATATAGATTGGTACTCGTCGGTTTCCGACAGCAGATTCTGATAAATCAACCTCAAAAGTTCCTGGAAAGGGAAATCCCAGCATCTTGGCAGAAATAACGGAGATGAAGAGGTGGGGAAGAGATTGATCACGACATCACTTTACCCACACAAGGAGGTTTTCGCCTGGAAGAGGTTCTGATTTGATGGTAAACTTCTACTTGAACTCAGGGTGAGAATACACTAACTTCTTTGGAGGGGGCCCGCATTATGAAGACTTCTATAACTTCGTGATGTGCTTTACTTCCGGTCTTTCTTCCCCTTTCTTCCCTTCCTTAGGCTCATAATAGTTCTGATTGATCTGTTATGAATTTATTGATCTCATAATTCTACAAAATAATTCCAAAGCTTTCTTTTTGGCTTTTCTCCTGGTATCTAGATGTGGACATCATGGATTACCATGCCTGTAATACCCCGTTTGGCGTTGGGATAGCCCAAATCACGCCTTCACAACCCCAGACTTGCGTTATGTGCAACATGTCCGATATCGTCCTCTCCAACGCAAGTTGCTGGCGGGAATAACGTTCCCGGCACAAATGGTGCCGAAATATGTTAATGAGGCATTTATATTGGCTTTTTTGTATCAATCTCAGTATCATCCCATGTTGATTGGGTTGAGGGTCGATTTCTAGATGTACTTAATTGGCCACACCGATCGTTCAATCACACCATGGTGGTATTCCAAACCATAAACGGAATTAAAGATTCTCTAGGTCCTATCAGGATCCCAGCTCGGAGCCATAGCCTTGAAACCATCGTTTTGGAGCCACCGCCTCGGGTCGAGCTTTCGAACCACGTTGTTGGGACCTCGCTACCAGCTCTTCGGTAACTCGATCAGATCAATCTTACGCACCCCAACCGAAACAGTGATATCATGGGCGGCGTATCTTCTGTACCCGGGACATCACCTAAGGCCCCGGTGCAACCTCCCGTCTGGCACCCGCTTAGTCTGGAGGAGCACCCTATTGACCAGGCCCCTTCTTTGAAAGTAATTGTGGTCGGCGCTGGCATTGCTGGGATCAACGCAGCCATTCTGTTACCTGCAAAGGTCCCTGGGTTAGAGCTTACCATTTATGAGCGGGAGGCAGACATCGTAAGACTCCCAGGCACCGCATCAGTATGAGCAAGGGCTAATGATACAGCCAGGGCGGAGTATGGCACCAGTGCACATATCCGGGGGTTCGCTGTGACGTCCCATCGCACGTCTTTCAATCTACATACGCACCATGGAAGGACTGGTCTGAGCACTATGCGCAAGGAGCGGAGATCAAAGCCTACTGGAAGCAAGTGGCTGCGAAATATGACGCTTTGAAGTATATACGCTGCAACCACAGTGTCCAGGACATCAAGTGGGACGAAGCCAAGGCGAAATGGCTGGTCACAGTGACATCTGAGAAAGGTCAGACAGTTGATGAGGCTCACTTTGTCATCTTGGCAACGGGCGTCTTCAGCCATCCCACGCTCCCTAACTTGCCCGGGATGTCCGACTTCGAAGGCCAGATAATCCACAGCTCAAGGTGGGACAACAAGTTTGATCCTGCAGGGAAGAACATTGCTGTCATTGGCAATGGCTCCTCGGGAATGCAACTCTTGCCTCAACTGCAAAAGGTGGCAGGGCGCATCGATCACTACGCTCGGAGCCCGACCTGGGTCGCAGGAAGCTTCGGCGGAGAGAAGATTGACAAAGAGAAAAAGGTACCGCCCGAGGTGCGGGCCACATTTGACGATCCTGAAGCGTATCTGGCGTACCGAAAGGAGATTGAGAATCGTTCCTTTAGCGGGTACGGAAACATCATGAAGAACAGCGACAAAGTGGAAGCAGGCCGTCAAAAGTTTACTGAAATTATGAAGAGCCGCCTGGGAGACCGTACGGATATTCTCGAAGCAATCACGCCAGAATTCCCACCTAGTTGTAGGAGACTGACACCTGGGCCTGGATATCTCGAAGCATTGACCCAGGGGAATGTGGAATACATCACTTCACCGATCCAAACTGTTACAAAGCACGGGATCGAGACGCAAGATGGGAAAGAGAGGCGCGTGGACACCATCATCTGCTGTACAGGCTCAGAGAAATCACTGGCACCTCCGTTCCCCGTGAGAAGCGGGATTGTCGATCTCTCAACAGCATGGCGCCCAGGTGGCGAGATCGGGTTTCCCAACACCTACATGGGCATTGCTGCTCCGGGTTTCCCTAATCTATTGTTCATCAATGGTCCCCAGGCCAGTGCGGCTACAGGGACACTCCCGTTTGCAACAGAAAGCCAGCTAACCTTGGCGGCCAAGATTCTACGAAAGGCTCAGTCACAGGGAATTCGAAGTATGGCCCCGACGCTCCAGGCGACGGAAGATTTTAGAGCGTTCTGTGAGGCCTACTTCCCACGGACTGTTTTGAGTGAGGAGTGCCGCTCGTGGTTCAACGGCGGTCAGAAAGGTGGTAGAGTCATAGCCAACTGGCCAGGCAGCGGAACGCACGCAAACATGGTGAGGAAGGAACCACGCTGGGAGGATTGGGAGTATTCGTACCAATCCGAGACTGGGAACAGGTTTGCATACTTCGGAAACGGGTGGACTGTCAAGGATGTTGAGATTAACCAGGATTCGCCGGACGGACGAGATAGAACTCGGGAGGTTGACATGACGCCCTACTTGACTGCGGCGTCGGTGACTGGTGATGTAGATCTAAGAGCGTACCACGAAGTCTGGTTCGAGGTATGAGGAGCAAATATCAACGCTCATCCCCAGTAAATAACAAGCTATTCCCAGAGATATCACAATCAACCAGTAGTAGAAACAATCAAAAAGCAATCAAAAAACTGCCAGAAATGAGGAAAACTAGGTTAAAAGAAGGCAAGAATAATGAATGTCAGACCAAATGTTAGCTACAGAAATTGTCAAAAGGATTTTTAAAAAAGAGATGTTACTAGACCTTGCCACTTTGACTTTGTAAGATTTATATTCGAAAGTAGTACCGTGTCCATGTCTACCGTCCGAGGGAGTACCCAATCCTCGATAGACTTCCATCTGACACACATCGATTTTGGAGCTGGTCCGGGCCGCCGGTTTACGAACGTGATCAACCCATGGAAACGAATAGAGCCCAGTGTTTGCATGCCAAATGATGTTTATTCGTAGTGCTTCTGAACAATGGTCTAGAATATTGAGTATGCAGGAGACTATATCTGATAGTAGCTTAGCTAGAGAACGTTGGATATAATACACACCCACCTTTTATTCATTGTGTTGAGATGCTCGCATCTTCCATTGTTCTTCAACTTTGTGCTCGAACTCTATTCCGTACATAACCCACCTTCATCCTATTTGTCCTTCATTTCTATCCCTGCGTTTCAATAACTAAGACCTTGCTTCGACATGCGCCGCAATGCCCGTGATAGAGGCCGATATTGCAAGGCTGATTCAAGAAGCATTTCCAACAAAAGCTTCCCTCATTGTTTCTGCCCTGAATACTTCAACAGTGTTCTTGGGAGAATCATTGCAGCATTCTCCACATGTCAAGAATGAGACGGAGAGTCTCTAGAACAGGCGGCCAAGCGATCTAAACTTGGGTCACTTAAAGGTTCCCTACCTCAAAGGGTAACTTTGATCAGCTAAACCAAAGTCTAAATTAAACAGCGCATTTTTGCCATTCTAGGCAGCATTCTGCGCTTAGAAGGACAATAAAACTCGTCGTGATTGGTCCTATTGACATGTTGGTCTGAGCTGTTGTAGCATCTGACCTTGTGGGCCAACGTTGCCCAGCTGGACTGGGATGGCTGGTGCTAACTCTTCGACGTCTGCTCACCGCTGATACGGAATAAAATGCCTTGATTTGATCCGCGTGCCCTTCTTCCGCCGCGTATACTTAAATCGAACAAAATCTCCCTACTTGGTCCGTTATTGACGTTGTGGGCCAACGTCGCGTAAACTGGTATATTACATTGTTCAACTGCGCTATATTTGCCTTGATATAGTAGAATCACTGGCGACTGGACTTCTTCTTGAGGATCTACGCGACCCTTACTAGTGCGGTGTTTCGTCGCAGGGGTTAGGCTGACATGTTCATGCTCTCTATGTATATATTACTGATAATCACTCCCAACTTTGGCGAAGTTGGGCGAAGTTTCTACACCCTTATTAACCCCGGACGATCCTGCGAGGCCTCTCTCTCCTCTCTTGCCTGTTTCTGTATTGTTTACCTCGGAGACTGGTAGGCTCGGCTTCAATCAAGGTGGTGTTAAACCCCAGTTTGCACATACTTATACTACTCTGCTTCTTCCTTCATGATGGAAAACCGCCGAATTCGCATTGGAATTATCGGCGGAGGCCTAGCAGGGGCGTCGATCGCCAATTCTCTGTCCCGAATTCCCTCCATCGCAATCGATGTTTTCGAGGCGGCCCCGGAGTTCTCGGAGCGCGGTGCCGCGGTGGGCTTGGCTCTTCCTTCTCAGCGGGCACTTCAAGAATTGCTAGAGGATGCAAAGGAGACTCTAAGAAAGGCTCAAAGCGTCCCCATTGCCAGCAGCAGGTTTATGCTTGTAAGTGTCTCTCCTGGTCAGATTTCGGCTGGCCTATCGTGACGCTGTGGCTCTTGCCTAGCGAACCAATACCCTCTCGTTATTCGAGTCGTGTCCTAGATGATTATGTATATGTATCTAGCAGAAAGACAAGTGTAACAAGCTAATCATGAATTGAGAATCTAGGGATCTGGCCCACATGCAGGCACTGTCGTTGTGGATTTTGGCGATGCTGAAAAGTTCGGGGCGCCCGAACTCATCGTCCACCGAGCCTCGCTCCTGCGAGAGCTCCTTGCACCATTGCCTGAAAGCATATTACACCCAAACAAGAAAATGATCTCTATTGTTAAAACTGACGCAGGGGTCAAGGTCTATTTTGCAGACGGAACAGACTACGAGTTCGACGCAGTCATTGGAGCAGATGGCGTGTTCGGTACCGTCCGCGACCATGTCTTGGCTGATGAAGCAAAGCAATATTCGGCATCTCCTGCCGGGTTTTGGGATTGCAGGGTTTTGGTTCCTTTTGAGAAGGCAAAAGCGGTTCTGGGTGAAGACCTTTTCAAGCTTGATCGCCAATATGGCTGGGCGGGTGATGGTGCCTTTCTTCTGCACGATGTTTTGGAGAACGGTACGGTGGTCCACTGTGTGATATCTGCCGTTGAGCATGAATCTCCCCCTGATCGGAAACATAAACTCACGAGAGAGTTCCTAAACAAAACATTGGCCAACTGGTTGGATGGCCCTATTGCCAGCGGAATCATTGATGTAAGTTGAACTTATCCCCCTGTTGCCAAGATTTTAGTGATCCTAACTCAACTAATTCAATTTATAGCTCGTGTTGGAGCAAGATGATCCTCGAGGCTATTCCGAGTGGGAACACAAGGCAACGCCTACATACGCCCGCGGCCGAGTCTGTATCATGGGCGACGCTGCCCACGCCTCAACGCCTTTTCAGGCTGCTGGCGCAGGGCAGGCCTTTGAGGATGGCATGATCCTCTCCGCTCTCTTGGGGCATATATCATCCCCCGATGATATAGAGGCCGCGTTCAAAGTATATGATGAGGTCCGAAGACCAAGATGCCAGCGCGTCATTGACTCCAGCCGCGGGACAGGTCTGATCATGTGCGGGAGATCTGAGGCCGGGCTTGACCCAGAAAAGATCTTGCAAGCGGTTGCCCCACGATGGGACTTTCTCAACCTGGACTTAAAATCTTATGTTCAGGAAGCGGTGCAGAAACTCGATGAGCGTCTCGGAGCTTGATCTTTCGTGGTTCAATTTTTGAGCTTCATTAGGCTGGGTATAACCTAGATACCAATTCAGATAGAGCGTATAACTACGGAGAACTATCATATGGCTGACTTCTAGCTCTGATCCTCAGATGATTCAACATTTGTTTAACTCCCCCTGTTGAATTCCGTCCCGACAGTACCGTCTACATTTGACAGGGCTCACTCGCTTTAATATGTGTACTTGAATCGAGGATTCTCCTCTCCCAACTCTTCAGCTTCCTCCTCCGTCATGCCTTGAATTTTGTAGTCATCTTTCCCGGCAGCCTTTCTCCTGTTTTGATGGCGGAACCATGCCCAAAATAGGATGTAGACGACGGACGAGAGAGCAATGAGGCCCATGGAAATGGCATGGCCCTTGATATATCGAGGCCCTTCGTTCGTTCGATAAAGCTAGGCAATTAGGTTAGCCACAGTAAGAGACTTAAAGCAGATTATTATCATGGGAGTGTCTACTTACGAAAGGAGCCGGGATGCCCGCGCTGTTGCCGATAGTAAGCTGCAAACCTGTGGCCACAGTACGCTTCCCATATCGCGGGTTGTTGCTTGGGAGCCAAGCCAATGGAATGCCAACCACTACATACAAGCCCATTGCAGCCAAGAAGCATCCAAAGTACTTGACATTGCCGCTAACATTGCTAACGAGAATCGCATAACCTGCCGTGCAAATCAGACCAAAGAGCACGGCAAAGACGGCGCGACGCTGTGTGCGGTCTGAGAGGTATGCCACGACGAGGTAACTCACAGCTCCCAGAGCATAGCAAGGAATTGTGAGGGCTTGGGCCTCCGTGTTAGACCAACTGCCCAGGCCTTTGATGATTGTCGGGAGAAATGTAGAATAGCCGTAGAGGATAACGTCACCTCCAAACTGGCCGATGCAGAAGAGCCAGATCTTCCAGTCCTTGAGGCCCTTGTACACGTCTGACTTATGCATCTGCTCCGAAGACTTCGTGTATCCGATCTGTCGCCGCATTCTCGCATCAATGAGGTCGCGCTCTTGGGTAGTGAGGTAGCGCGCCGAGTCTGGGTCATCAGCCAGCCAGAACCACACTGCAATGCCAAGAATGAAGGTTGGGATGCCCTCGATGATCATGATCCAACGCCAGCCTCGTAGGCCGCTCACACCATCCATTTGGCCAATTCCATACGCAAGGAGGCCGCCCATGGACCCTGCGATGGCGGCAGAGACGAACAAGTAACCAATGCGTAGGGCATATTCGCGCTTGGTATAGAACATGGTTAGGTAGATGGTGAGTCCAGGAAATAGACCGCCTTCAAGGGCGCCCAGGATGATTCGACAGGCTATCAAGCCTGAGTAGCTCTGGACGATGCCTGTCAGAGTGGCCACGATGCCCCATCCGGTAGTGATGAATGCGAGCCATCTTGAGGGCTTAAAATGCTTGATGACCAAGTTGGAAGGCAGTTCAGATAGAATGTAGGTCACGAAAAGCAGCGACACGGCAATCTGATACTGGTCGCCATGAAGGCCCAAGTCTTCTTCCAATCCGAAGAGCCGAGCATTGCCAATGTTGACGCGGTCTAGAAAGCTGAGCAGGTAGAGAAGCATGACGGGCGGGACAATCCACATGTCTAACTTCCGAAGAAGCTTCTTCTCTGCGACCTCATCGATATAGATATCGTTGGTCTGCGCGGTTTCTTGCCGGATGTCTTTAATGGGCTCTACAAAAGAGTCTTCTTTGTCCAGTGGGGCCTGTCGGGCAGGGCCGGGGGATGCCATCGTAGCCAGAGAGCGGTAGAAGGTGATACAATTGAAGGCTTATATGTAAGCTTCGAAATGGTCAAACAACATCGAAATCGAAGCGGCGGCTGTCGCTGGTTTTATGTAAAATGGGATCCGGGCAACAAACATGAGCTGCCTCTACCCCGGACAGGTGGATAGGGCACGCGGGGTCTGTCAAAATGTTACGTACTGATAACCACTTTGTCAGATTGGAAATTGGGGAATTGCCGTTATCTGGTAATAGAGCAGGGGTCAATGAATCGTGTGACGATTTGCGTCAAGGTGTCACCCGGCAACTCCTTGAGTTGCCGGGCAGCCTGAAGCGGGCAACAAGATCGGCATTCCATAGCCAATTTGGTCTCCTTAGTTCGGGACCGGCCATCTCCAGAACTAAGATGTGACGCTGGAATTGATACATTCGAGCATCATTCTGTTGCATCTTCGAGTCAGTAGTTAAGTTTGACATGTTGTTGAGAGCCAGTATTAAATATTCCAGAATAATACAGAGACATGTTACTCTAGCAGTATCCTTTCCGCCACAATGAGAGTAAGAATAGCAACTGGAGCCATTGCTTTACAGGCCTATCTCATGGTTAATGGAAATTATAGTTATCACAAGTAAAGCTGGCATCTGTACATGTCTCCAAGTCATAATGAAATAATACTCTCTACATCTGAAAGAGAAACTGCTCCTCAATCTCCGAGGCCAATTCTTTCAACGTGCCGTCTCCCGAAAACATGAGGTCGGGCCAAGGACCCCCATTCTCATCCAAGAAACTCCCAATTAGCGGGTTCCCTAGAATGTCATCCATATTTCGATAAGTCATACTTGGCTCCGTCCTTCTTGCTTCCCCCTCCAAAGCCATAGACAGCGCCGAATCATCTCCACTGGCGCTTATCCCACGTTCTTGTCGATCAGCCGGTTTTGCGACTGGAGCGCCAGCATCTGGAGCAACAGTGGTGGAAGCGTCCAAAAAGACCTGCTGCTGCTCCGCCTGGTCCATGGAGCGAAGTTTGATGACTTTGGATTGGATATAGGACAGTGTCTCGCAGAATTGTACGGCCGGGATGTTGCCATCGTTCCTCATGGATCGTAAAATGCTCAATAACATTTCGAGCGCATCTGAGTTTTCCTCCGTGGGTTTCATCAATGCAGACATGATGAGGATAAGTGCAGCGGAAAAGATGTGATGAGCGTCCCAATATCCGAATATCGCGATGGAACCATCCAAGAACAAACTCTCAGCAATCCGGCTGGATGCCTGTGCCGCGTTGATACAGCTCTCAGCTAGGGCGAGCGTGATGGAAGAGAACACTTGTCGCCGCGGTGCTGCGCGAGGGTCTGGTGTTTTGGAGCTGAGCTGAAATTGAGTCTTAAAGAGATGTAACAGAACAGGGCGTGTCGTTTGAATTATGCACTGGTTGTAGGCGAGGTGGAGGCTCGACACTGGCCGTGGTGTCCCGCGTTCCTTCACGCGCATATCCGGCGGTAAGTCATCGTGCCATTCGCGAAGCTGCTTCAAGATGCCATGTACCCGATGTATGCGGAGTCCCTGAGTCCGATTCGGAATTCCGTATATGTCCGTCACTAATAAGTGTCAGTACGGGAATCAGAAGTAAATCACAAGCAAGGGAAGAACGTACATATATTGCCAATAATTCGCGCCAGTTTGATATTAGTGACGAGAGGCTGAGGGTCGAGAAATTCGATCTTCTCCTCTTCTGATAACCCATCCATGCTAGGCATTTCAACGTCGATATCTTCGTCTCGGATCGACACGGGCTGTCCTAGCTTTGAGGCGGAGAACCGGTCAAAGAAGTACAGAACCCACCAAGTTCGCCTCCGGCTTTCTCTTTCCACAGGCGTCAACGTGGTGCCCCTTGATGCTGGTCTGTGCATGCCGATTCCCATTGCCAGCCTCATGGCTGTTCCACTGTAGCAGTATGCTGTGCGGACGCGGCCGAGTATATTCGATGCCCATGCCTTGTGACATTGTTAGCACGTTGCCATAGTCGTGTCAGGAGTTTGAACCTACCAGAAGGGTGAGAACTTCAACTTGCATCAAAGACGGCTCTTCATAGAAGTCTTGAAGCATTCCAACAGCTTTCGCGTAGTATTCTGTTCCCGGTACTCGATTGCTGTTGTCAATTCCTCGTCGGTTCGTATATATCTCTCCAAGACACATGAGCGTGTAAAACTTGCAGAGCCACATTGTCGACGGCGAGAACTCTTGCCGGTACATAGCGTCAAGCTCTTTCATAAAGGTCACTTTGAGGAAGAGAGGATGATAGTTCCCGATAAATCGCCGGGCGACATTAAGGAGAAGCCTGGCGTGCATCCTCTCAGGGAAACCAGAAATGTCCTGCTCCTGTAACGAGGCGAAGCTATTATTGGTGTTGATACGGCAATAGTTTGAGAAACCGGCTGTAGATGGAGTATAGTCCTGATCGAGGCATTGCAGGAGCCTGTTGCTAAACGCCGTGCATGATGCCTCGCCAATGTACCCTGACTCTGAACATCTCTCATTCACGACATTTTCAGGCTGTCCATCGAAGAGAGGGTTGAGCATATTGGACTCATCGGATGAGATGTTTGTTGGATCAACAGGGTCCTCATCTTGGTCTATGCTGGGGGTATCTTGGCCAAAACTTTGGGGTGTTGGATTTTGGACCAGACTCTGCAGTCGTTTGCTATCCGCTTCGAGTTTCCTTAGATAACTTAATGAATGAAATGTGTTAGCCTCGCCTCATTTGCATACTTGGAAACCAAAAGAAAACAATAAGTTACCTTTCGGATATAGGAATCTTCCGCTCTTTGGACGGGAATTTACACTCGCCGGCCTTTCCACAAGCCGAGCAGGATTGACAAGGCTGCTTTCCTGAGCATTTTATCTTCTGGGAGTGACACCTATGACATCTGAATAAACAGATGAATAATTTCAGCACATAGGACACATCATAGGCGATGATGAAGACTTACGCTGCCAGTAAGCGTCTTGGACGACGTGATTGTTGGCTCATGGTGCAGGCTAACTGAACCGCCTGCTCAGTTGTTGTTCCGAGGGCAAAGAAATTACATAAAAGTATCGCCTGATCTTTACATTCGCTAAGTATGGATACGCTTCAACGGAGATCAACCAAAATCTGGGGCCTGGGGTAAAGACATGGGCAGAAATGTTGCAGGTTGAATAGTAGGATCAAGTCCCAAGCCACGCTCAGATTCCTTTTCTCCACACTCAGCGATATCACTACAGCATGTGGGGTTGGTACGACTCGTGCAGCTTGTTTGGCCCAATAATATTAGAAATTATTGTGGATAATGTCAGCTTGTCTCGCGATTCATGCACCACGATAAATACCTATCTAGTAGTTTTACCTCGGCAAGATGATGGTTACCGATTTAGGGTAAGTGGAATCACAAGGCCGAGAAAGCCTCAACTCGAAAAGAAAGAGGGAGAGGGAAGGGACAAAGAAACATTCGTATCGTACGTTCTTTATCTTGGACCCTTTAATTCACTCGGGGGATTAAAGCATTCGCACATATAGAATCTAGACATATGTTGCGCGATTATTGCCGACCTCCAGATGATAACGGCAACTGATATTGGGGCCGGTAACCTTCTGGCTTCGGCAATTCAAGGTTTGCCGGTTCAGTACTTTCGGTTGTTCTCTCGTCGGTATCCTGCAGTTGCCGCCTCCAGCTCAACTCTTTCGTGAATCTCAACTGCAGGCCTCGTAGTCAGATGATCTACGACCTAATCAAGAAGGGTATTCCAAGAAGGGTATTCTATACTGGTGATTTAGAAAGGGAAATATCATGGATGCCGACTATACCCTAGTAATCTTAACTTGAGGTTAGAAATAAGTTTCGCTTGCCCAGTCATACGGGAGAAAAGTTTAAAAAATTAAAACAATTCATCCCGATAAGTCAATCGGGCGAGCTGTGCGTCTCCAAAATCAACTACTTACGTGGGAGAAAACGATAATAAAGTTTAATAACAATAAAGCTGCCAGGGCCCGACCAACTTATTACAGTAAAAATATAAAGCTTAAAAATACAGTCTTTTCTAGTATACCCAAGGAGTTATACGGCCAGAAAACTCAAGCCTTCGTACGGATAACTCACTTACTGTCAGGATAGCGGCTCATCGAATGACTATTAATACTGTCTCTTTCACCTGGCTTCACACTCGTCTTCGATCCAGCCATATCAACCAACCAAAATCAACTACTTAAGCTGTCGTCTTTCCCCTGACTTGACGATTGTCATCCACCTATCCAATCCAACCACTCCTACCTGTACGAAGCACGAGTCAACTACCCCAGTGAGTACGGGTAAGCGGCCAGCCAAGATAAAAATTGAGGTAATCTTTTCTCAATTTTTTAAGGAGATCAATCGTCTTCCCGTCATCTTCGCTGGCTACTCCTGTACAAAAGAAGAGCACAAACACACATCTCGACACGCACGCAATCGGACAACCCAGATCAACCAGCCACAGACCGCGACTATGCTGTCCACTCTCCCCAACGAGCTGCGATTCCTCATTATTTCCTGCCTCCGTCGAAATGGATGCAGCCTAGCGAGTCTCGCCGCAACTTCGTGCATTTGGAGAGATCTGATTGAACCCCAAAACTTCGCCCACATCACCTTGACTCCTTGCCGCCTCCCTAGGTTTAAGCTCATCGCTCCTTGCAAACGACATTTTATCCGGGCCATATGGTTCCGCATAGACCTAGAAGATACGAGGATTGATGTCCGGAGGATTGATGTCTGGGAAACCAACTTGGAGCTCATTGAATCAGCATTCCGGAGTTTGTTCTCGACGCTCAGTCTGTGGGACCCGAGCGACGGAGACCTCGCCCTCGACTTGAGTGTCTTTTCGCCTTGGGACACAAAGCCCTGCTTTGCCCACATACCTCTCAAGCCTGATCTAACGGACACTCAATGCGACCACGATCAAGAGCTAGGCCTGCCAGCTGGGATAGTACATAATTTGGCGCCGACTGCTTCGCAGCTCAAGCGAGCGTTTGACCAAGTTCCGGCTCCCTTTACCGGCGGGATGCCATTCCCATCGGTCCCGGTAATAAATAGTGTAAATTTACGTCAACAAAATCGCTTGCAGTGGTACTCATTTGATCTCGTGTCCTTATTTTCGCAAATGCCTCGACTCGAGCAGGTCCATTATGAGCCATGGAGGGCGTGGAGTGCTGAGCAGCAGTTGTCAATGGATGAAGGTAAGCCCGGTTTTTCTCGAAACTTGTTTACCATAGGCTAATCAAGATTGCCAACAGACTATACCGCCATAACATGCGAGCACTTTACACCTGCCTTGCGGCGCCTCATAGTTTCAGAAAACTTCAGCGAAAACTACATGGCTATTATGCAAGCCTCATCTCCTCGCGAACACCGGTGTCAGCTCTTAACCCAAACCTTCGCCCGCCAAAGTCTCCAGCTTGAGATGCTTTCGGTATCGTTTATGGTTGAGGCCAGCAATTTTTTCGACGAGTGCAAACCGTCCTGGACATGGCCGGATCTGACCTCACTTACCTTGACTTCACAGCTGTTGACGCCGTCGGCTGACGCTAATAGTTTATTTCGGAAAGCAGCAGAGGTAGCGATGCAGATGCCGCACCTAAAAACCATGGAGATATGGAACGGAAGAGCTGGACTAGCAGGGATGTTCCAATATCGCCTAGAGCCTGGTCTCATCGTTTGGAAGGGTACATGGAACTTGAAACTCGAGGAGTATGCCATCCAAGCCTGGCAGGCTGTCGCGTCGTTGCATGGTGTCGAGCTGCATGTTAAGCAGGAGATGCTTGACGAGACCAAGATGACTTGTGTGGGTAGTGCTGTGCATCATCTCGGTCACTCCGAGCGAGTTTTTCGTCCTGTGTCTTTACGACAGGTTCGAATTCATGAATTCGAAGAAGTGAAAGGGTTATAGTAGCTTCATTTGTTTCCTCCATTTGGAAAGAGGGTCGCTACAATTAGAGTCCTTGGTTGTGGGACAATAGGTAGGCAGGTATGATTTGAACACAGCAAACGGCATTATATATGTACTTTCCTTGCTTGGATCCAGTGATATGGAGGTTCTATATAGATTACACTGTATTTTCAAGGCTAAAACTTCAGCCTAATGCAGCTTCCAAAGATACCGCTACTATGGTCAGAACCTGGTCTAGTAATGGCGGGAAGGGGCAATCCGAAGATAAACTTGAGGCACCTTGAGAGGCAACAAGCCACGACAGTTTAATTGGAAAGAGTGACTGTTCTTCTGGTAAGGAATAAGAATCATACATATCCAAATCAAGTCCACGTCCCTGATCATCCATCATCATCATCATCATCATCATCATCATCATCATCATCATCATCATCATCATCATCATCATCATCATCAACATCATCATCATCAACATCAACAGCAGCAGCAACATCAACAGCAGCAGCAACATCAACAGCAGCAGCAACAACAGCAGCAACAACAGCATGTAAGTTGCTCATTATTCAAGAATCATTGGAGATATCCAATCACTGAATCAAAGTGCCTAGGAATTTGCCTTGGCGTCCGGCCCTCCCCCCCGTCGTCGCCCACGCCCTCGCCCTCGCCCTCGCCCTCCCCCGCCGCGTCCTCCGCCGCCAGCTCCGACGAGACCGCCGTGCCGTGGCGGCGGCAACCCTCCGCCACGAGGAGGCGAAGGAGGCTTTTTGCGTCTTCCGACGCCTCGCCCAGAGTGGCAAGGGTGGCTCCGTTGTGCCCTCTCCCGGGGGCCGCCTCAGGCTCGCCATCCGCGGCCTGGGGGCCGCCCGGAGGCGTCTTGAGGAGACGCGGCGTCTCCTTCGGGAGTTGTAGTTTCTGTAGGTCTTTCTTTTCATTTATCTTCATATCCTTGCACCTGCCCTTGCACTTTAGATAGGTAGATAGACCCAGAACGTCAGTCGGGCACCTTTCCGCGGTGTTCTGGATAAGTAGGTCTGCTCCTAGAGCTGATTGAAACCAAGACCCGACTACCAACTTAAGAGCAGGGATAGCGGAGCTACTTTTGAATGAGGGAATAATGTGTCTGGGTAGTGCTATGTATTATGTTGGTCACTCGAACCAGGTTTTTCGTCCTGTATCTTTACAAAGGCTTTAATATCCAAGTCTAAGGAAAGACAAGAGCTACAATAGCTTCGATTTTCTATTCCAATGCCTTTGGAAGAACTTCAACCTCTGTCAGCATCAGTGGCTGGAACTTATCGGCACTGCAATCAGTACAACATCTCTTGGGGAAGTCCCAGGTTTTAAGGTTAGCTGTAAGATATTATATCCGATCATCCCTATTAACTATTACGGATCAGGTTCTTCTGTCGGATAACTTAGCTTTAGATAATGCTGCAGATATTTAATAACTTTGATTCGAAAGGCAAGTTAAGAGTCGGTAATAAATCCTACGTAAAAGCCTTAGAGGGAATAAAAACTGTAGATATCATATTCTTAGATAAGTTTATAATTATATCCATGTTCCTTCAGACTTTGTACCTCCCAGGCCGCTTTTATATTTGATTCTAACTTTTATAATTAGTATATAATGAGAATTGACGCTCGAAATATTTCGTAGCTGATCGAAGCTTGTCCATTGAAACCAGGACGATTGATTACTTATGCACTAAGCTTGCAGCTCTAGCAATAAGGTAAGATGATGATATGGGATGAAGAGAGGAGTTGTCTTGCGCCGTGTTGGCTCTGATTCTAATCGTCTATATGACGTCTCCTCTCTTAGCAGATGGTATGAGGATGAAGAGGAGCGCTCTTCCATGGTTTGCTGATGATAAATCGGAAAGGGCAATCAATCCTAAAGTATCCAGCAATCCCTACCCTGGTCCAACGCCCAGATGCAGTGCTCGGCACGCTCAACTCGAGGATTAATAAAACCCATCACAAAGTTACAGATGGCCTTTACCTGCTCTGCAGAGAGGCTATTAAGGTTGGATCGATCAAATTCATTTATCTTAATAGCCTTTGCGAAACCAACGAGCTTCGGATTGTTGATATCAGGCTTGGACTTTTTCATATTACAACAAGCGATCTTATCGCCTTTTCTCATGAGCACGCTGCTCATGCAGAAGGTCGTAGACTATTCTCATTTCGTCCATGGTCCAAACATTTGCAAGGGGCCCATCGTTGTTATTTCTATGTCGAGAGAGCCTCCAATAATTATGTAGCGTTAACCAGCTGCTCGCCTATCCAAGACGTTATGTTGACCCAACGGGGATTGTGAACACTCACACCGTCAACGGAAGTGAGTTTGAGTATAAGTTTCAACAACAATGGAAGATGCTGAACCCGACAACTCAACACAATGGAGACTCACTCCGTCAACGAGCCAGTCCACTGCCCGACCCGAATAATGAACAGATACTTAATTATTCTCCAGCTTTATTGCGTTAATTTGTTGTTATTGTTATAATTCCTCCTGCAAACAATCAAGATCTGCAACACTAGAGGAAGCTAGATCACTATATTGGTGGGCAAAATACGCCTCGCTAAAGCGCTGATAAGCATTGAATGCCTGGGACCGCTGGATAGATTTTCTAAAACGATCCATTGTGGTAACTACCTATGTGGTCGGCCACGGGTGGCCTTCTAGCATCAACTCGTCATCGTAGGTCGACAAGTCATCGTAGGTCGACAAGTCATCGTAGGTCGACAAGTCATCGTAGGTCGACAAGTCATCGTAAATGGACTTGTTGTTCTTGATTTTGAGCTTGTTGAACCACTTGGACAGTATGCTATAGTCTAGCATCAACTCGTCATCGTAAGTCGATAAGTCATCGTAAACGTATTTGTTGTTCTTGGTTTTAAGCTTGTTGAACCACTGGATAGGTTTTCTGAAACGATCCATTGTAGTAACTACCCATGTAGTCGGCCATGGGTGGCCTGGAGAGTATGCTAGAGTCTAGCATCAACTCTTCATCGTAGGTCGACAAGTACTCGTAACTTGATTGATGTTTCTTTTCTTTGAGCTTGTTAAATTACTGGAATTATTTCCTGACACCATTTATGATGGGGACTATGCAGTTATGCTTTCTGTTTCGAGAAAAGTGCAACATATGTTCTGCAAGGACGGATAAAGAGCTCGAATAGGCTCACGAACGATGAAGAAGATAGTAGGGAGAAAGGTAGGAAAACCAGAAGACGGACCTGTCGTCTTTCGGTTGCTGCTCGTGCTGGTGCTCACTCTTCTTCGTGTCCTCGTGACTATTATATCCGATACCCGGCGACTCTTGATTGTTCGTTAATAATATCCCTGTGGCTGGCACCAGCCGCTCGATCCAGATAAGGAACTTCCGATGAGGCTCTCAATCTCTTCTTCAAATCTCTTCCTCAATCTACTCTTGGACGAAGAGGTTCGATTTTGATATAAACCTGTCGATGGGATTCTCATCTTGAGTTATTGTACCCACGCTCGCGTTGCTGAGTGGTACCTGACGAGTCGAAGAGTAGTCCTCTTCTTTCTTCCTTGCTGTCTCTGTGATTCGAAGAGAGAGAGGGGACCGTCCCTTTGGGGGTGAGCTTCTTCTTGCCCTTTGTTTTGACCTCAATCATCCAAGACTCCAACCCATCATCGCCCTTCTTATTCGATGTATTTATCTTAATATACTTGTTGTCGGCCTTGTAGCTCATTTCGGGCACAAGAGCTCGTTTCAAAACGGCTCGGCCACCACGTAGCTCAGTACTCAGGAGCAGGCGGACTCTATTGGTGGGGAGTGTCGGTTGCCGTGGTCGCCCTCGAAATTTTTATCCATCTTTTCTTCAATGGATTAAGTGCATTGCTATTATGTCTTTCTTGCGTCGGGAATCTCTCCCTTCGGTTGAACTCTTGGCAGTAGATGTCGACAACTACTGGGACAACAGTATTGTCCACCTTAACCATCTTTCCCACTCGTGGAGCGCGTAGTGGTAAAGAATACTTTATTGGCTATCTGGTCCAGATAGCTCACTCGCAGGTTGCCGCCCTCTCTCATTTTGTACTCATGAGACATGGCTGACTCCCAGGCCTAGATCTACTGGGATGCCGCACTCTAGCGTTGTAATGATTGGTGGGAGCATATCGAGATCTCCGGAGACCACGATAAATGTCATATTTTCCAGTTGCTGTTTAGTCCCCTCCAGGCCCCTACAGGTGTGTTGGGGTGTGCAGGATGCGTGAAATCAGTGCGAGTGTGATCAACGCTCGAATCAAACTCACCGTTGATCCTCTCGCATGCTGGAAACTGCGAACCGAAAGTTCCAAAATCCGGGTTCCAATCTGCGGGAGCTGAAGGTTGCGGTGAGGGGAGACGAAAAACGGGTGTCCGCTTGGGAACATTTTGAACAGAGGGAGCTGCGTGGACACCTTCCATACTGCCCGGGTTTATATATTATGAGTGACGGAGTAGAAACCCAACACGGCTTTTTTCCCCGACATGCCACAAAACGACTCGCCACAGAGTCTCAAACGCTAGGATGATCAAGGCCAAAGGGTCTTCCCACTCCTCTGGAAGCAGAGCTTGTAATTCGCGCAAATTTGATAACAGTCTGTCGTTTTGAGGGCCCTTACTCTTAGACTGAAACCAAAGATCGTTGATCGTTTGGGTGATCCAGTTTAGTCTTTCATAATTGAGAGTAGCCTGCCTTATAGTCGGGAAAATGCCTGTCTGCGAGCTTCCCAGACGGACATGTTTCTCAACAGCCTCTGCAACCTCGGCTGGAATCAATATCCTCGAGCGGAATTGGATAATGTGTTTCGATAAGAAGCGTCGACTTCGCAACGGACGACATAGCTCAGCTCTCCCAGATGATAGCGTAAAGCACAATAATGAGATGTGCCTTCTTTCAACCTAGCTGGACAACTCCTAGCAGCACTTTCGAATGCTCGGCCGAATCCAACCTCCACAAGCGGACGCAGATCATGGATCTCAAATAGAAGGGTCTTGTGGATTAACCGGAGGTTTATTCGGAAACTCCGTACATATTTCTTACCACAGAAGATCAACAATCTCCTAAGACTGTTCCGATTGCAGATGTGCCTTCTTTCCACCCATCTGGATAACCGCTGCAAGCATCTTTGAATACTCGGCCGCTACATTGCACTCGTCATCCAATTCTTCGTCATCGAATTGGATCATAGTGCCCGTCTCAGCTATCCCCAATTGCTGAATTAGGGTTACCACCAGGATGGCAATCAGCAAGCTCCTTAGACTGTTTCGATTGCAGATGTGCCTTCTTCTGACTCAGCAGGACAGCTCCAGCAAGTATCTTCGAATACTCGGCCGAATCCAGTATCTGCAAACGGACGCGGAATATAACTCTCGATCAGCAGAGTATCATGAGCCAACCGAAGATTCAGTCGAAAGCTTGGGCACGCGCTTGAAGATATCTCTGGTCAGCTTCCTTGTCTTGATACTCGTCGTCTCCAGCCTGAAAGCTGCGGAGTTATTCGCGCTACAGAAGAGAACCAGGCTCCTGAGGCTGTTTCGATTGCAGATGATATCTATATCATCGAATCCGAGTCCGGGGCTAATGTCCCCTGGTGCCCGGAATATTCGGCTTCCGTTGAGTCCGGGCCCAGGTGACATGGTATCTCGCCTAATGCGAGACTCCGATTGTTGGCAAGACGTTGAGACCACCTTATCTTCTCTTCGATAATGGGAGAAGGCCGGCTTTGTGAGGGAACAACAGGACAGTATCGATCACTGTTGGGTGAGCGATATGCTCAGCTCCCTCGTCGCTGGCTGATTCGTGGTTGCCGATTCCCAAGCTCCTTAGTAGATATGGTCTTGTATATTTCCGATCCGATCTCGATCTCATGGTCGCTCCCGTTCCATTTTATTGACGCCTGCTGACGAACGACTAGGCTGGAACAATGGGGGATCAGCGAGGAAGATGGATCGTTTTAATGATGTTGCCCATCGTTTATTTGAGTTGGAGGTTGGGAGGCTTATTTATTTGTGAGAGTGGTGAGGGAAAAGCTGAGAAGGTGGGTGCAGGTGCGGGTATTTATACCTTTTTGGCTGCTTTTTGGGTCCTTTGTCTGCTTCCTAGGTACTTGGTACTAAAACACTTCTCCGTTCACCGAACACTACGCAACAAAGGCAGACTTTCAGGTAAGAACTATGAGTCGAACCAAAACTAAATCGCACAGTTCATACTCTTGGTTATCGAAATTCTGGTTGGCCGATGCCGTGCCCATACGGTCGGGTGGATTAAATATACGTAAGAGAAAGAAAATAAAGTTTGACAACAATGAAGCTACCAGGGCCCGGAACGACTCAACGCAGTGAATAGTTGATTGAATATAGAGGGCCATGTTCAAGGTTTAGAGCATATTGTCCTAACTCAACTCTACACAAGGGAGAGACCGTTGGCTGTCTTTAAACAACTAAACTGGGGGTTTCATTGAGTCTAAAAGTTAAGCGGACTGGTTCTCGGACGGGTCTAGACTGAGGGTAAACTAAGTTATGAAAACAATTATGATTATTTCAATAGTTTTCGGGAAGCTCAGCCGTTCACTTTAGTTCGGGAACACAATATATAATATCAGCTTATACAGATAGGCATTATATACTGTAAATCGAAACAGAGTGCGCGATTATATTAAGTTGTTTCTAATCAACCTTTGTCTCTAAGCCTATTATGTCAAAATAGGGTTGGTGTTAACTTTAAGGATGTAAAAATAGCTCTACCCTATAGGATGCAATCGCGATTAATATCTTGATATTGGAGTCGGTGAGATAGACCTAGATGAGAGGCATGATTAATAGAATCTATCTAATAGATAAGATATAATTAGTATAGTACAGGTGCTTAAGTTAAAAAGTTTAATTCGTAGAAGAAAAAGTTCGTTCCATTACGTAGCCTTAGCTTTGCTGTTGTCTTGATACAAATCTAAACTTGCAGTAGTAGTTGACTCCTTTTGTCGGCATGGCCGATTTCATGAACCTTGAAATATTACTCCTCCGATAATCACAGATAACTTATAATGGTCCGGAATTGATCTTAGTAGGTAGCTTTAACAAGAGCTTCATAGACTGTCTTCTGCAGTAGTATCTTTCAAGTTTTTAGTCGTCACTTAAGAAAAGAAAACAGTAGAGGTCAATCCACGTAGGCGTAAAGAAAACAGTTCAGTTTATCATTTTTAATCATTAAACTAAGGGATATGCTTCATATTGATGCTATGCTATTTAAGATTGCGCGCTCGCTCGCTCCAAATCCAAATTACTAACACCAATACCATTGCGTTTGAACCCGCTCAGAAGGCGAGTTTTTGCGTTGTCTCTACGGAGACCAAGAGCCATCCCCTATGAAGCCACTTTGTTACCAGACCATTTGTGGCTATGACTAAAATCATGTACCCCGATACCCAAACGCCAAGCTTGACCTGACCAGAGCAATTTGATCGTTACCAAAAGAAAAAGCAAAAGAAAAATATAGAAAGCCGTGAGGTGAGGTCAGAACAAGTAGCCCCGTGAGATTCTAAGTTTTGATATACCCTTCCAATCAAAGAAATCGTTCCGAACAAGGCTTAGGCAGCTGTTGCCCATTCAACAGTCTCCAGAGCGAGCATGACTAAAATGAGAGTAGACGGCAAAATCCTACAAAGGTCAGTTAGATACATCCATATTGCAAAAGAGTCGTAATGAGATTGTTTCAACATACCAAACAACATAGCTCTGGAACAAGATCTTGCCCATGGTCTTCTCGTAGACGTTGTTGATTTGGCAGATCTGAGCGAGCTGCAGAGCACTGGGTGCACCGGATAGCAAGAAGCATACAATAACAAAGATGGGATCGTCCAAAATACTGATTGGCAGGTACTTTGCTGTGAGGGCAAGGATGGGCGCCATGATCATTGTAGGCAGAAGCATTCGGCTGATGAGGGAAGCAATCAGCAGCTTCTTGCCAATCTTCTCCTCCTCTGGGTCAAATTCTTCATCGTGGGCGGCCGTGTTGCGTGCCAGATTAGCTCCCAATACAACCAAGATCAAGGGTACAGCAACATTTCCGTTAGATCTGATCGCACTTGTGACACTGTTTTGCACAAAGGAACCCTCTTGGAAGAAGAGCCTTTGTAAAGCGGGCACCGACGCAACGACAATGGCACAAATCATGGCCCAGAGAGGTGGGTTCATGAACTCCCAGATGAAGTTGTTGAACCTGACTGCTGCTGACTTGAAAGCTGAGAAAACAGTCTGAAGTGGTTTGGGAGACTGGGAATAGATGTGGCTAAAGAAATCGGAAGTGGCTGTCTTGACTTGGGATGACTTTTGGTGCATCCATTGCTTAACACCGGAAGCAGATTCCTCAACAACTTCGTTATTGGAGTTCACAACACGAACGTGAGGAATAGACAAGTGATCGTCGGACTCGTCGGTGCTGGAAGGGTCATCACGATAAGGCTGAACCTTGTGAGCCGCCTTTCCCTTGGGGTCCTCGTTATCAACCAGATCCACAAGCGTAGCTCTTGAGGCACTGGCGATCGGGGTTCGACCCGCCGGGTCGTAGTGTCGCGAATCATTGCTGCACGTATCCTCGTCCTCGGTGTCGCCGTCCAGGCCATCAATCAGTGGCCGGGTTTCGTTGTCATGCGCCAGGCATGGACGACCTCCCTCCTCGGTAACATGATCCTGATACTCTTCGTATTTATCCTTGGGAGCCAAAAGGACATGGTAACCCCAGCTCCATCGAACCAGCTGACCGAGCTGCTGGAATATCAAAAGGTAGAGGATGCCACGAGCGGCAACCTCGTCGTCATTATCCCCAGGTATCCTGTCCCAATGCAAGCCTTTCAGGGTGGCCGATAGCGAGATAACGAGAGAAATAGGCAACGAGTTCGAGTTTCCGAATACGCTCATGGCAGTAATAAAGTTGGAAGCCCGTTTGTTGAATCGGAAGAGCTTGGCGACGACCCTGGCAACGAGCCATGAAACTAATGTCTGGACGACGAAGATAGCAGGGATAATGGCGAGATCGGAGAGCTTCTTGGCGTTAAGCTGGGATGCGAGCTTCGTAAAGACTAGGGACAAGATGTGTTAGCAAGAGATCGGCGGGGTAGGAACGGAGAGCGCATCGTACTTAGGCATGGCGTAAACAGCATTACATTGAGATTGGCAAGAAATTTTTGCTTGTCGGCATCGAAGTGGCCAAGCCGGGCGACGATATAACCGGGCAGACTGACGCACACGACCTCGAGGACGGCGGAAAAGACGAGGAGGCAGAGATTGGGGAGCGACGGATGCGAATCGTGGGTGTTCTGGAATGTGCGGAAGGGGAGCTCGTACGCGGACTGGGCGAGATCGTGGTATCGGAAGGATGTCGGCGCAGTGAAGGCGCCGCCATTGGAAGCCATCACGGACGAGAAGCAGGCGATTGACCTAGCGGGTGAAGCGAAGATTGATGGCGATGGGAGGTTTGGAAGCGTCGGAGGTTGAAGAAGAAGAGGGAAGGGGTCTAAAACCTGGCCAGCAAGATGAGACTGCCAAGCGCACAAAGGCGATGAGATAGTGGACAGTGCAGTTCCAGGGGCCCCTGCAAGCTTCGTGGGTATCAGTTAGGCTTCCTGGGCAGGCATGTGGGCGGTAGAAGCAGGCAAGTGGGTGGAATAAAACATGGCACATCGAGATATTTCAGTATTCAATCCAACAGAATTTCTCAATCAATAACCCAGTACTGAATACAATATCAAGCTAAATATTAGAGAATAATTTATTACTCTCTAATTACTCTCTTATTATTGTGTTGAGGCAAAAAGCAAGGTCCCTACCTTACGCGGAAAGAGCTTTGGTGTGCCACGTTTTATTCCACCCACTTGGCAGGTACTGAGGCTGTCGTGTGCAAATCAGACGGTGGGTCAAAACCCTGCAGGAGGTACGGGCGATAAGCTCTGGGTTGCACAGTACTTGCAAGTACCTACATTGATGAGGCGCGTGTGGGTGGCGCAGGCGGTGATTCAATTTAACACCACCTTTCGCGTCTCATTGCCCGACACGTGGGCAGCTGCCCCCCTCGGATAGGTGCTGGCCAGCTGAAGCCCACCAGCAGGCCATTAAGCTCCGGCTGGTTTGCATCCCCGCAGCTGGCAAAAAGCAAATCGCCCCCTGGCCACTCACCGCGCGGCATCGACCAACCGGGCGCAGCTTGTGGAAGTCTGTTTTTGCCTCCAAGTCGATGGGCTGTGCCAGAACGAGAGCTGTTGTGTTGTCTCAGCAAACAAGGCGCGCATGTACTGCACTGTACATTGGCCCCTGCTGGACCCTTGCCAATGAAATTACCTTATCAGCGCGTAGGCCCCTCTAAAACGCATCACAAATTCCCAACGGTGGTGCTGCCCAGCGGAAAGAGTGGAGTTTGCACCGCTCCTAGTGGATTGCATTCTGTGACGTTATCCAGCAGGAATCCGCCGCCATTCGTCATAGACAATCAATTATTACCGAACAGAGGCCTGTCCCCGTGTCGTGCACCATCTCGATCGTGAGCAGCTTCGTCAGAGCATCGCAAAACACGTTTATGCCTGTACCTGTCCAACGCGAATCCGCGTCATAGACTCTCTGCGCCATCGCCCCCATCGCAGCTCTCTTTGATGCCAATTACAGGCAAAACAAACATCCTTTATTGCTTGTCGGAGGCCTCTTCCGTGGTGTGGGCCAATGCCTGGCCTTGTCTGACGGCTTTGCCTCTTCATGGACGTGCGTGTGGCATCAAAATCGAATCATTGGCGATTCCTCCAGGATACAGGAATAAAATGTGCCCACTTTTTAGAGTTGCAGACTGTTTCGAGCTGAAGCTGGAAGCATCCATCTACTTTATTTCATGTCCTAGAAGAATTAACCGAGCCTCTGACCACCCTCAAGGCTAACACCGGCCGTAGATGTTTGTATACTGATATACCGTTAGCTGGGAAACCGGACATGTCACAAAGCGACAAAGTTCTCCAAAGAAATTACTTCCCTACTACACTAACCAATCCCGAAGCCGCCAACATCCTGAATATCAATACCAATATATTTGGGATATTAGGGCTATATGTCTAAAATGAACTGTAAAAATAAACGAGACTGGTATCAAGCTAACTCCATTATGCAGCATCTGGGACAGCATCTTCTACCCACTTATACAGAACATCCATCCGTACAGTGAACTTCTGTCCCTTCTTCACCTTGGCGCCTTCGTGGAGCAGCCGCTTATGCTGGAAGATGAGAACGCTCCCTCCCTTGGGATTGATGTCAATTCGACGCTCTCGGTCTCTTGACAAGAACCCGGTGGCACCGCCTACAAGCTCGCTGCCTGGGGACACCTCTGCCGAATCATTCAGATAAAGGTGTACCGTATACTGGGTTTGGAACATGTTGCCATCCTCCTCGTACGAGACAGCTCCATCGACGTGAGCTACAAGCAGCATGTCAGCCGTGTTCAAAATACAGCATGCGATGAGAAAACTGATGAGATAAGCCGGTAGGAATGTTGCGACTTACGCTTGAAGAACTGCCCAGGCGAATATCTGAGGAACCTCATCCTCTTGTTGATCCGGCTCAGCTCCCACTGGCCTGCAGGCCGTCCCAGAGGCCCGTATCCATCATCGCTCCTCACAACGGCGAGCTGCTCGGCCAGGCCCTCAGCCCGGCAGCACCGCTCCCAAATGCGATCGGTCAGCTCCTGTCGGTCCCACACGATCCTGTCGCTCTCTCTGTATCCGGGCGCGGGGCCCTCCAGGCCGGGGGCGACAGCGATCATGGCGGGCCGCCATGGACCCTGGTTGGGATCATCCTCCGAGGCGGGCAGTACCGACTCCTCGGCCAATTGTATCAATTGGGCGCATTCCTCTGGTGATACGACGTTGTCCAACGTGACGGCATAGCATTTCGCATATTCGGGAACGTCGGATGTGGCGAAGGGGACAGGGGTACACGTAACTGGCTTCTCTGGCGGGCCGCGCAGGAAGTCGTCGGGGATGGGAATGTCCTTGGACTCGTAGGTGACAGCGCGAGGCTGCATGGACTGCGCCTTCCGAGTAGGCGCCTGGGTGGACAAATATTGACCCATCTTGTGATGTCTTTGGTGATGTCTTCAATCTATATCAATGCTGAAGACTTTTTATTCAATGAACAGAGGGAGCTTGCAGGCTTATTTAATGATGCAGAATAGATGACAATGGCGGAAAGAGGACACATCAACAAATGGCCAAGTCTGCCAATTTGATTGCTGTTCATTTCATTTAGTTGTTGCTGCCTGTATACTAGTGCTCTTGGTGGCTGGGGCTGTGTAAGCTCAGCCCTCAATGACTCAACCAGCTTAGAATGCCAGGTGGTCACTGCTAGCATCTCAGGTAGTAAGCGCTCAGTGGTGAATACATTGAAGTCCTTTCAATATGGAAAATTCAGTTATGTAGTAAAAAAATGTGAGATGGCTGAGCTTTTTGTGAACTTGGCTGATCCGGCTAGTTGCATTGTGAAAACATAGCCCTGGGCAGTAAAGTGAGAACCCAGTACGTGACAACTTTTCGCTCCTATCAGCTTCTCAAATTGTTTTCTGTTCTCACTTCAGGTCTCTCATCTTGTGCCATAAACAAGATTGGGTAATTAGGCATCTCCACCACTTTTGACACCGTCACAAAGGGTTTCGGCGCTTTGAGACTCTTCCTCGTACTTAACTGAGCATGACTCTCAATATTGCTAACGGCGGAGGGTAGTTTGGAAAGGCAACAATAATAGATGTAAATAGTAGAGATAGTAAGAGAAAGACCAGGAGGCTCGAAGGTGTCCAGAAATAGCAATGGCAAACACAGCCCATGTTCCAAAGAGACTCAGGAGAGCTTATCGAATATATGATAGATGGGGTAGGCTTTCGTGAAATTCGAAATTTAGATATGTAGAATCCGGCGCGGAATAGAATTTGAAATGACAGCATAAGGCGAAGTAAGACAGCCAAGAGAGTCGTAGGAAACATAAACACTAGATATCCCACGTTGAAGAGGTCTCTCAGATGACAGTTATCTAGGCCTGATCATGTAATGATATTCAGCCTTCGAACTACTACCTCCAAACACACGCCTTTTTTTCGTTCAGAGAAATCGACATCACGCAAGCACCTTCGGATTCTTCAAATTGGCGCAAGGTTTAGCCTCGTTATATAACCTCTTATGCGCAGTCAACTACTCAGTTCCTAATTAGCAAAGCCCGATGGCTTGAATCACAAGAACAAATAAGTGTCTGATAAACATTCATGGTCATTTAACGTCATGATAATTTTTGCTACTCAATCTGTGGTTTCCAGACTCAAATGACATTAGCAAAGCGAGCACAGAGGATCATACACTCTGTCCTTGATATATGCATCCAACACCGTATCACCCTGTTGATCCCACAGGTTCCATTGCGAGTTGTCCAATTTCGAAACACCGCCTCGGCGAGCCGACTTCATTACTTCTCGGGCAATAACGATGCTTGTCTCTCTCACGCGGTCGATGCGTGGATAAATTAGACCAATCTCCTTCTCCTCTTTATTCACAGAATCCGCGAGCGCAACAGCAGCGGTATACACCATGTCATCCGTGACGCGCGAGGCCTTGCACAGAATCGTACCGAGGCCCAAGCCCGGGAACACGTAGACATTGTTACCCTGGTTAGGGTAGTAAGTCACGGTCCCTTTGCCGTCACCAAAGTCGACCTGTTCATCAGCGAACGGGGAGCCAGAAGCAAAAATGACAGACCCGTCAGTCCACTTGACAGCCTCCTCAAAGGTACACTCAGCCTTTGTCAGAGGGTTACTCAGAGGGAAGAGAATAGGCCTGCGGTCCTGGCCAGCCTCCTTGACCGAAGCAGTGAGAGCCCTCACCACGCGTTCATCAAAGATGCCATAAGTTGCTGCAAGTCCAACCAGGGCACTTGGCTTGACATACTTGATCACCTCCTCCAGTGTCTTGAATTGCTGACCAGCATTATCCGTGCGGGCAAAGTACTTCTTGTGCTCGGCCAGCTTGTCAGGGCGGTCTGCTGTGACGAGCCCCTTGGTGTCCACAAGCCAGAACTTGCTTCGAGCCTCGTCCTCGCTTAGGCCGCGTCGAACGTAGTATTCCACCAGCTGCTTAGCTACACCCACACCCGCGGAGCCTGCTCCCATGAACACCAGTCTTTGCTCTTCGAGGGGGACTCCGGATCGATCGACTGCGCCAATGTAACTATTGTATATAGTCAGCAAAAGAATAGTAGAGAGAAGAATTAGGTTACATACCCTCCGAGAACCACGGATCCAGTACCCTGGATGTCGTCGTTGAAACAAGTATATTGATCACGGTATCGATCCAAGTAGCCGAACGCCTTGGTGTTCTCAAAGTCTTCGAATTGGATGACCATATCAGGCCATGTCTCGTGTGCTGCTTGCATGAACTCGTCCGCCAACGCTTGCTGCTCACTTGGTGACACTCTTTGCTGTCGTAGGCCGAGATAGTGCGGGTCACTCAGATTCTTCTCGTTACTGGTTCCGGTGTCCAGGATGACGGGGAGGGTCTTTTGCGGGTTGATGCCGGCTGCGGCGGTGTATAGAGCCAGCTTTCCAACCTGTACACAGGAGAGTTAGTCCAATGGACTTGGGGGATGGGTAGACATATGCGCTTAGGGCACTGGTGACAGTTGGAACTTACAGCAATCCCCACTCCGTTGAAGCCCAGGTCGCCAAGTCCAAGGATGCGCGAGCCGTCAGTCACAACACAGATTTCAGGGCTCTCGTGGGGCCAATTTTGTAATATCTCCTTGATCGATCCTCTGTGGTTAATAGAGATATGGAGAGCCTCCGGTCTCGTATATAGGGCAGAGTATTGCAAGCAAACATCGCCGATGGTTGGGGTATAAACGAGGGGCATCAATTGTCGGACATTGTCCATGAGGAGACGGTAGAATAGATCAACATTATAGCTCTTAATACTCGAAAGATACAGGTATTTGTCGATGTCTGTTTGTCTCGACTCAATCATCGCCATTGATCGTGATGCCTGTGTCTTCAGGCTCTCTGTGACATGTGGGAGGAGGCCGGTGAGATTCTTGGTCTCGCGTTCTTCATTTGTGTGGGACAGCCCTAGGCAGGGAACCGGTTAGCCACACGTCACTAATCCTCATATATCCAATACGGAAGAGACAGGCCTACCTTTGTTCAAGAAAGGGGCCCGCATCATGTGCTGGGCGTTGAAGAGGGCAAGTCCCTGCTCCAGAATCTCTTTGACGGCTTCTTGCTGTAGGGCATCGTTGTCTAGAGGCATTGCTATGGAATCTGATGTGGCTTTTAGAGATAGTGCCGAAGGAGGAGAATACTCATGGGTGAGTGAAAGTGGGCGAGGACAATGCATTTTGGATATCAAATTTGAGACGCAGATTACAACAAACTACTAGTATCGGTGAATTGGAAGTGAGAAGGGGGTGAGAAGAGCAGGACCTCTTGTTCCCTTTTATCAATCGACTCTAACTCCCTAGTGAGCCACATGAAAGAGCTATGTCATTCCCCATGGGGGAATGTCTGCCGAAATTACCCGACCATGGATGAATGGCATTGAGGATCGCCAGCCACATGTGAGCAAAGGCAGTTAGGGCCATGTCGTGATGGATGAATTGTGACTAACACTAGCAGAATAATCAATAACTCTGTTGTTTTGGTGTCGTTTAGAGGAGTCATCAATGGATGCAAGACGTTGAAGCCCCCTTCCGCCGGAACGAGAAATAATCGGGGGCCGGGCGAGCGGAGTATGACCGGACATGGTCTCTCGGGGAGTTTCGCCGAACGGCAGCTGGTTTCAGTCTTCCGTGAACTACATAATGTATGTGAAATCGATCTAATCTCTGGGCGATCTAGATGGTTTCACCCTGGCCAGTTGAGCCCAGTATGGGAAAGATCACATGTCGGGGTTCGGGGTGTCGGAGAATCGCCGACTTATGCATCATGCTTCGGGTTTACCCGCCACATGTGAGATTCACTCCCCGCAATACCTAGGCATCTCCAGCTCCGAGTGACAAGCGCTTTCCAAGGAAAGCCAATTGTGTGAGCCCAGATCCTATCCCATTGTAGGAAGTAGAAGGTCTTCCCCGGCCTCTCGGAAGATGACGGCTGAGGTTGCGTATCGTGGGGAGACTAAGCCCAAGATTGGTAAGGAATGTCAAGAATGAGAGCACGGAGATATTTCGCTGTGAGATGGTGTGTCCAATAATGCGGGGGAACCCCAGTCAATCATGTTACTGTGATCTTAGTTCATCTACTAATTGTCAAGGTCCAGATTCCCCCCGATTCATCAACGGCTGGCACTAGACTTTCTTTGATGTCGCGTGCGTGCTCGTCAAACTAGCTTGAAAGCTTAGCCAGCAAACTTCCATCCGTCCTAAAGTGAGAGCATGACTCATACGAAGCTGATTGTTTCTCATTCAGGCTGCCCCATTCTCCGATTCAGGAAAGAACGTTGAAGACAATGACTCATTGGAAACGATCCATCCATGAAGCAGGGGTAATAACTGACAATTCTCCTTTTGCATCCAATTATCACTTTAGATTCTCCATTGTATGTAAATCAGTTGACATATAGATAGCTCCTCGGCTACACTAGGAAGTGGATCTGGCTCCGAGGCAGGGTCTGAGAAGTGGTTCGGCAGGATTCAGCTTCATTAATCATTGCTCTGGATAAGTTTCTATAGCCGAGGCCTTCATCGTCGTGATCCACTCCCTGAAGCAGACAGCGGATGATGTTGGCTTTCTAACATCCACTGTAAGAGGTTCAATGGAGCTTTGCACTGAGCAACCGACCATTGCTTTCCTTATATTCAGCCAACTCCGCTAAGTACCAAGTTCCACAGCACATGACGGTTGCAAGGCATGAAACCTATCTCAATAGACACGCCAACTCTCATTTCCCTGTCACTTCGATATCAACCCGTCCTCTTTTTAAACGGACACACTCGTTCCTTGGCGTACAACAAAGCCAAGTGGACTTCACACGATGGATTAGAGCAGCGAGTAGGATTCTTCCGTCAGTGACCCTGGTCTTCACCTATACCTACCCATAGTAATTTGAGTGTGCTATGGCTACCAACCGCCGTTTCTCATCCATGACTGTAAATAGCCAAGATAAAGATAAAAGTGCGATCTACAATGCTACAACTAATCAACTTCGAGTCGCTCAACTCATGTTGATCTTACCCTTCCTGCAAAGGGAAGCGTGAAAGCCGCCAGTGAGATCGCTATGTCATTTCATGCCCAATGAGGACAACCTTAGTCTTAGAATTAGTTAAATTCTCTCCATCATGTTCCAGAGGGAAATCTCGTATAATGACCTGAGCCTTTACTGTCTTAATCTACAGCCAGATAGAACCGGTCCATGGGGTTGGTGAGGAGGGGACACATGCGCGTTTGCTAGACTTCTTATAGGCAGAATTTGACATCTAGCTTTCATCAATTGGTGAGATGGCCGAGTTGGTTATGGCGTCAGGTTAAGGCTACCTTAGCATTCATTCCTGGTGGAGCAATCCTCCTGGGTTCGAGTCCCAGTCTCATCATTTCTTTTTTCTCTTTTTTCTTATTTCCTGCAAATGTACATTTTTTCCCTAGCTGTAAGGCTTTCTCTATTAATACATTAATTGATAAAAGTTTTCCATGCTAGTTTTCTTCTTTCCTCTTCACTTGCCAGTCCTCTTCCACTATTCCTTAGCTGGAACGCTACTTGATGGTCAAGATGCCGACTCAACCGAGACCAGCCATAGAATGCCAAATAACAGCGCCACAGCCGTTCAGCTTCGATCAACTAACCAGAAATTATTTTCTACTGAGGCGTAAGCTTCGCAGATGAATCCGATGAATGCGAGCAATCGAACGCTAGCCGAAATGGTGTCCACAACCTATGCTCTTATAAACCTCACCACGATGTATTCACGCTGCATTAACCAGCTCTCAGAACCTCAACTTCTTGATAACAAATCAATGACCTGGCCGAAAAATCGATATGGTTGTGCAAGACGTCCTCATCCTCGGTGCAGGCCCGTGTGGTCTTGCAACAGCAATCGCTCTATCTAAAGCTAACTCAGCGCCGTCCGGCAACGCCCAGCCACTCCGAATCACCCTCGTCGAGCTGCGCTCCAGCATACAGACAATCGGGGGTGCGGTGAATGTGACGCCTCTAGCCATGCGCTACTTGAACTCCCTAGGCGCAGAGAAGAAGTTGCTTGGCCACTCAATCTCCCTAGACCATGGTATCGATTACATCTCGCTGCGCACTGGTCAGCTATTGGGTAACTTCTGGGGAGGGATTGGGGCTCGACGAGTCTCCAGACACGCTCTCGTGGAGGCTCTTCTTGCAGTTCTGCAAAAGGAGCACTCGGAAACGGTCGAGGTCCGATGGGGGAGGCGCGTGACTGAGATATGCGAAACAGCCGACAAGGTTGAGTTGAAGTTCCAGGACGACGGGCCCGCACTGCAAGGCGATATCCTGCTTGGATGCGACGGGCTTCACTCGGCAGCGCGACGACTCTGGGTTGAGCCGGGGCGCGACAAGGTCTACAGTGGCCGCGTGGTTACCATGGGATGGAGTTACGCCGAGGATGAAGGCGGCTCAAACCTACCTCAGCCAATGACATTATCGACGGGTGAGCCAGCGCTAGTCGACACTTCACTTTTCAGCGGTCCTTCGGGGGTAATCTTGGCTTCGTATTATGAGTCAAGCAGGAGGAATATCTACCTCAGCTGTGTCATGTCCATGGACGAACCTGAGACCGCTGACCAGAACGCGTGGAAAATGTTGGGAGATGACAAGGAGAAGATGAGGAATGAGATTTTGAAGCTTTATCAAGACACGAAGGTCAAGGGGTTGGATACGATGATTTCCAAATGTGAGAGTTGGGACTTGTTCCCCATCTACATCTTGCCCAAGGAGGGTCGATGGCATAAAGGCCGCGTTCTTTTACTTGGAGACGCTGCGCATGCGGTAAGTCGAACCCTCGCTGTCATCAAGAAAAACAGAAACAAAGAAAACTAACACGAGCCAAAGATGCCGCCACAAGGGGAAAGTACCGAATTTGCCATCGAAGACGGGTTGCTTATTGCAAAGGTCCTGGAAAGGCGTGCTTCTAGACCAGTTGACCAATTGTTTGCCGACTACGAGTCTGTACGCAAACCCGTCATCACTAAGCACTACGAACACGCCGTTTGGTCGATGGACATGGGCTTCAAGAAAAGGGAAGGAATTGGCCTGGTCATTATGGAATGGGTGACATGGGTCTTTTTGCTATTTCGGCGATGGGGACAGAAAGCCCGTTATTCTGGGGATGTGAGAGAAACAGTTTTGCCTGAATAGCCTGCATGGTTCCGTGACCGAAAGGATGGGATTTAATACCTCTAGCGTAAATATTTGAGGAAAATGTGTTCTCTATAGATCGATGTTAGTCAACGACAAGCATCAATGCCCACTTCCGACTCGTAATCTAATCTAATCCATGGAAGTCGGCACATTGGATATGACCAATTAGGCAGATCGAGTAATCGACCTACTCCATAGCTGGTACACAATTATCCAGCCTCCACTCAGCGGGTATCATCCAAAGCTTTAGGAGTATTCTGGGTATCGCCCCTCTCTTGCCGCCACTAACTCTAGGAGCTAGAAAGATTAAGATGCACTGATGACGCTTCGTAACCAAGTGGATTGATGCTCTCAGGTCAGGACACAAGAGGTTACCAGTGGAGAATGGAGAACGGAGAATGAAGTGCGGAATTGAGGTTGACCGGATCGCCATATCACGCGTCTTATTTAGATATAAATTCACGGATGCGTCTCCTCAGAATGCCTTATTCTCGGCAGTTTCCTCTACAGTACTTTATTCCTTAAACTTCTTCAACGATGGATATTTCAAAGTTTATCAAGCCTTGGATGCTTGGTCAGCACGAAAAGTTCATCTTCAGAAACGCAAAGATTGTTGATCCTACCGGGGGCGGCGTGTCCGACGATGTGACTGTCGTCATTGATGGTGGCCTCATCAGTTCCATTTCTCCAGAGACACCATCAGAAAATACATTTGCGGATGTGAAACCCGAGAACGTGTTAGATTTACAGGGTAAATACATCTGCCCCGGTCTTATTGACTGCCATGTACACATCGCTGTTGTTCCCGGAGAAGCCAATCTGGCATCATACAGCGATATGACGGAGCAAAAGAGCCTGGTCCGCCAGCCAAGCGTTCTCAAATCGATGCTTCACCGCGGCTTCACCTCCGTCCGTGACTGCGGCGGTGCAAGCCTGGCCATGAAGGAGGCCGTGGAAGAAGGGATTCACCCAGGTCCTCGGCTCTTCATCGCTGGCCGCGCACTCTCCCAGACCGGCGGTCACGGCGACATGCGAAGCTCGCATGACACTCAACCTTGCTGTGGAGGAGCTGTGTCGGGGATCAGTCGAATTGTCGACGGCGTCCCGGAATGTTTACGGTATGCACGAGACGAGATCAGGCAAGGTGCGGATTTCCTGAAAATCATGGGCGGCGGAGGAGTGGCCAGCCCTACCGACAAGATTGAGCACCTTCAGTTCTCTGACGAGGAGATCAGGGCTATTGTCACTGTGGCGAAGAACGCCGGTACCTACGTGACGAGCCACTGCTACACCCCGGAGTCCATCCAGCAAGCTGTCCGACAGGGTGTACGGGGCATTGAGCATGGGAACCTGATCGACCTGGAGACTGCCAAATTAATGGCCGAGAAGGGGACTTTTCTTACACCTACGCTTGTCGTCCACGCCATCGCGCAGAAACTCAAGTTCCTCAGCCCGGAGGGTGACCGGAAAAACACAGACGCTTTTCATAAAGGCCTGGCTGCGCTGAAGATGGCGACAGATGCTGGTGTTACGGTCTGTTTCGGTACTGACCTCCTCGGGCCTCTTCACTTCGCCCAGAGCCAAGAGTTTTCCGTCAGAAGCCAAGTCCAGACCCCACACCAGATCTTGCAAAGTGCCACGGTCAATGCAGCCAAGCTGCTAATGCAGGAGGACAAGTTGGGCCAGGTGAAGGAAGGTTTCTTGGCTGATCTTTTGGTACTTGACAGCAATCCACTGGAGGACATCACTGTGCTTGATCAGCCCGAGCAACACCTCTTGGCTGTCATGAAAGATGGGAGAATGATGACATCAGGGAGTGCTCTTGGGGTACCGATTTCGTAAAAACTCTAGCCCGGTCCATGAAGATCCAGTCCAAAGTGTAGACAGTTTATGTCGAAGGAGAAGAACGGTGTAGTCCAATGAGACAGTTCTCCACAATCTACGTACCTGTTAGTCAATCTTCACTCCAATCTGTATTAGGAAATCCGTCACTTTTCAATCCGAACTGGCCTCACGGAGACCCCTACCCGAGGTGCGTCCTTCTCCACAGCGTTTGGTATCAAGAAATTGTGTTAGTTGTTTCACCAAGTGCACGGTATTCAACCATCTTCATCCCAAGCCCTACGGCTCCTCAGAATGCGGTTCAAATTAGGAGCAACGCTGGCCTAATTCAAGTAAGACGCCAAACTAGAACCACGGATCGCCTGGGTTCGCTGTTTGTTTGGTACCACCCGCTTATTCAGGAACCTTCCCATGGCAGTGGAGCAATAAAACGTAGTGACTAATCCCTTTACGGGGTGACCTTCCGAGGTGCAGCATTCTCACCTTCAGGTCTGGCGTCTGAGCTACCCGTGTGTTGCTCCTTTCAAACCCCCTCGCCAGACTCATCATATTCCGCGCCGCGCCACCGCCGCCGATCAAAGACAACATGGTATATCCGGGAAGACTAAGTCGTGGCTGTTCCCGCTGCAAGCAGCGCAAACTAAAGGTACCTAACCTGCCCTGCCCTGCCCTGCCCCGTGCTTGGAGCTGAGGATCTGCGGCTGAAAGCTTTCCCCTCATTAACTCGCCAATAGTGTGATGAAACTAAGCCCAGCTGCACGCGCTGCTTGAAGTACGGGAAGCCGTGTCCGGGGTATGAAAAGAACCTTGTGATTCGACAGGAAGGCACAAAATTCCAAGGCCAGGACCCGTCGTTGGGCGCCGTCGCAGTGGTTCCAAAACCCGGAAGGTCTCATCGAGGGTCCTCCTCTTCAGGCTCTTCAGGGTCCTCAGGGTCCGGTTCTTATTCCCAGCACATAATAGACCCGAATGATTTCATATCTACATCGCTTGATGTCATTCCGTCATGGGACTCCGAGGCCTTGGGGTACTTCATGCACCAGTATGTACTCCCTGAAGCAAATGACTGTTCAGGGTACCTGCATTTCTTGCCCAAAACCTATCTTGAATCGCCTGAATCCTCCTGCATTCGGGTAGCAGTAAAGGCATCAGCCTACCTATCCCTGTATCGCTATTCCAAGACGAAGGAGCATGAGATCCAGGCTCACACTTGGCACCATCACGCAATACGAGGTCTCCTAGAGCAGCTCAGGTCAGGCCACGAAGCGACGAGCGAGGAGACAGTTGTAACAATGATTCTTCTCAGTATTTTTGACGTAGGTTAGAGAGTATTTCGTTTACTTTAGCTTGGCGCTCATGTGATGTAGGACATCGACGGCCGCGGGGGGCACCAGAAAATCAACCCACATCTCAACGGGCTAATACACATCCTCCAACGAAGCAACCGGTCCCTCATCAACGCCCCATTCTTCAGCTGGGTGAGACAGCAGCTGGTGCGTACTGGCCCCCGACCCGTAGCATGTGCATTAGCGTGCATACGGCTAACATGGCCGGCAGATAATCAAGTCGTTTACCGCAGATTACCACATAGTAGATCCCAGCTGGGTCACGCCGTCAGCCAACCCCAATCCACATTTGGACAACTTCAGAGTGGTTGCCGTGAGAGTCAACCAGTTCATGACCTCGGGGCGGCAGTTGTTGGCAAAACTCAAACAGGTCAACGACCCTGCCAACAAGGAAGTGACCATGTCGCCTGTTGAACTAAAGGCCCAGCTACTTGCGGTAATACAGGAGGCCAAGTCCATCCAGCATGAGATTGACGAATGGATTTCCACGATCCCCCGATCTGATAAGTGGGGAACCATGTGCAAAGACGGGAAACCCAGCGTTTACGTCTTCTCGTCGAGATACCTCGGCTGCTACTGGATAAATGTGTTCACGACAGTCATCATCCTCCAGGGCAGCGTCATCGCCTGCTACGACATACTCCTCACGATGACCCGCTCCTCCGTCGACCTGAATTTGATCATGGCCAAGTCAAAATCCGGGAGCGAGGCGAAGACAATGTTGACACATATCCACAAGAGCATCCCATTCTCCATGGGGAACATTGACCAGGAGGGGACCAAGATCTTTCGGCCTGAGAGCAGATCGGCATACGGCTGTCTGCTGGTTTGGCCGCTGGCCGTGCTGGCAAGGTGCAGGCTCTCGGGTGACGTTGAAGTTAGGGATGCCAGGGCCGCACTTGAAGTAATATCGTCTACGATGGGAGTTGACTTGGCTCACTGGGTGCTCAACGAGTGGAGGTCGCCCCTCTATCCATTTATTCAGTAGCGACAATTTTAGCATTGATAATGAAAAGAAAAAAGCACGTAATCTACTACACGAATTTTCAATGTGATTGCCCACATTTTTTTTCTTCGACAGCTATAATTCATTAACATAGCTAATCGGGGCGACAGACAATTCTAGGGGCTGCCAAATCTGCAGTCTATGGCTGAATCATCTGCTTCGACAACAACTTCGGGCATGTCCTCACTTTTCACCTTATCAAAAAAAATCTTGGGTACCCTATACCCCCAGAACTCTATCCTATTTTACAATGAAAGCCAAGTTGATAAACAGGGCATCGAGCGCCTTGGGCGACTCCGAACGCTCCGAAGTTGGCTCTGCTTATTCGCCGCACGTTGCCCTTGTTTCCTGCCAAGGACAACAAAACGTGCCCGTCTGCAAATGCAGCAGGGCAGGAGCTCGCAGCAAATTAATGCCCGGAATCACCGGCATGTTGGCCTAACTTTGCAATGCAAAAGCGGTTCTAAGGCGAGAGGAGCGCATGAAATCCGGCTCATCTCAGCGGTTATGCCACTTCAAAAATGGCAGTCCTCCTATAAACACTTTGAACTCATCTATGCATCAATGCACTCCCAATCGTTGGTGGGCGATTTAGTACTCATGAAACGCAACTTGGCTTTATGAACACCAATCATTGTTTGATGAGGCTGACGACGACAATGGACGGTGGTCCCACGTTATTGAACACAGCCTCGATGGAGAACAAGGTAATTTCGTGCATTATGATGAGGCGCTCGCCTCAAAAGCGCGCATACAAAGTCCTTGGAATAAGGCAGCTACGTATTTAGGTCATGAATAATCGACAGTGTCAAGTGTTGAGGCTTATGGTCGTCAGCTTTAGATCTCACGCGTTAGAGACTTTCGCATGTGCGACACCGTGATAGAGTACTTTTCAAGGGGCTAGAACCAATTAGGCTACCACTTTAGAACTCCCTCAAGTCTTATCGTGACGTCAAGTAGGAGGTATCTGCAGCCCTACCACAAGTGCGAGTCAGGCTAAAGTGCCATCACTGACCAAAGTGACAAGCCAATAATCAATCATTAGCTCACAGTAGCTGGCACAGCCAGCTCAAGCTATGCACAGCCTAGCCGGATTGTGCATCCCAGCTTTGAAAAGCTGTTCCTAAATGCAATAGTCAATTCACAGGAAATTCTTTGCCTTGAAAGCAAACCCAATCACTGCCATCTTCCCCTATTCGCTGTAGGGTAGCTGCACAAGTATGGCCCTGATTGGCGATTTGATCTGACACGCAATCTGTCATCCTCCACTTCTGCGATGGTCCTCATTTCAAAACGGACGGTTCCTGTTCGATTCCCGCTACTAGAAGCAGGCCCGTCCCCTAAAAGTTCTAGTGAGATAAGGGATCAGCCGGCAGGACGGCCAAGTCAGCCATGGCCGAATTGGACCATTTGTGCCCAAGAATAGAGGGGCAGTGACTGCATTCTAGGAAGGAGGAGGGGGCTGAGCATAGTTGCCAAGCACGGATGAGGCCTTTGGCATGGCACAAAGAGGCACAGGAATGGGGCAGGTGGTCTTTCGTTCCAGACTTTTTCAGTGCCAATTCTGTCAGTTGGCGAGAAAGTGGTTAACTGATTGATAAATCTGCCCACCTTGGGGGTTGGATCTGGCACACGTGGCTCACCAGCAATTAAATCCCCAGGACTTGCCTCAGTCATTCTCCAGGTCTTGCTGTCGCATGCAGCCAATTTGCCTCGTGCACCAACGTCAACAGAACAGGTGGGACTGAACCGCTGCAATCCTCCGCCGTGGCTCCGCTGCCCGTCACAGCCCCTGCTCCTGCTCTGCGACACCACATTGCTTCGAGCTCTCTGGTTGGCTGGGAGACATCCGGTGAAGCCTTGCATAGGTCGCTTTCGTTGTTCTTCTTACGCGGCCGTAGTACTTCTGAGAGCAGCGAGTGACTGGCCAGTGCATCGCCTTATGTTCGTACTACATCTCAGTTACGTGACTCCTCATAAATAACAAGCAGACACCTTCCCCGACATTACCAAGAAGATCTCAATTCTCAATCGAGGGACGTGCTCACCTTTTCCAGCAATGCAACGCGTCGCGGAACCAAAATAGCGCCACGCCCCCTGTCCTTTGGCTACTGTAGCCTTGCCTGTCTCGTCCCGCCGCAACATCACTCCACTCCTAATTTTAAAGGGGTCAGTCATTATAATCTCTCGTGGTCCTGCCTCCCCGAGTCGCTTCCTCCGTCGTCATCGGTGTCTTGCTGCCCGACCAGTCGCTCCTTTACCTCAACTCCAACCGGTCTGCAGAGACCTGCAACTGCTGTACCATGGCTCGCTTTGCCAATAGCCTGCTGGTACTGGCTTTTGCCTTTCGTGAGTAGTTCCTCAGCCTCGTAGACCAAGATCGCAGTTTCCTGACCCATAATTATTTCAAATCTAGACTCCTTTGTCGCAGCAATCGACTGCAATGGAACCATCACAATCACAAGCCAGGATGACGCCAAGGACGTGCGGAAATGCAAGGTGGTCGGGGGAGACTTGAAGTTTGCGTGGAATTTATCAGAGAGCATCGACCTCGACGGTCTGGAGGGGGTCAACGGCTCGGTCAAGCTGACGACGTGTGACGATAAATGCGACGACATCACGATTCCCCCGCCCTTCAACATCAGCAGCCCCACGCTCAAACGCATCAACGGCAGCCTTTCGTTTTCATCATTTTACGGTCTCGAGAAACTTATTCTTCCTAATCTAAACAACGTCAACCAGAGCGTCTCCCTGTTGGATCTGGACAACGCTACACACATCGATCTGACTCGCCTAGCGACTGTCGGCGGCTTCGCCCTGGGAGCGAAGAGACTGGAGGAGCTGAAGCTGGATGGACTTCGGAACTTGACGGATAGCTCAACGGGGAACATCACCGTGTACGATGTCGGGACTATCCAATCTGTGGACGGGATATACGAGAACCCAATCGAGGGCCTGCAGCTCGGAGAAGCAAACGTCACTCTCAACAGAAACTACACCGGCAGTGTCAAGAACGTCACCTTCGGCTGGACCCGCGTCCATGATCTCTTGGTCGAGAGCGGGGCAGGAATATCGGTCACGCTCGGAGGACCCTCATCCGAGTCGGTTGAGATCGACTACCTCAAGCTGGGCAAGGGCGTCGTGGGACTCGAGCGTGGATCGCAGATGAAGAACCTGACGGTGAAGAAGTTCCAGAGCGACAGCATGAACATCACCAGCTTGAAGCTGGACTTTGACCAGGCGTCCGAGATCGCCATCGTGGGCACCTCGCTCAAATCGGTCGAGATTCCTTCCGAGGCAGAGAACTGGAAGAACTTGAACCTGACCATTTCAACTGTTCCGTTATTCGAATTCGGCTCGAAGTCCGCCGACGGGAGCCAGGCCTGGCATTGGCCCAAGGGGGACATGTCAGCCCTGCGCCTCGTCGGCAACATGACGGCGGATTTCCTGTAAGTCGTCATAACAGAATCTTTATCTCTGAACTGAAGAACTCTCATTAACTTGCGTCCTTAGCACATCCTTTGTCCAGGGAAGCACACGAGTTGTGAACACCTTCCACATCGACGACACGTCTGGCTCTGTCAACTGCACAGCCCTCGACCAGATCAAGGACAGGCTCCCCGAAAAGTTTTTCTGTCAAGCGCGTAATGACAACGGCGCATCCATGCCCGCTATTCTTCGTCCTTTACACATCGGAGTATTTTTAAGCACGGTTATCGTACTAGCATTATAAGGAGTTCCCAGAGAATAATCCCACTTACGGCCGCGAAGATGCCCAAGTTTAATGATATTTTTATACATACATATGCAGCACAGCACATATTTACTTTATTACCTTGACCTCGGCATCTCCATCAGTGACATGCCAATAAACTTCAACCCCGCTGAAAATCAAAACTCCGCCAACCTTTTGCGGTCTCCCAAGCGTCTCAGAATGACGTTTTCTCTGCGGCGCGCGGTCGGAAAAATGACAGGAAAGGGCATAGCCGGCGTGGATGATGGTATGATTACCAACACTGGTGCCCGCGCGAATATAATATGCTTTCGCCGTATTTTCGTTTATCACCCTTTAACTCCGTAACCTCCGTCGACTTTGCATGAGGCTCTGAGCATTCCTCGACCCCGATGCATGAGAAGGTTTAGGTACTCTGCTAGTGTAGTAGAGGAAAGTTCGGTAGTTTTTCCGGATCTCAAATGATATATAAAGGAGGCCTGATTTCTCTAGCTGGTGTGAAGATTCATGCTATGCACATTCCGGCTCGTCTCAGCCTGTAGCATTCAATAATCTCATTATACATCGTCAACAACATAAATCATCATGTCTTCTAGCCCAATCCTCCGCCAGGTCGGCCAGAACGGGCCTCGTATTCCTGCTGTTGGATTTGGTCTCATGGGCCTCAGCATCGCATATGGCCCCATTGGGTGCGCCCACTTGCCTATACCCTTATAGATATCTGTTTTAACGTCTCTGATTTAATTAGAACCGACGAGGAGCGCCTCAAAGTCCTGGACCGAGCGTGGGAGCTTGGCTGCACAAACTGGGATACTTCTATTGCATACGGCGATAGCGAGGTGCTTGTTGGGAAGTGGTTCAAGCTCCACCCGGAGCGTCGCAAGGACATCTTCCTCGCTACTAAGTTCGGGATCACTGCGGATGCTTCTGGTATCAAACTAGACTCCTCTCCGGAGCATTGCAAGGCATGCATCGAGAAAAGTCTCGAGCGTCTCGGGGTCGAGTACGTTGATCTGTATTACCTACATCGGGTCAACACGGAGGTGCCCATCGAGAAAACGGTCAAGGCAATGAGTGAGCTTGTGAAGTAAGCTGACAACCCCCCCTTAGAAACTTGAGCACGTGAAAGAGGCCTTCGAGGGAATATTCGCTAACCTAGTTTTCTGTCGCAGAGAGGGAAAAGTCAAGCTGCTGGGTCTTTCCGAGATCTCCTCGTCAACTCTTCGACGAGCCCATGCTATCCACCCAATTGCAGCCGTCCAGGTTGAATACAGCCCCTGGACGCTGGATATCGAAGGCCCCAGCGGCACATACCTCCTCAACACCTGCAAGGAACTCGGTGTATCCATATTCGCCTACTCCCCGCTGGGCAGGGGCATCATGACAGGCCGCGTCCGATCCGCAGCCGACTTCGCCCCCGACGACTTCCGCAGGCGCCTGGAGCGGTTCCAGGGCGAGAACTTCCAGAAGAACCTCGACCTCGTCGACAAGTTTGGGGATCTTGCCAAGAGCAAGGGATACGCGGCGAGCCAGATGGCGCTGGCGTGGCTGACGGCGCAGAGCGACCTTGTTTTCGTCATTCCGGGGACCACGAAGATCAAGTATCTGGAGGAGAACTGGGGTGCGGCTGGAGTGAAGCTGACGGAGGAGGAGGAACGGGATGTCCGCAAGTTCGTGGAGGATGCCGACTTGAGTGGGACCCGGGGCGCACTTTTGGGTCATTACCTTGATACTGCGCCTCTCAATGAATAGGCAGCTCACCAAGAGTAATTTGATACATCAATTAATTTAAGCTTCTCAAAATAGGGAATTCGCGGGCCGCCGGAAGCTCCGGGTCTCGTCTTGGTTTAATTACACCTTCGGTGTAGTAATGAGAAACGGTGGGCATTGCTCACTCAAACCTGGCGCTCCCCCCTGTCAGACGTGTTCAGTCAGAAGAGACAATTCGAATCCCTCACCTAGATGGAAGTGACCGATTTTGAATGTTAGCTTGTTTAACCCTAATACGATATTAAGAATGAGAGGCAAGTTGCCCTCCCTAGCCAGTCCGTGTGACTTGGATGAACGAGCTCATTGATACATTACTGGGCGTGGAGTTTCGAGCAGCTTTTCAACCTCATTGAGTCATAGCTAGCCTGCAATTATTACTGAGTAATCTCTTGACCCAGGAGTAAAAAAAGAGAACCCCTTTCCAACTCATTCTCATTATGGACAATAAAATTCGAATGCTAGAACTTTTCGTCTGAAGAATGTAGTAGTTTTGCGTCTTGCGACAACTGTCTAAATTATTACAAAACAACTCAATGCATAGACCTAGGATAAGTTTATGCTTGTTGAACACCAGGCACCGTAATTCGGTGAGGTTCATCAGGTACCGACTTTGATCTTTCAAGTGTTGATGTCGAGTTCCGCGTGAGCGAACTTGCCCATGTCTCACCCATGGCCTGCCTCGGACGCTCTTGTGCCACATCCCTGATCTCCGGTAGTCTTGTCGGCTCGGTCTCACTACTGTCCCCGGAGCTTGTGCAGTTATTTTGATGGCGGGCGCGGTGCTGTTGAATTGGACGCCAAGTGCTCAGACGTCCAATGGTGGGTGCAAATCCGATCGCGTTGGGACCAAGGTCTCGGTGGCAGTCGCAGTTGCATCTTCCGGCTATGCTTCCTATTTTGACGAGTTTGGCAATGAGGTCGGCCATGGATAGTTCGATATGTAATTTGATCAAGTAGGCAAGCGGGTGGAAGAATACATAGCTGAAAAAAAATCATTCGCATTAGGCTTTGATCATTGGGACGGAGTATAGTCGACGGAGACATACAAGTATTTGTTGTTGAGGGACATCATGGTGATGATGAGAACCTGGAAATTCACGTCAGCTCAGCCTAACATCAGCTGTCTCTGGCAAGGCAACCCACATCCATGGTCATTGAGATTGAAATCATGAAGATGTTTACACGATAGAGAGTCACATATCTCGATAGCCCACGCGCGATAAGTGTCGACCGCACAAGATAGACGAAGTAGAGGTTCAGGCACACGTCGATAATGGCGAGCATGACCTTTTCCGTACGGTCCCAGATGTCGTTGATTCGGATGTATCGTGGCGATATCTGGAGCTGGGCTGGTATCCAGATGCAAGCGACCGCAATATTAATGAGGACGATGAAGCCAAACACGGCCCATTTCAAGCGGCGCACAGTGGCGGCATTGTCGGCGATGAGGCCGGCTCGGTTGAGGATGATTTGATAGATGCATTGTACCTGAATTGTCCAGAGAAGAACTATTTACGCTCATGTTAACACTGGAGAATAGGGGACTTGGAATGAACACTCACTCGTTCCTCCAAAAAACCAGAAACTGGCCACTCATGTCAACAATTTTCCTTAAAGCCCATAAATTCGTGGGCATGATACGAACCTGGGTGGTATATGCCCGCGCATGTATGCAAAATAGATGACACCAATTATCGTGCTGGACCACAGCTCGAGCCAGATCAGCACCATGTAGAGGTTCACCTTCCGGATCCGCCTCCATTGGGCGTACGTCTGTGAGAAGCAGCGGATGAAGGCGAAGAGCGTTAGGGACAAGGACATGCCCCAAACCACGCTGGCGTCTGATAGCTCTTCACTGTTCGGGAGATCGGGAACGTAGTATGGAGGGACAAAGGTCCCGTACTGAGGCATGATGAAGCTGGTTCAGTGACACTGCCAGATTGTGGTGGAAGTATCGAGGTCCGTTCGGTACATCGAGGGTCACCCGCTTCAGCGGATTCACTTGGCTTTCCACGTCCAAAGCAACTGTCGTTCTGCAAATGCGCTCTGGCACGAACTGTGTCCCAAAGTAGTGGCTGTGGTCATTAGAACTGATGCTGCAGAGCGCACCTGGGACTCACGGCAAAGGGGATATGAATGGCAATAAATGAGGAGGCCGGGGCCAAGCCTTTGGGCCTTTCTGGGCTTCAGCTGGAGGCAAAACTAGCAAAGACATTACGCACTTTTGCATGTTTCCCCTTTTTGGGCGATTGGTCTCTCCTCCCTGTCGCCCTAGACCATTGGTTTCCTCGGGCTGGAGGAACTCCTTACGCTAAGACATATCATTTCTTTTTTGCTCTCAGATGGCGAGGAATGCGACCCTCTAGGACGGGCCCTATTTCGCCCTGCGCAGCGGGAACTCACCTCAGAGTACAACGAAAAAGCAATTCGGGAGTGTGATTGGCCTGTGTTTGTTTTTTCTTTTTCCATTAGCATGTGATGGCTGTGACTAACAAGCCTAGATTCAGTGGCAATGCAGCTAGTCTCTTATTGTGCGTGTACGCCGAGAAAAGAAAAGAAAAGACGGCCTGAGCAGCTGGTGAGAACAGCTTACATCGCCAGGCCCCGATTTCGATTTGGACAAAGCAACTTGCAGCCTTGACCAGTAGTCTCGGAGCGGAGTGTTCCGGGGGAATAAATCAAGTCTCACGGATGTAATAAAGAAAAGACACCTTGGCTATCCCTGTGCTTGTACAGCTGATTTATTTCTGTTGTCCGTTTTTCTTTTTTCTTCTTGCCCCTCCTCTTGCCCCCCTCCTTCAACCTGAGCCAGTGAATCAACGCAGCATAACATCCCTGGTCTGATGTCTCAGCCGATGACCCCAATTTTAAACATACTTTGCTCTGATCATACGCTATGCGACCTGATCCTGAACTCCATTACATCGCGGCCAGATCGGATCTGAGCCCAGCCCCTGAGTGTGCGACCTGATTTTCCATTGGTGGCTTACCCGAGGCCCCGTGCCTCCGTCGGAAGCAGTTTCTTAGACATTGCTTTAACAAGTCAATGCGCAAGAGTCTATTTTCGATTATGGATCGGCCGTTAGCGGGTTACTGCCGCATTGTTATCTAGTGGAGTAATCTGAGCACTTAATTCTTGATGGTAAGATAAATCATCTGGATATTGCGCCGGCTTGTTCAAAGTTTTAGACATCGGATATATCTGCTGGCTACATGCAATACTCACACAATGTCTCGCACGTTGGCCTAGCCTGACATATCGTGATCCCATATATTTCGTCCCTATTTTGCCACCACATCAGGTCGTCAGTTCTCCCATCAACACATTGCCTGCCGCCGAAAATTTGACCATCTCACCCAGTGTCTCTAGTTACCACCTTAGCACGGCCTGTCCGGGAGGGGAGCAGACTAGGACAATGGACCGCGGGACCGCGGATGCTACCCGCCTCTGAACCTTGCCTCCAAATTCGGAGGTTTGCCCAGTATCTGGGCTGGATCATGTGTATCACTAGTCTCAAGATCGTCTCGGCCAAGAACAGCAGCATATGAGATCGGGTTAGATGTGGGCTGGGACAGTCCATATAGTCACACTTGTCCACTCAGGACGAGAACTTACAGACCCAAGGGTGCTTAAATGCTGATCATCCCCGCCAGATTGACTCCAGTGATCCGTCACTCCGATCTTCTTCGGGGCTATCGAGCCCAGCAATTCGGATGCCAATCGAAAACCCGAAATTTTCCAGGCTAGCTATTAGATAGATTAGTTACTGACAGAGGGAGGCACCTTGGGTGGATTGATGGGCGACTGAGCTTTACGGGCTACCATTTTCTAGCCTCCAGACTCCCCAGCTCTGACAAAGCCTCCAGTTTGGCGAGAAACTGACTTTCGGAGCTTCCGGCGGTTGGCCACAGAGTCAAGATATTTGGGAGTCACGCCTTGGCCACAATGATCGGATGTCTAAATAATCCGAGGCAAAGCAGCACTAATTTCGGCAGGCCTTCTGCGCTTTGGCCTTAGAATGTCCAATTCGCTCAAGAATATATCGAAGATCTACTTCATCCTTGTTCATTCGTAAACCGTAGTGCTTTGTGTGTGCGAGTTTTGCAACCTGGAGACAAGCTTAATGTCCCAAACTATCGAGCCGGTTAGGGATGCATGTTTTATCCAAGCTTTCTATGAACTGTGGTTATATTTACATGAAATTGTCACAGGCTTAAGGCTTAGAGAATTTGGATATACTTCAAGCCAATTAGTTGTGAGGATTTGAGCTGAGCGTCCAAGTCGAGTTTTAGTTAGTGAATGTGACCCTGACCTAGTCAGATTGGTAATATATTAATCTCCCAAGCTTATCCTGGCGAAATAAAGGTGAAGGCTCAGTGATTAAATTTGCATGGTTTCTTCAAAGTTGAACATCTCGAAAGCTTGGAAGTTCGAAAGCATAGGGAATCTGTGATCCGAATGAGTCTGACTACCCTCTTCGGCTCATGTCCGAGTTTTACTGGTTAGTCGCGGCCCACGGACCGCCTATTGCTCAGCCAGTGTGTTTGGCAGCAATGCAATAGCAATAAGGTTGTCAAGTTGAGGAGTGACGTGAATGGTACCGGCATCTCCTAAACCTGAGACGTTAGACCAACAACGAATGTCATCTCACCAACGAGCTAAAGCTGCTATCCGATTGAATTCCTGAGAGCCGGGGTCAGCAACCAATCATACCCGTAGATCTATGCAATAGTTCAGCAAACTATTATGGTCTGGGGCCTTTAGGCCGCATTGCATCTCCACCCCACCGATCAGGCGAGGAAGCCTAGGTCCAAAGGGCTTCTTCATATCTTGACCCCTCCTCACGAAAACGATAGCGCTTGGTTTAGCTTCCCAGACCACCCGTTATCTCCACGACTACTTAAAGACTTCACTTTGGGGGAGAAATGCGAAGAGACCATGCAGAAATATGTCGTCGACTAAGCTACCGAGCACTGGCGTCACAGAAAACCACGATTCAAGCCGGAGCACGACGGATGAGGAGTTTGATGATGGGGACGCATTCCCTGAAGGTGGTGTAAGAAGCTGGATTTGCGTCTTCGGCAGCTTCATTGGCCTTGTGGGTAGCATGGGGATCCTGAACTCCATCGGCACACTTCAGTCATACTTGGAAAGGAACCAGCTGCGAGTTTATCAGCCAGGGCAGATTGCCTGGATATTCGGCGTCTTCAACTTCCTAACTTTCTTCTTTGGGCTACAGATTGGTCCTATTTTCGATGCGCGAGGTCCTCGGTACCTGTTGCTCCTAGGAACCGTCTTTATTTTCGGATGTTTAATCAGTCTCGGGTTCTGTACCGAATACTGGCACTTCATGCTTTCCTTTGGTGTAGTAGGCGGGACTGGAATCTCGCTCATATTTACACCTTGTATTTCAGCTGTTAGCCATTGGTTCAAAATCAAACGAGGACTTGCTACGGGCATGGCTGTTGCAGGAGGATCGCTCGGAGGCATTGTTTTGCCCCTCGTGATGCAAGATCTCTTCCCCAAAGTTGGATTTGCCTGGACGACACGGGTCATTGCCTTGATCTGCCTGGTTTGTACCGGTGTCGCCTGCGTGTTGGTGGCATCTCGCCTTCCCAAGAGGCCCTTCTCCAGGGAAAATATTCTACCCGATCTGAAGATATTCCGGGATAAGAAACTAGCACTGACTACTATGTCAGTATTCTTCATCGACTGGGGAACATTTGTTCCCTTGACTTACATATCCTCCTATGCGATAGCCCATGGCGTGGATGAATCGACTGCTTTTAAGCTTATAGCTGTTCTGAATGCTGGCTCATTTTTGGGGAGATGGCTGCCGGGCTATGTTGCGGATATCATCGGTCGGTTCAACACTCTGGCCATTACCGTCGGTCTTTGCTTTCTGTCCACGGTAGCACTATGGTTGCCAGCTGGGGATAGCCTTGCCATGATGGCAGCATACAGTGCCATATTTGGGTTTGCCAGTGGCGGCAATATTAGCTTGACGCCGGTATGTGTAGGGCAGCTCTGTGACACGAAAGATTATGGCCGGTATTATGCCACCTCTTACACAATCGTCAGTTTTGGGTGAGCTTATCTCTCTCTGCTCGTGCTGATTGGACATATGCTGATCATCCCTTCAGGACCTTAACGGGTATCCCTATTGCCGGCGAGATCCTTCATCGTTGTAATGGGAATTTTTGGGGGCTGATAACCTTCACGTCTTGCTCTTACGCCATGGGGCTTATTTGTGCCTGGTATGTCAAAGTCTTACATTGCGGATGGAAGAAGCCCTTTGCAGTTTACTAGCTAGAAGTTATTGATGCTTTCATAAAAATCGAAAACGTGATAATTCTCGGCCCTGATGTGGGAACTCGCTCATTTGTTTCGTCCCGTCTGAATAACAAGCATGACTCGACCTGCTTTGGTATTGTATGGCTCAAGGCTCCTAGGATTTCGGACTAGAGACATGACTCATGCCTCGCTTCACTTGATGGAGAAGTGTTGTATGCATAGTTCGGGGATGTGTTGGAAGTCTGAATGTTCTTGAGACTTGAACGAGACTAGTATTTATTCAACGAATTAACATTAGGGATAGAACAGTCAGCTGTTTCTGTATGAGAGCGGTAGGATATACATAATGGTGCATGAATTTATGTACTTCATTAATTAGATATCACTAATGGTAGACGTAACGTGAAGGGATTGGATGTACGGCCCGCACTAAAAGTTCCGACGGTCATGGACTGATCAGGTAAAGATAACCCTTTTGGCACTTTTGTCGACGGGAATCGTTGTACAGAAACCGCCGAACACTTTCCGAGATTGCCATCTCCCTTTTCGTAGCGGTCGTTGTTCCCGAGGTCTGGGTCGATTTCATGGCGGGTATAGAGGAGGGAAGAGGAGAACACTTCCGAGTGGTCCGGCTGTTTATGCTGGTTCTTTGTAAGAGACAGTATCACTATTTGGGATATCCCGGGTTCATCCTGGTGGCTTGGCTGTTTGCTGTAGTCTAGCGGAGTTCACAGAGCGTACAACTTCGGGTGAGAAGTCATGTATGTGCCATTAGCCGCTGATCGTTGAGACATGGCGCGCATATTTATGCCGAAGCTGCCTCAAATGCGTGCACTTAATTGGTAGAAACGCCATATCACTAGTTCCTACCTAATTACCAAAACTCTCCTCGTGTAACGGAGAGGCTTTGGTGGGTGAGCCTTTGGTCTGAAAAATCTTCCAACGTTCGTGAATAAGAAACACAGTAGAGATGCAAGTAAGATGTATTTCGTCTGGTGGAAGAAGTATTTTTCTGGATTAGTTGCAATGAGTATTCTCCAGGGATTCTGAATCAAGTCGGGCCGAAGAGCTGAGAGTGGTAATCAGTGTAACATGAGCTTACTTTAGACAACACTGTTAACGCGTGGCCTTCTCATCCGATTGGCTCCTTCTCAGCCGATGGGACGAGCTGAAATGAAACATGAAGGGCAATACAAATGTATGTCGCTTTGGCCCTGCCCGACAATTCAATAGCCTTCGATGATGCTCAGAAGGGTGCCTTTTGTAGTCTTGCCCTGACTTGTTGCAAGAAAAGGCACATTCGGTTGGGAATCTAACGTTGGATTATCTCATAATACTCCAGACGAGGGAGTTATTCTTCTAGGATAAACCACCAATAGCGATGTTTAGGAAAACGACAGGGACGTCATCCGGTATCTTTGAGCTTTGTCTCGGACTTCAAGCCCGGTTGCTTGAAACTTCGTAAGCATTTCAGAGCCAGGAACTCAAGCAGAGATGTGCAGACAATCCGTGACATAATGGCTACTCAATGTCTGATCACCGTGCATGATGGACGAGCTACATTTCAATCGGAGTTCGTAGGCTTTTCGACATAAGGGCCGAGGGATGAGTCTCAATGACCCAATGATTGATAAATGTAGCACCCCGACAAGCCCAGAACCAATAGCATTATGCAAGCTATACGCCGGTCAGACAGTGTTGCCTATTGTGTAACTGGTGATCTCATTGACTGCTTCTTCATGTATAGACACTCTTCGTTGCTCGATGCCGTCCTCTGCCGTCCGCTGCCAGTCCAAATCCGCCAGAGTCATGTTGATCACACAATCACCGTAAGATGGGCTAAGCAGGCTTGCATTAGATGAATCAGAATGGGTTTGTCAATGCCCGATTGGCGACACAAAGTCAGATTGCCGTGGCTGAGCGTGGAGCGGCACACGGCTCTCTATTTGGCCGTGCTGCGGTCATGAAGCATATTCTCCACTGCGGAAGCTGAGACTTGCAGACGGTATCTGAGATTGCACCGCAACAACGAAGCAAATCAGACTCGGGACCTTTCTAGATGGCATGGGTAACTACAGGCAAGGTGCATTGGCCCTTTCAGCTTGTTGTAGCCCCTGGATTCAGCCAGCCTCTGTCGCATTAGCGTGATGGAGGAAGAAGATAGTCAAGGAAGGTCGCCCGCTGATCGACTATAGCAGGAATACATGGTGCACAGTAATGATTGATATATAAAGCTACCACTTGGCTTCTCCTTTCCCACGAAACTCTTACAACTCAAGTCACATTTCCATTAAGACCTCTTTAAAGAAAACTGTTTCAATCATGCGAAGTCCATTCTCGTTGGTCACCCTTGGAGCTTTCCTAGGGTTGACCCGTGCCCTGGATCTCCCCATTATCACGCTGCCCTGGGGAAAATATCAGGCCGAAGTACTTGCAGACGACGAAGAGGTGAGAAGCCTAAGGACTCGGAAGATGACTCGAGCAAATGATGCTGACCCTGATCCTAAGATCCTCCTCTTTAAAAACGTTCGCTTTGGCATGGAGCCACCTCGCTTTGGTGCTCCATCCTTCCCCGATTGGAAAAATGATTCTATCCAGAGCCCAAACCGCGACACAACCTGTTTCCTGTTGACACTTCCTTTGATTGGCAACCCAGGCCAGACAGAAGATTGCCTGTTCCTTGACATCTATGTTCCCAAGCGGGCTTTTGAAGAAGATAAAACAGCCCTCCCAGTCACCGTATGGATCTCTGGCGGTGCCTACATAATGACTGTAAAGACCAAAGGCGGCAAGGCCGCCCTCCAAGCGTCCAACTACAAGTCAATATTCATCGAGGGCAACTACAGATTGGGAGCATTCGGCTGGCTCGCCGGCGACTACATGCAGCAAGTTGGACAGCCCAATGCGGGCCTTTACGACCAGGCTCTTCTCTTCGAGTGGGTTCAGAAATACATCGATCAAGTCCACGGCGACAAAGAGTCCGTCAGCGCCTGGGGTGAGTCGGCGGGAGCAGGTTCAATCCTGCACCATCTCGTCCGCGAGGATGGTGCGGTTGATCCCAACTTCCACACCTTTGCCGCACTGAGCCCAGCGTTCGAGTGGGCCTGGGACAACTCTCCTGGAGGGAGACTCGACACAATATTTAGGAACTTGTCCTACCTCGCTGGATGTAAGGATGCCTACGATATCGACTGCTTACGCCAGGCACCCGTTAAAGATGTTGCCAGCGCGAGCACTGAACTTTACAATTCAGCATTCGAAAGCGGCCTGCTCGCGTTTGGGCCTTCCACGGATGGTAAATGGATCAAGAACCTCTCACCCATCTCCTTTTCCGAGGGTAAGAAATGTCCCGAGCGCGTGTGCTGGCCATCATACTCACTGATTCTCAGGCAAATACTGGAAGAACATCAAATCGAGCATCATCTCACATGTTTCGAATGAGGCTTATGTGTTCAAGCCCAGGTCCGTGGTCGATGAGACCACCTTCGACGCATTCCTCAACGAATTCCTGCCTGGTCCGGCTCTGGCCCCCCAGAGAGTCGCAATCAAGAAGCAGTACGACTGCAAGGAGAAGTGGTATGACGACTACCCACTGTGCGTAACCGCCATCATAAGTGACGCCGTCTTCACCTGCAACACACGAGATCTGGCCACAGCTTACCCTGGCATCTCATACATGATGGAGTTCGCCTTCCCTGTTGACTGGCTTGCATTTCATGCCGTAGATGTCATCTTTCTGTTTCACTCCAATGCTAAGAAGGTGGGGAAGATTCTGCAGGGCTTCCTGGAGAAGATTAACATTCCGCTTCCTAAGAACCAGGTTGAAAAAGCGGCTGGGATCGTGGGCGATGTGATCGAATCGCTCAGCCGGCCGTATCAAAAATATTTCGCTTCTTTTGCACTTTCGGGTGACCCTAATACATTGCCCCAGGAGGTAAAGTGGCCTCCTGTGAAGGACGACGGCGACGAGTTCTCGGACGTCTTGCAAGTTGGCTTTAACTGGGATACATCCAACTGGGGCCCTTCTTTTAAGCTTGTCTCGGATTCGGAGAACTCCAAGGCCAGCTGCTCGTTCTGGACTGAACTTGCCAAGGAGATTGTGGCCGCAAAGACGACATATGGTGCTTCACATGGCGCTCCGCTGGAGGTGCAGTATCCCATTGATAGTGGCAATGAGCTCTAAGCCATTCGGGCGCAATTTTCCGGTTGGCAGGTAGGGCTTGAGATTGGCATCGTATGGGGAACTGGGTTCGATGAAATCGCTCGAGGGTTGTAGACGGTGCCCCGGTGACGAATGGAAACTACCTAACCTAGGTTACTAGTTGAAGTCTGACTTGAAATAAATTGAAAAGTAGTCTTTGCCAAGTTCAGAAACTAACCGAGCGTTGGTGTAAGTGAGCGAATATTTATGATCTCAAGGAAGGTTCGAATACTAGGGAAAGGAGCATGATATGCTCTAGAGGAGCGCTAAGCCACGTAAGGAATGAAAATGAAATGCTTAGAATCGAGCGTTGTCACCAAACTGTAGACGCCCATGGCGTTAAGAAGATATTGGGTAGATAGATTTAATATGTACAAGAAGCAACTTATTTGGTCAAGTGGCTGTGAGAAATCGAGGGAGAAAATGTCACACCGATTGAATTATTATAGCGGACAATCATACTACAGTACTTCCTTTTGAGTCATAGTAAGTAGATAATATTCCCTAATTTGAAGCAATAGCAATTTCCTCTCATCATTATTTCTAACTGCCTATTGTTTATCGTTATTATGGCTTATATTGAAATACCTTTGCACTTGCTGGGGGTTCTCAATACCCACTTTGTCTACAGGGTAAGTAGATCGTAGGTCTACGAGTATTTCACCTCAACTCCCCCTCATCTTCTTCCATTCTTTCCCTACGTTATTTTTCCCACTGTGATGGCCTGCGGATGTCAATGGACATATAAAATGGAACACACATTCCCCCTACAATCGCTCCCTCTCGAGGTCCAGTGCTTCATCATCCAATTCCTCGACCCCATCGCCCTCATTTCCCTCAGTCAGACTGGCCGTTTTTACCGGCAGCTCATCCGCCCCGGCCGCACAGAGCAGATAGAGCGCCTGCTGGCGCTGGAATGCCTTGCCAAGTATGGCGGCGAAAGGCCCATCCTACACCCGGACGTGGATCAGGCTGTGGCAGGCCCGGACTGGCACAGAGACGCGTGGCCGGAGCATCATCGCTGGGCATGCGCGGCCTGCCTCCGACTGCTCCCCCACAGCCACTTCGACAATCATTCCCTCCTACGACGGCGGAACCGGAAGCCGTTGCCTGATTCTCCAGAAGCGACGCCGCTCACATCATGGCAGCCGGGGACGGGTCAAAACGCCCGTAGGTGGCACCAGCAGCGCCAAGCGGCTGGCGCGGGCGCAAGAAACAACCCCCCCAGAGACTCCCAGCAGCTTGGATGGGCGCGTGCTCGGCGAAAATGCAATGAGTGCAAGTTTCAGCGAGGGGAGTTCCTGCACACCTGGCTTGAGTGGGAGTATAAGTTTCCGCGCGGCACGCCAGCGGTGCCCATCCAGACTAGCCGCCGCCTCGCCTTCAACTCCGTGCTTGATCGCTTCTTTACAGGGCTAGAAGGCAGTCTGGAGAGCGGGCCGCGTCCATTTCCGCTCCGGAGAAATACTTCAACCGGAGAAAGCGTTGGCGAACAGACGTGGACAATGTATATGATGCGGTGTCCTGGGTGCGAGCGCTGGCAAGAGCAGCGGGCGTTCCGGATCGGGGGCCAAAGCAACCGTTGGAGGCCGATGGCCCAGGGGGAGGGGCTGCTGAGGTACGCATTGCTGAGCAGTGACCCAGATATCCAGCTGGTGCTTGACGAGATGCGCTGCAATCACTGTTTTGTTCGAGAGCACGGCCGTGACGCCCTGGGGAAGACACTGCTCAGGTTCCTTGGGAGGGTGATCGAGCAGCTGTCTCTTGAGGCCCGGCAACAGCTAGAACAAGGCTGGTGCACAACCGTTCACAACCACATTCCCAAGCCGTATGTCAAGCAGGTTCGGGAAATGCTGGAAAGATATTGGCGTGGGGACTATGAGATGAGACGGGGTCTACTGTGTATGACATATTCTCATGCGGCGACCTTGAGGGTGCTCTACGAGGAATTTAAAACTATGTGGACGATGATGAGGACGCATCCTGATTTTGTCGAGGAGAAATTCTTAGAGGACACGGATTTCATGGCTTGGCTAAATTGCTATCACGAACCAGAGGCCATTTATTTTTGGCTGAGGGAGGTCGAACGTGAGGTTGAGAGGAATCCAGACATGCTGGTGGCGTGGGCGCTTGGACGAGATGGTGCGTCGTTGGCATAGCTTGTAAAAGTACAATTGTTGCTCTTTTTGTCATTGACTCTGTCTACATAATTTTAACTGTCTGTTGTTGATATCCCAAACGCCGTCCCAAACCCAAAATAGATACATATGATGAAAGCCCACCGTCACCGAACGCCAACATATCCGCTGTAAAGGATGGTTTTTTGCTTTGCAAGAGTACTAAGGCGATGCTTTCTGGACAACAATAGCAGGCACTGTCTGTAGTTGGCCCTGGGAAGTAGTAAGCTGTCCAAGCAAGAGCTCCGGGGGGATTGTTGTGAGCGGCTTCACGGCTGGCGCTACACTCTCGCCATCACCAGAGGCCGGGCTCTGACTTTGAGAAGGCAGCGATGTCGTAGAGCTAGACTGTGAAGGCGTGGGTTTCCTTGGAATGGTTCCATGGGGAATCTTTGGCGGCACTGGCGGAGGCGGCGGCGGCTGAGTAGGGACTGGGGGGATCATCGAGGCCTGCTCACGCACAGATGGGCTTGGCCATGTGATGGAAGTTCCTGCTTGGGAATTGACGGACACCAGTGACACTGCGGATGACTTGTGGGCAACTGAGTGGCCCGAATACCCCATGTCACCCCCCATGAGTAGAGCGAGCCCGGCCCTGTCTTGCTCGTTGAGTAAGATGCGCTGCGACGACTTCTTCCGCTGGCTGTGCCGAACAACGACCTCTTTCTCCTCGTACACGCTGATCGACGCTGGTCCGAAGAAGCTGCTCTCTTCGACGACTTGCTTCTCCTCGACAACCGGGGGAGGCTGGATGAACGGGGTGAGGTCCTCCAGCGGCGAGAAGGGCTGTAAATCGCCGTCGTCTGTCGGGTCGAAGGTAATTGAACGGGAGGGCCTAACTGGGCGCGTGTCGGATTGGGGAGGAGGCGAGCTGGGAGGCTCTGATGTAGGAGTGCCCTTTCTTTCAGCGTCATTCGTTGCCGAGGGTGTAGAGACGGGTCTTGCTGGTGGACTGGTGGGAATATCTCCGGGCAGCTCAACTGGGCCAGAGTCTGCATTCGGCTCTGCGCTCAGCTCAGCTGGAAATAGGATCGAGCCTTTTCCATATGCGGCGAAGCTGGTCGGAGGGCATGATGATACGCTGTTTGTTCGGTGGCCTGAATTGCCGTGAATTTCTGCCACAGGGAATGTCGACCTTGTGATGGCCGAATACCGCGGCGGCATGACTGGTTTAGAATCCGTCACTACGAGGCCAAAGTGTCAGCATTAACAGCCATGAGTGATGAAGATTTCTGCCAAACTTGCATCCAGAATCCCCCATGAGATCTGCCAGGAGCCCGATGTTATCAAACTTGGGCTTATCCGTCTTGGAGCTCGTCGTCGAGAAGCTACGAACCGACCTCGGCCCATCCGACTCCGCGCTCACCACACTATCACGGCTGGACTGCTGCTGGTCCCTCTGCCCGGGCGTCGGGCTCCGCAGGGCGAGCTGGCGCAGGTGCACGAGCTCGCGGAGGATGGCGGCATGGTGCCTCGTGACGACGGCCTCCTGGCTGCGGAACTCGGCCGACTCGGCGAACTTCCTCGCGCTCCTCTTGCGGAACGCCGACCTGCTCTTGCGGACCTTGTCCAGGCCGCCGTCGACGACCTGGCGGACCTGCCCGAGCGCCTTGCCCGCGCCCTCCTTCACGCTATCCACTCGTCGCAGCACGATCGGCTGCCGTTCGAGGTCGGCGATGTGCTCGTCTCGGAGGTCGGTGAGGAACTGCAGGTCCTGCTCGCCGGTTTGGAGGAAGTCGAGGAGTCGGGCTACTTCGCTGGGGATGTTGGCGAGGTCTTCCTGGCTCGGTGCCGTCAATTGGCCCGGGGCGGGGAGAGGGGAGTCATCTACTTGAGATGGCATCACGGGGTTTTAGATGTGGGATAGCACATGGCCTAGCTGGGTCGAAGAATCAGGTTAATAGTAGTGAGAAGAGGTAGCTATCTAGCTGAGACTTGGGGACGACGTGATGGCGCAGGACGCAGGCTATAGCTAGCCTTGTACGCCCAGTTCATAGCCTGGCTCGATACGATACGGAGATGGAGAAACAAGCTTGAAGAGGCTGTGGAAGGTAAACGTAGGCGATCATTATCGAAGCGGGGATGGATGTGCCTGCGCCGCTCAAGAGAGGCAAACTGGAGCACAACTGGGCGGTTTCAGCCTCTCAGCCACAGGCTATTTGGCTGTAGCTTGACCTTCTCCATCTTCTGGCAACCTTGTTCTAAACTTGGATCGGGACGGAGAGTTGGAGGGTCAAACAATCCCCGATCCCTCCCTAGGCGCGCGCTATCGAGCCTCTAATGGAACAACCGCTCGGTCCACCGACATGGGTGAGAGGGAAAAGGTCGCAGCGATCAAGTCCTGGACCTTGTCAGCAGCTAAAGTAAGATGCTTGACTGAGATTGGACTGGTCTTCTTGTTGAGGTAGGGAAGGCCATTGTCATTTGTCATCTCGTTCGTGGATGCAGCTTCAAGCATGTCAACGGCTGAAATAGTACTCCCACACGCATCGATCAGCTGATGTGAGATGTTTACGCCGTTGCTAGTGGCTCAGAAGCGAAAGAATCCCACAGCCTTATGGAACAAGCAGAACAGGGTGATCCAGCATCATGGAAAGGAGGTGGAGGTTGATGTCATTTACGGAAAAGAACTGCCGCACAGCAAGTCTCATGTTATTATAATTATTTGCCTTAGCTCCTCCAATACAGCAAGATCAGCGGCACAGCACCCCAAAGTCCCAAAAATCCCCTGCTGTCCTTCTCTCCTTTACGCAATCTCTCCTCACAGCTGAACAGCAGTCGGTGGCACAATGACCTTGGGCGTCTTGTAGGCCACGCCGCCGCGCTGGCCCAGCTTCTCCAGCCCGGCGCAGACCACGACGCTGCCCCTGCCGGCCTCGTGCACGAACTGCCAATCGCTGGGGTGCGAGAAGAGCACGTAGCCCAGCTTGGTGCACTCGACGATGACGAGCTGCAGGTGCTCCCGCTGGCCGCTGGCGTCCGAGGGCGAGACGAAGCTGTCGAGGAAGGTGTTGAGGGCGCCGGTCAGGGCCTGGGCCTGGCTGGACACGACTGTCTCAGGCACGGGCAGCGAGGTCCGCTGGCTGGGGTCCGGGTGCAGGAGAAATGCGGAGAGCCTGCGCCAATTTGAGAGCGCATGTGTGGTGGCTATTTTGGTGGTCAGCATAAAAGTTGAGTTATGAGTTGTGCGGCTGGACGCTCGCTTACCTCGTTTTGCGTGCTCGCTCTGGCGGTCTGGGGCAGGCATGGTCTGGAGCAGAGCTGCGACGGGAACAGGGAGCATAGAAAGAGGGCTCCGGGAGTGGACGTCGATGCTCTTGAACACCACAGTTGAGATGACATGTCGTAGGGCGGTTTGGCGCGTCTTGGGGTCGAGGGCCAGTGCGGCGATGGCATCAGGATCGTGGTGTGCACTCTTCACAAACCCCAGGGCCTGGAGCTGCCGTGAGAGGTCGTTCACATTGGCCTGGATAGGTCGGGGGTCGTAGTTGTTTTCCACGTGCTGGTAAATGAGATCAGACAAGGCCCGGAGTTCGTTCACGATCTCGTCGTCTGGTGCACCGTCGAGGAGGAATTGATCGAGCTGAACATCGGTACTGGCGGCCCCGTTCGTCTCGGGCACGGGAGAGTATGACTTGCGATCTGATGCACGAGCTGCCGAGATGCTTCGGGCCTGTGGCTCTGGGAGAGACTGCTTGTTGCGACGCCGGAGGAAGACGAAGGCGACGAGGAATCCGACGATGAGGCCTGCGATCAAGGCTCCCACTGACGCTCCAGCTATCGCGCCTGGAGAAATGTTAGATCCAGACGGACTTGCCGCCGAGGCTGACTCTGGTGTCGCCGTAGAGGTCGTTGTTGGGTTTGATTGATCTCCAGTCGCAACGGCCTGGGAGACGCTCTGTGAAATCTGTCAGAATGCCCATCCACCAAAATCAATGTAGATGTTCTCCAACCAACTTACGCTGCTCGCTACGTCTTGAGACATTGTAAAAGAATCAGCCCGATGCTATGATGCCGGTCGGGAGGGAGGCTTTGGCAAACTCTCCCAGCTGATAAAAGAAGAAAAACCTGTCACCCAAAGGCAAAGGAGCATACGAAGAGATTGACGATTGACGCCACCCGGCGATCAGACACTTGTCTAGAGACCATTATGAGCTAGACAGAGCCGGTCGAGTGTGCACTTTTAATAGAAACGAGAACATGGTGGCGGTGCATAAGCGTGGATCTCTGTTCATTACCGAACCCTGAAGCGACGATTTGGCCTGCAGGAAGGCTGCCTTGGCTGCCTTTTGGACGATGATCGAACCCCTGGGCCGTCATCCTCATCCCTGTGAGCTTTCGATTTTTATTTGACCTCCAGAGGTCGGCATTCCAACGCACTTGATGTTACCAAAGCCACGGATGAGATGTCACGCCTGACCTTCTGACGCTTATTACCTCTCGTGTTTGGTTCACTCATATAATACTAATACAGATCTACAACAGAGCAGCAAGGGTAAACATGGCAGCGGAAACACCAGACGTAATTGTGTCCATCGACCTAGGCACCACATTCACCGGTAGGTCTGCCTGCCCCATTACCGTAAAATAAAGACCAATCCAACCAACAATTTTCCTCCCAGGCGTGGCATGGATGACTCCACAGAGGCCAATCCAGGTCATCAACGACTGGCCGGGCAGTGGTGACCGAGGAGAGCGCAAAGTGCCCACGACGCTCGTGTACAACGCCGACGGCACGCTCTCCTCGTGGGGGTTCGCCTGCGCGGACGACGATGATCCAACGCACGGCAAGACCCGCCGAGAGTTCTTCAAGATCTTCCTGGACGAGGACACGCTCGAGGCCGCACAGCAGCAAGGGCTCTCGAGCGTGCCGCGCAGCACGGCCGAGGCGCGGGGATTCCTGACGGACTACCTCAAGCAGGTCTACAGCCACATCAAGGAGAGTATCGAGACGCAGCTGGGCAGGCGGCAGCAAGTCGGGGGGTGGGGATCCATGTCCGTGTCGTTCCTGTTCAGCGTGCCCACGACGTGGACCAAGATGGGCGTCATCAACACCTTCAAGAGCATCGTCCGGGACGCGGGCTACGGGACTGAGGGGCCGCGGCAAGTCGCGCAGGTCGATCTGACCGAGGCCGAGGCCGCGTCCATCGCGACGCTGAAGACGAGCGCCATCGAGTTCCAGCCGGGGAACCTCTTTCTCACGGTGGACGCTGGGGGCGGCACTACGGACCTGGCGCTGATGCGTGTGACGTCGGGAGACAGCGTGTTCCCACAAATGTCGCAGGTAGCTGCCGTCCAGGGCATTGGCATTGGATCTTCTCTCATCGACAGGGCGTTTGTGAGGCTGGTGAGCCAGCGACTTGCGGCGTATCCTGAGGTCCAGAGCTCGCTGCCGGGCGATTGCCCAGCGAGGATGGCGAGGAGCCACCATTTCAAGACCGTCAAGCACAAGTTTGGCGAGAAGGTTTACATGCAGCAGGTGTTCAAGATACAGATGGAGGGCGTCTCTTTTGATTTCAGCCATCCTGGGGCTGGCATTGAGGCGGGGCGGATGCTGTTTACGAAGTGAGTGCCCATTGCTCCCGATGCTGCTGCCCTGCACAAATGAGATGGATCATAATTAATGATAACTAGGGAGGAGATTCAATCAATATTTGATGCTCAGATAGAGGGAATGATGCGGAGAATTAGGGAGCAGCTCGACTGGATAAGCGAGGCCGGACTGCAAGAGCAAGTGGTAAGTTCAATGCGATGACTTTGCTGATGCCCAGATATTCTGACCCAACCATAGGAATACTTGATTCTCGCAGGCGGCCTGGGGAGCTCAGCGTATATTCGAGAGGAAATCCAGCGCCAATTGGCCTTGCAGGAACACCCCAACGCAGGAGCCGTGGTTATCGTCCCCTGCCAAGAGCCACAGCTCGTCGTTGTGCGTGGTCTTCTGCTGGAGCAGCAGCAAAAGATCGCCACTGGCGCTCCAGCCGGAGTGTTGACGAGCCGGATAGCTCGCGCGAGCTATGGCGTCGTCATCAAAGTCCCCTTCTCGCCAACATACCACGATGAGGAGGACGCCTCGCCGGATCCGTATGACCCACGACAGATTTGGGCACTTAGACAGATCCAGTGGCTCATTCGCAAGGTAAACACCTACCGAGCCAAAATATGGCGGTTTCTTACCAGCTAACCTTTGTTTTCATCCTACAGGGAGACACCGTCCAGCCAAACTCGGCGTTCACAAAGACGTTTGAGATCCGGTTAGGCAGCGACGAGACGACGAGATCATGGGACTCTTCATTCATCACCTCCAACCTCCCAGTGGACAAGCTTCCTACTGCACTGAGACAACCAGGCGCGGAGAAGCTCTGCGCCGTAAAGAGCGACCTGACAGGAGTCCAGCAGCATGAGCTCGTGCTCAAGCAGAAGCGGGGGACATGTTTCAAGAAGGGGTACAAGTACTACATTTGTCAATTCGACGTAAAGGTCATTGTAGCCCCTGCAGATTTGCGGTTTGAGCTCTGGTTTGGTGGCACCAAGTTCTCGGGGAACCACGATCCCATCTCGGTGAGCTGGGAGTAGTGGTTCTTAAGCAATAGTGATGTCAAAGAGACGCGCCGGGGTAATATAAATGAGTGCTGGAGTAAGGAGCATTATACGGAGTTTCTCCTTTCTTTTGCGTAGAAAATATTGAAGTCAATGAGCCATAGTTTATAGCATTGGAAAAGTCATCATCAAATGTTTATCAAATCATAGACTCCCGATAACTCATCTATATGACACTCAGTGAACCTGCCACCTACCCTAGTAACGGAATAACTCATTCATTATAAGCTACATCCCAGTGTTGTAATAACTATCACTTGCCTGTCCCTTGGTCACCTTCCCCTCAGCAGCTTTTGCAACCGCCTTGATGCCTTCGTCGTTACTCATGACATATTTCGCAAGTTTTACCGATCCTCGCCGTCAAACAAATCATCGACGACTAGGTACCTTATGCGCGTGGCAATTCCTATCGTGCTCTTGTCCAAGACTGAGAGTAAGGTGGCTATGATTGATTTTATTCAATTGACGTATTCATTTGTAAGTTAAGCTATGTGGTTCGATCTGCCCCCAACCCGACCAGTTGGCTAGGTGTTTCGACAAAATTCACTGGGCCTGTAAAATATATTATCCTCAAAGTGCCAAACCTAAAACAAAATCGCATCGCAAGGGAGCAAGTTCCACCGCCATTAACTCTCTGCAGTTGCTGCAACTTCCTGAACAACAACCAAGTTGGATGATGGCAAGTCGGTGATCAACCAACAGCTTGATACGAGTCACAATGGGCAAGGCACCGTATCATAGAGCAACATAGAGAAGCCCTGATGTAATGGGCGATAGGCAAAGGTTTCCCATCAGCACTAGAGAGATAGCTATGTCTCTATAGGTATACTATTTCGGCGTAATACTTGGGAACGAGCTACCACAGGTAAGCTTGTTATATGGCTTGCCGGACTTGAATGACATAAATTGAAACAAAATTAGAACGTTGCTTTGATGGTTCAATTTGGGGTCACACAAATTGGACCCTGGAATTAGAAAAGAATCCAAGCTCAGGAAATTGGATTCTTTCCCCATCGTGTTCGCTCACCACACGGCAAAACACGTGCGAAATACCCAAGATATTTAAGCATCCCAGAATTAAGTCATCTGATAAGTAAAGTGATATCTTTGTGGGCGACTTTGCGGAGATAACTACAAAAATAGTCATTAATGCGTCACAGTAACTTCCCTAAACTCATTTTAAGTACATATACTTCGACTCTGAAGATTTAGAGAATCTGACAAGAAGTGGTTCAAAAATTATGATGGGTGGGCCTTAATGGACTGTGGTTGCTGGCTTATTATACTCGACGGGTTTCCCAAACGACCTAGGGTGTGATCAATAGATGCCAGCCAGTGACCAGGTGCTGGGCCATAAGAGGTGGGATCCTAATAGCCCAACAGCCAGTCGTGGGTTATCCGTTATTGAGGTTGAGAAACGGCATTTGACGGTGGCTAGGAGTTAGATATATATAGTAGATTCGATTGACTTGCCCGTCTTTCTACCGCTCATACCTAGGTCCAGGCTTGAAACGAGATAAAAAACAGCCTCGAACTCCTCATACTTGGTAGATATTCTTGAATTTGCTATGAAGACCTTGATCGATTTGCCGCGTGAGAATCTTCATATCATAACCCTGGCCTGTGTTCGATTAGTATGTATTCTCCTGCCTGGTCTCGTTCTATCCAAGCTTCCTGGAGCGAGCGCAGCCTACCTAATAAACTGCAGAGCACCAGGTATTTGATTTATATCCTTTGTTATTTATCTTACTATATACTAACCCTCCATTTCCCCATCAGGAAGACGGACAGATAGCCCTTACTAACAACAAGAAGCGCCTTATCAGGTAAGTATTTCGTTTCTTCAAGCAAATTACCAATCGAGACCCAAACATACCCGACCAATTCCGAGACGACCTACTCAATGCCTTCATGATCCTCGATCAAGACTCCGATCACCAACGGCTTTCCCACCCTGAAAGAAAAAGAGATAGCGAAGCAGAGGCAGACTCCATCCTTGTTGCTCGTCGAAAGAGTGTCTGGATTTTCGTCGGGGTAGTCGATCGGCTCCAGCTCGAAGTTTGTCTGGCCTTGTAGCAGGCTTTTACCCTTGAACCCCGTCGTGGGTCTAGGACCTTTGAAGCCCGTCGTTGATTTCAGCCCCTTCCGACCTGTTGTCTGCCTGTCTTCGTCTTCTGCCTCCGATTCGTCGGCTTCCTCTGACAAGACCTGGACTTTCTTTTCAAGTTACGCGATGTAAGTGTTCGCTGCTTTGAGCTCGGTTGTCAGTCGTTCGTTTTCAGGGACGTGGCTACTAGCGGAGCATGTGACTTCAGATCCGGAACACATTGAGCTTCAGGGTGTTTTCGTGATTAGCTAGAGACTGCCAAGACCGAGTAATAGGATGTAAAATTAGGTCCATTGGTGAGATATGTAAGTAGTTTACGAGTTTTAATTTAAGTAAAGGAACCAAATTGGGAAGATCCGAGATATCACATGTCCATTTGAACAGTATACTGGTGCTATTGTTGCCATATGGCCCAAAATACAGCTGACAGACTTGGCAATTGCTTCCAATATCGCTCTGGAAATAAACGACTGGCATTCCACACCCAAGTATCCATTCCACCCCGCTGAAGATCCAGATAGGGGCGATGTAAATGTCGCCCTTAAACTTGAAACCGTTAAAAATGAATAGGTCTACCGCTCAAAGTCTCAGGTCGAATCTTAGGTTTAGTTTTTAATATAAAGTGTTGTTACTTCAAAGGCCATCAAGTATAGCTTTGGTGTTTGTGTCTCTGGGAGATTGGAATAGCCAGTATAGAAGTTAGTAACTTTTTATTGGGACAGGTAAGATATCCACACGGCAAAATTTTCACTGTAGTGATAATGGGACACCTTTGTATCGGTGGACAATTAGTAACCGGCAGACCTCCAAGATTCCCGCCTGAAAGAGTCTATCGCCAAGTTGGAGCATCACCTAGGGCTTTTGCAAAGACAACGTATGACGGATATTGATACCATTCGTAACTACGACATGCAGGCACTACAAATTCAGCTTGCAGATTCACAAGACATTGCTGAAGCTATTTAAACCGGGGAGAAGATTGCTCGCAGTTTTGCGTTGGAAGCAGCTGATATAATGCAAGACTTTATCAAAATCATTCGGACTGATAAAGAAACTAACACGAAACTGACTGAAGCATTCAGTATGCCTGAAAATTCATATAGAGATGATGAGGGCGAGGATGGAGATGATGAGGGCGAGGACGAAGATGGCGAGGTCCTCTTCAATGGCGCCCTAACCTAACCTTACCTTCCCAATCGCCTCGCCCTTGACCTCGAGGATGTTGTCATAGCATGCGATGACCTGTTCGATGGTCAGGTCGCGAAGAGTCTCCACGCCAAACGTCTCGCGCGCAAGTCCGTCTCAAGGGGCTAGCTAGCTACAGGGCTAAAATTGTGCAGATTGTGGTATGACGCTGCTGGGCCAATTCACAAAAGGTGCGGCTGGTCTTCAGCGAAAATATGTAGACTTGAGTTTATGAGGCAATTTATACGGAGGGGTGAGGAAAATGAGCAATTCGATTTGTTCACGTTGGCACAAGTTGAATGATGTTGTTGGCTTCCTTTGGTCTTGCCTTTGCCCTGAGTATCGCCTGAGCTGGCTCTGGCCTTGTTTGAGGCCCGCCAGTCCGCAACAAACTTGGGGTCTAGCCAACAGGCGTTTTCCTCCCCGATTTCTTCCTTCGTGGCTGGCGTCACCTTCATAGACAGGGTTCAAGAAAGAGTGCCCAGTGCTTACTTATATAGGCTTAATATGCAGCAGTTGTGTAGGATGGATACGCAGTTAGAGGTCCCATGAGAGAGGTCGTAGAAGTTGGCTTTGATAACAGAGCTATACTTGCAGACCCAAGAATACTTAAATACCTATACTTGAAGGAAACTATTTTGCAGAATAATTATTTTTTTAGTCTTTATTTTAACAGAATATCAGAGTCAATTGGCCACCCTGTTCCTGACAATAACCGTCGATTAACTCTAAAAGAAGGGACATCTCCAACCAGCGCTGGCTTCCCGTGCCATATCAAACTACCCTTCGACCTACGAGATCCAACTATTCAAATCGAGGGCGATATCCTCCAGGCACTCTTTTCTATCTTCCCTGGCACTACCAATCTCGCCATGGGCCGTCGACTGCCACGGGACACCAGACCGTCAATCATCCTGGCCCTGAGATTGCCAACCTTCCTGGCCCCGAGACTGGCAACCTTCCTGGCCCTGAGCCTGCCAACCATCTTCCAGACAACGCCATTACAGCCCTTTTTGCGACACCCTGTCGTTGTCGCCAATTCGTCACGTACGAGGAGAGATGGAATAGGGGCTGTTCAATTGACTGATCAGAGATGATGATGATGAGAAGAGAGGGCTGCCTCTTGTCTAACTAGCTAGATTCTAAAGTGGCAAGAGTCACCCCACAACGGCCATAAACCCCTGCCGGGCACAACTGCCGCTTATATTGGCGAGAGTAAAGGTTCCCCAAGCCGCGGTAAAGGTCCAATGTTTCCTATGTCAACACTAGGCAACTTCAAAATCCGAATTTGCCAAGACCTTGTCGAAGCCCTTGATGACGGGGTCCAGACGTGGCCTCCCCAACCTCAATCTGCGAAAGGGGAACAGGAAGGTCGAATACGTCCAAGAGAATGGCCACCTGGTCCCAGATATCAAGCCGCCGTCTGCTCTTAAAAAAAAAAGAAAAAAAAAGAAAAAAAAAAAAGAACACAAGAAACGGAGCATGAGCAAAGCACAACAACTCGTAGATCTTCATAAGATTCGACAGGGCTGCCTATTAGAGAGACGAATCAGCTCGAAGCTTCGCTATGGTCGTGATCCGGTATGCCGAGATTCTGTATCCCTTACGTATCAAGCCCAGTACCTACAATTACAACCTGTACATAACTTCTTTATTGATAGCATGGCCTGTTGGGTAGTTGAGTTTCTGAGTAATTAATGAGAATACTAATTTATTAAGTAACTATTAGGTAGGATCATGAATTATTTCATAATAGGAAGCATTATTATGCAACTGGCTGCCACAATCATTCTGTCGAGGTGACTTATGTTTGCAGTCTGTGTTGTCCTAATAGCCACTTGCTTCGGCTACATCGGGGTTACATGGTGCCATATAAAACAGTTGATGTCAATTTGGGCAACCTCGAGTCGGACCTTTACAGACACCGCGTAAGGTCCACCCGTTTGAAGAGCTTCATTAGAGGAGAATACCTTGGTCAAAGTGGGGATCATCGGCTTGCCAAGTGCCCAAACATACATATCGACGGGTCAAAAGAGTAGAAAAACAGAATTATCATTCCATTCTTTCCATGTAAGAGGATTACTTCGCATCTGGGAGCACTCCCGGCAAGCATCCGCGCCTATCATGAGTGCGCCCGTTTCATGACCGAGTCAGACCAGCTGCGACAGAACTCAAGAAATTTGTGTTCTCCAAGGTCGGGAATCCGACCCAACATCGCGTCACCCGACGAACAAACATCAATAATAAAGTCAACCTATGGATAATGGATTGTCTTTTCCCTACCGTTCTTAAGAATATTAGGACTAATAACGCAGACACCATCTCGACTCTGCGTGATGATTATCACTTTCCGTACCCGGCATTCCGCATAGCCAAAGCAGTCAGTGGTTACGACGCGCCTCATCCTGAGGATGAGTTCTATATCCGCGGAGCGGAAGGGGTAGGCTCGAGAGTCGGGAGTCGCCGGCCCGGAATGGCCTGTTTTTTGCTTCGATTGAAACGATGGCGATGCGACATCAATGCGACGTCGCAAGAATGATACAGTGCAGCCTAGCATTGGGGTATTCCAATGCTACGGTGGAGGTACGGCGTGCGTAAACACAACACGAGGTAGGAAGTGTAAGCGACATGGTAAAACACCAGTTATGTAGTAGGGAAGGATAAATCACGATAGCCATGAGACAGCAGTATGACGGAAAAAGTAAAGCCGTCTAGGCCCCAATCTAGTATTGTATATACCCGTCTTATTTACAAAAGAGGATCTCATCAAACGGAAAATGCAAACGTAAAAACACCAAGCCCCATTAAGTCATGATACGAGGTACCGTTCGAGCGGTCTGTTTAGGACGACGCCGACGGCCCGCCGTTGAAGCGGTCGATGCTCTTGCGGATGCCCCTGTCGACGCTCTTGGCCATCTGCTCGAGATGGAGGCGCTCGGGGATGCGCTGGGCGGCGCGGGCGATGGGGGGCTCGATGCGCTGGACGCCTCTCTCCATGGGAGGGGCGAGGTAGCTGACATTGCGCTCCCAGCGAGGCGCCCACTTGTTGGTCTGCTTGGAGAGGCGGTCCTCGGTGCCGGGCATGAGGAACCAGAAGGGGGCGAGGACGCCGACGCCGGCGGCGCCCATGCAGAGGACCTCTGAGGTCTTGGCTGCGGGGAGACGAGGGACGCGGGGAGACATGTTGTGTTTGTAGTATGGGTGGTAGTGGTAGAGAGGGAGAAGCCTAGGTGAGAGTGGAAGGTTAGCTTAGGTTTTGTTGACGGTGGTGATGAGGAAACATACAGAGAACGACTCAAGGGTCGTGTGAAGAATAGATTGTCTTGGAGAAAGTCTCGATGGACGAAGTGAAGATGAAGAATGTATGTGAGGACTGGAAGATGAAAGTAGGAGTAGGTAGAGGTAGATGATGACAAGAGAGTAATGAGCTTGAAAGAGGGGTCACGCGTCCTTATAAGAGGAGCAGCACGTAGGGACAGTCAGTTTCGCCCAGAAGCGGACTATGACCTGTGCTGCTGCGTGAAGGCAAATCGCTGGTACCTAACGGTTTCCCGTGACCTGATGTCTGACGTTCCCTGCCACAGGATTGGCCAGCAGAGAGCGGGGTAGGACTAGAGTGATGAAATGAATAGTAGGTACCTTGCTTGTGTCAATTACATTTGCGCCATGAAACTGTATTCTGGCCGGTCTTGAGGGGTGACTTTGTTAGTCTCTACGCCAGCCCGACCTGCCAGCGAGGAGACACTCCGTCGAATGACGGCAAAAATGCCATGTAGAAGCGAGAGAATGGTTGGTGGCAGCCGACGGTGATGTGTCAATTCACCTTCGCAAATGGTTACATTCCAAAATGTGCGGGAGTGAATGGGTGTGTGAAGGAGTTCAGCGCTTTGGTTGTACCTGGAGGGTCACTGTGCTACTATTGAAAGGCTTCGGCGAATCAAAGGGCGACGGCGGCCTCCGGTTTCAGTGAGATGGCTGGGATGCAGCGCAGATGATTGGCACATGGACTGGTCATAGCGATGGATGGCAATTCCTACATACATGATGTGTACATGGACATGCGGAGGATGACGCTGCCCCTGTCTCACACCCCAAGGGCAACGCATCAGTGTCATCGCTAGGATTTGGGGTAAAGTTGATCAACGTCAGGTACATGATGCTATATTTGCTCTGGCCATTTTCCTTTTGTTTTTGCGAAATGCTTCTTTTCTTCAGTCTGCCAGTATCACGACAGGCAGAGAAGACTGGCAGTTAGCGGGCGACAGGCCTAGAGCTCTCCACTACAGGCGGCCCACTTCCCCAGACGAAGCTAAGTGACGGCCCCATCTTCCATTTCACAGCAGATCCACCGCCCAGAGCCCACTCAGAACCCCCGTTTGCCGGAGAATTGGCCTGCCTCCGACGACGATGAACGACGTCGAGAGATGTGGCCCAGGGCGATCTCGTCGTGGGGATCTAGTGCGGCGAGGCGGCTCGAATTGAGCCCGTCTTTTACACCCTCGATTCAGGCACAATCTCGATTGTCTCCCTGGCCACTGGTGTGTGCAGGTGTACAGTGACTTGGAGGGGGGGAACACTACACCGTCAGCGGCGCATAGGTATGTGCCAGCGCTGAAGGAGGGGGGCAATGGGGGATGGACGCACTGCGCTGCGCCTGAGAGTTGATTCATCACCTGTGGCGTGTTTCGAGGGTGGCCGCCAATGTGTCTCTGCCGCTGCTACACAGTGCAAAGTCAATCAATCCCACCCCGCCGGATGAATGAAATGGATGCGGGCAAGGGTCCTCTCCTTTCCCTCTGTTGGGCTCAGCCCCTGGCCTCGAAGCCTGTTGCCCCGGAAAACACCCAAAACAGCGACGTGACACGTGAGACGACTCGCGCCTCCAGACTTTGAAAGACGGCCATGGCGTCAAACCTGCCTCGCTTCGAACAAAATTCCCGAATCTATGGCGTCGGACTGTCCTCGAGAGCTTTTCGTTCAGCTGTCGGCGATTGGAGAGGATGGCCCGTCAACACCTGATCTTGGTGCCGTCCTGACGCTCGCTTCATGCAATGAAACCCAACCAGGCATGGCAAATACGACTGCGTTGCCCCCCTCCATCTCCTCTGTCTCCCGCAATGACACTCGTTCCTCCTCGCTACTAATGGATGGCGCAAATTAGCAGACGGACAGTGCGCGTTCGCACCCCATGCATGGACGTACGTGTGCCACGACCCTGCACTCTGCTCTCCCTCCCTTGCCCTCCCTTCCTCTCGCTCGATATCATTGGATATGGTTGGTGCTGGGTCAGGCATTTACGTATTCTGTTTTAATTTGCCATCCAATCGCGGCGCGTTGATTTGCAGTGGCAGAGTGAGACCTTGCTCGTACTATTTTCACCGCTTGATCCATGCTGCGGTTTTGCTTTTTGTGCCCTCAGCTTCGCTGCGCGCTTTGGTCAAAATGTCTTGCTTTCCTCGTGGATCGCATTTCAGCTCGAGTCACCGTCAATTGAGTCTTCTCGGCTGACCGGTTCGTCCGCCAAACGTTTTCTCTTGCATGCATTTCTCTGGTGCTACAGAGCCATGCCACGAGAACCAATTGCAATCAAAGGGGGCCAGCATTGTCGTACTACCCTACCTCTACCAATCGATCAGCGAGCATGGACATCTCCTACGGTGTGGTGCTACAGCCATCGCCCGAGTAACTTCCCCTCCCTGACGAGGTACTGCTGATGTCGCTCCGAGACATCGAGTCAGCAACCCTCAGGTCATCCCCCGCTCGTAATGTTCCTCTGCAGACCTCCATTCCAGACTCGATGGGTTTATTCCCCACACTGAGTCCTCGAAACATGACAAGTCCCGGCGCTTCTAGGCGTGATGACATACGACTCTAGCAGACATATGGAATGATTTCTGCCTCCGCTCTCCCTCTGTTGCTAAAAGCTCAGGCGTCGGCGGGGAACATGTTGTTTTCCACGTCCGCTTCCGTTCGCTGATCCCTACGATTCTGAAGCACCAATGACCTCTCCGTGCATTATGACTCAGGGAAGCCACTCGGCGGAATTTACCCCAGACCGACCTGAACCTTGTCCCGGGGCACCGCTCCTTTGTAAGCACACATCACTCTTCTGGCTTCCTCTTCCCCCTGATGTCAGGGGGGTTCCGTTGCACGAGACAACTTGCCAGAAAGCTAACTCAAACCAAACCAGCCTGTGTTATAATACCAAAAACGCCATCAGCGAGCCGTCTCCCCATTTAAGACTACTAAATCATGCCAACGACCTTCGATTGCTTCTGATCCACCCTGTTCGTTGCCACATACAACCTCACGAAACCGTCAACTGTGGTCGAATACCCCCGTCCAATCGTCTATCGAGCAAAATAATCCACCTCGTCGATGCCCGCGAAGCCCAGAACCGATGACTATATCCGTCCGACAAGCTCCTACGATATTATGGTGGCACAGTGAATAGGTTGGTACTTCGACTCGGCGTAAGGCCAGGGCTCCATCAAAAGAGAGGAGAACCCGGCCGCTACTCTCGCCTGCCATATTCCACATTGCCATTAGCAGTAGGTTTGGACTTATTGGCGACTAGCTTGCGCCGTCGCTATGAGGGCGCGCTTATTTGTGTTGATCCTGTGGGGCCAGCGTTTGGGATAGTCTGAAGCCAAGTTTGTGCATGTCTCCCGAGCTGCACTCGCGCACGTCGTTTTGGCCCCGAGGACGGTCATGTCGCCGAGCACAGAAATCACTCATACGTTGGGTTCGACAGACTAGTTATGCTGCGTCAAACAGACGGCTGCTAGATCATGTCGAGGTCTAATCTGCCGGCTGATGTCAGGCAGTCAACCGAGTTGGAGGTGAGCTTGAAGGTTCCCATAACTGCTGGTCTAATACACAGAAGCTACTTCAAACCAGCGTTTCTTATTGAAGTTGATTTTTCTAGAATCAATACGGGGAATGCGTTAAATGTTGTAATGATGATAGGCAGACGTCGTTCATGCAACCAACCTAGTCCAATACACTCATTACTGCGATCACGGCAAATTTGTTCGAGTTTCTTTACGAAACCCCGCCCCATCCGTCCCAACGACTTCCGAACGGTTTTAAATCGATCCTATAATTCGGATTCCTTCCTCCTGTTGCATCCTCGTCGTCATAAGAACAATCTCCCCAACACATAACAGTTGTGAGTAGTCACTTGATGAAGAATGGACCGTTGCACATTATAAGCGATCCCTGCGTCAGGCGCCTTCTTAAAGAGATCGTAAGCTTTACATAAAATGTCCCGTTTATCATGAGTGCCTGAGTACCACAGCACCTTCCATTGAAGTCTCATAGTATCGTGATATGGCGAGAATGTACTCGTACTCGTAAAAGTCCTCATCTTCGGCATGGTCAGGTAAGACTTGGGAACTATCGGGCCTTTTCTGAGGATCCTAAAGTCCTAAGATATCTAGGTCAACAGAGGTAGGATCCCCTCCCTTTGCGAGTAGCTTGTCCGCGAGTAAAACAGAAGTTGTAGCCTATTACCGAGCGTTCTGGTTATAGAATAAGTCTTTAGTCTTTCGGCTTTTAGGTTTATCTTTGGGGTATACACTGGGTAAAGCTTATACTCCCCTGCCTTCTTATGCTTTGATAGGATATTCGTTCGTAGTTTTCTGTGGGAAATTCCTAGGAGATGGAGGGGGAAACAACGGTTGGTATCATTAGCACACTAGTCGCTGATATACACAGTATCGCCATCTGGGTGGCCCTTCTCGATTCTTTGGATGTATTTTGCTGCAATGAGGATTGCAATGAGTGGGAAATTGATCATCACATCTCTCTTGATTTTAATCGTTATCTTTCATGTCCTTCAACCCTTCGGGAACATCACTCTTCGCTCTAGATTTACCATCTATAAGATGGCATGTTCTTCGACCTCGGAATTCTAGCTTCAAGTATGAAAATATTAGAAGAAACTTTCTATTGAAATGCATGCAGTGTTAGAAGCATCTTCGCATCTATCATCCTTTGTGAAGTCCCAGATGAAATAGTGATAAACAAAAGGCAATCATTGCTGTATCATTGAGACAGCTACCTAGAAATGATTTGCCTTCTTGATAACTCCACAAAAGTCCCTGGCCTGGCCGATGGTCACCCGGTTGTTTGAAAAAGAGATGACGTTCCTGTAGGAAAAGCGCGTCTTATTCTAGATTGATGCATCGCGTTTCCCGTTGGCAGTTGTTGGGTTGTTGATACGGCCGGGAGTCTTTGGAAAAATCCAGGTACTCAACCCCATTACCTCCCATCACCACGATGAAAATTGGATGCCCGAGACCTTAGCTGGGTGTTATTAGTGTATGCCTTGCAGCGACGTGTGGTATTGTCATTGTTGCCGTAATGAGCAATCTGTACTATTGAATGCATGGCATGGGGCGATGTCGATTGGTGATAGGGCATTTGCCCTGAGTGGTAATAGTGGTGATGATGTTCAACTCTTTGAACCTGGGGTAGAGTCGACATCATTGGCATCATATTGCAAGTTCCTTGCAATCCGTGGGATGCCGTAGGGGACCTCATATTGTACTGAGGTCCGGCATCTTGTCGAAAGGGAGCATGGGCCTGAACTGATGGTGGCGAAGATAAAGGTGCAGAGCTTGACGGTTGCTCTGTCGTCGAGGCGGGTTGGTTGCCAGTTATGGGCTAAGCTATACGAACGTGGTGACTTGGTTATTGTAAGCCGCGCGATGACTTCGTATATATCAGCGCGCCAATTTTCCTTCGTTCAATGGAATTCCATCAGGTGAGCTCCGTGACGTTCGAAGCGGAGTAGGGATATTAATGAAGTCTGTTCATCATTGTGCATATTCAGACCAACCACCAGGTGTTCCAGGTTGTAACACCACTTGTGTCCGCACAAGTGTATCACTGTCCATGGCTTATCTTCTTGCTTGCTCGTGGACACAGTGCGGAGGAGGTCAATAGTAAGATTTGGGACAGGTACTATCGCTGCCCTATGAGCCGCGATAATGTGATAGTTATAGATCTGGACATCTTTGCCTACCAGGCCGAGGCGTGAGCCAGCTATCTGCAGTGCGTTGTTGTTCGATCCAGCCTCTCTGAGCTTGGGAGACTCTGACTTCATAACCTCTTCCTCATGGGCCGTCTCATTCCTAACGAGTTCTTCGAGTCGAGTTGCTTGGCGAAAGCGGTTAACTGTCCTCTTATCATTTCTATTAGCTTTTTGGACTCTCAGTCGGCCCTTCTAACTTGCATATGGGAAACATATACAGTCATCCCACTGTGTTGGTAAACAGCATGGTAATATAGATGCCATAAGAAGTATGGCAAGTATGTAACTAACTCCCCGCGTAAGTGTGTGACGCGCGCGCCAGGGTGTAGGTCAATAGGTATACACCCAGGTAGGTAGTTACTAGAACAGATACCCAGATATTCTGCCTTGTAATTCTGGCATCAGTAGACTTACAAAAACCCCCAAAACCTCACGGTCGTAGCCTTCTCGTCTTTCCTCCTCTTTTCATCTGTGCACTTCTCACTCTTCCCTCTTCCCTCTCCTTCTCGGTGAGTAATGTGAAAACTTTATCTTCCTCATCAAAGCTCATCACATTCTAGGGTTGATTCTATGAACCATGGAACCACAAAGCCAAAGCCAGGAGGATCAGATCAAGGCAGGTCTTCAAACCCTCCGAGATGGCATCACCCAACTTCTCGACAGAAAGTCCCGACGTGACATTCTACAAGAAAAGCGGCAAGAGATGCTAGATGACCTGAAGAAGGAGATCTCAATGATCAAGGGATCAGCTGACATAAATGAAGCTGATCGGGCTGCTCATCTGATGGGACGGTTTGAACAGTGGTCAAAGAATATCAGCGAAGAAGACTATGACGAGAGTCAGGATTCGCTATTCAACGAGCGGTTGGTTGCCGATACGAAGGAGCTTTAGGAAAGTTTCTCGAATCAGTTCTCAACCCAACTCGAAACCCAAGCCGAGGAGAATGGCCCGCCGGTCCAAACTGCCCGGGCCTCCAAGACGCGTCTTCCAGACTCGCAGCACAGCGAGCGTTCCGCGAAGCGCCCAAGGCGAAGCAGACGCCAGCCGGCTTCAAAGCAACATACACCTACACTCCCTGTTGTGAGGGCCGAAAAGCAGACAGTCACAGATCCATTGGTCGGAGAACTCTACTTGATCTCCTGGCCCGGTGCGAAGTGGTATGCCGGACTCATTCTCCCATTCGAGAACCTATCTCGCTTTGGTCTACGCGTCGACTTCGAGATGGCAGGGCTTCTGGAGACACGGCCCGCGTGCTTCCGATATGATGAGGAGAACAAGAAATTCCTTGGATGGGCAGAGGGGTACCAAGACGGCGGCCTCAAGGTTTCCGAACGAACATACCCGGTATTCTACCTTGACGATGAAGACGATGTCAGCGCGTGCACCTACGGCTGGGTATCAGCAACTGACCTCAAGCCCTTCAACTTGAACAAGGTGGCCCCGAAGTATCACGACATTATCCAAAGATTCATCGAGGCTCGACTCCAGGATGTGGAAAAAGGTCCTATCGTTTTCCAGACGCGTAAGTATGCTGTCCCGATGTGTTCGTCTCATTCTTACTAATGTCTTGTGTCAGTTTCTCTCACCGACCCAGTCCCAGTTGCTCAACACAACGCAGGGCCTGTTTACTTGGGTATACAAAGAACCAGACAGCTGGGAGGAAGGCCTGAACTGCCGGAGTAGATGCTCGTGGGTCGCCGCTCAGTCCACCAGCTGAAGATGATCGCACCCCCCTCGACCAATCTACCCACAGCCTACTCCTAGCGACGAGCCTTGTCCCGGCAGTACTTTGTTCCTTTGTTCACTTACCTTACTGTGTTTTCTTTCAAGAAGTTCAGTCAAAAGTTTAGTGGGGTTTTGTTTTTTGAAATTGACGTCGGAATTGGTATCAGAGATGTGGACTTTGTCATAATAAGAAACTTAGTTTGAGACGCACCAAGAAAAAGTCAGCACAATGTAGCTAGATTTCGCATTTAGAAAATCAACACGCCTTTTCCCAGGTACTATTCATGTTCTCTTTTAAAAATTCCCAAATTCCCAAATTTGAAAGATCCATTTCCTCATATTAAAAAAAAATTCAAATCCAACCATCGACCGTCCTTTGATTCTCTCATATCTGGAGTAGAGCCAGTTTGGTATTATGAGCCAGCTATATTATCCAACCTGGAAGGACCTTTTCATTTCTTTTCATTTCGGGGCAGTCTAAAGCTACACAGTTGCTTCAAACAGATAAAAACATTAGTATTTTGAAATAACGACTTTCCAAGGAGAATTTCTTTTCGTACAAGAGATCACCCCAGCGCGGCACCTCGAGACCCTCAGCCCACCCTCTAGGTGAACGTTAGACAACTGCGATCATAATCACTGGCCATCCAGGAAGCGATGATCAAGAACCAGATACAGACCAAACCTGCCCGAGGCCAGTGGAACGATCAACAGCAAAATTGGAGGGCTGGTCCTCTCGTTGTTGTCGTGATAATCTGAACTGCTCCTGTCGTTGCTGCGCCTCCCACTGGCCGGGCAGGAGCAGTTTAGATTATCACAATGATGACGAGAGGAATTGGCAAGATGAGGGCGATATCATGGTGAGAAGGAGAAAAGCTTAGCCTTGGCGCTGGTAGGGTTGAAGGCATCAGCATCGAGGCAGTGCGAATGATAGAGCACATCTTTTCCTAGACATCCAGGATCAGGTGCTAATCCAATTCAATATTCCTTCCCAGGATTCAACCGGCACCACCACTGATCCCATGGCGATTTGACCCGTCATCTCCGAGTGAGCGCGAGACAATATTTCAGCAGCCTTTCTCGCCATGTCGGATTTCTTCCCCAGTAACCACAACGCTCTCGTGCAGTATTCGCAACGATCCAGCGATCCTTGCATCTCGCCTTGCCCTCTAGATGGATCCGACGACCTCGAGTGCCACAGTTCCTCAGCTCTCTCGAGATGAATTGCTCCCGCCTTTGTGAATGCCCTGATGATGAGTATGGTCCAGGGTTCTGTCAGGATGGCCCCCTCGTGAGTTACAGAGTGAAATGGGGTTTCCTGCGCGCCAGGAGGCAACGTCCACTGGCTGGCATTGTTGCTTCCGTGCTTTGGCGCAGATACCGCGGCAATGTCCGAAATTTCCATAGCGCTGGATTTGGCCATTTGCCTGCAGAAGTTGGCGTTGAGTCGCTTACGCCGTACATCTTCGATCCCAAGTTGTTTCTTGTCGATAAAACTGATCGCCTCGGCAAGTAAGAGCACGGCCAGGTGCCAATGCGAAAATATGCACACGAACCAGCTCTGCACACGGGGTGGGACTGCGTCGTAGTCTCGAATTAAGCTTCGATGGAAGGGGCCGTACGTGACGTTCCAATACTTGTAGATCAGCATACTCGCATTGATGATGTCTTCAACGGCCTTCCCCCGTCGACCTCGTCTGATAGCACTCTGTAGATAGGAGACATGTCTGAAGAGGAGGACCTTGACTGGGGCTGATTTCGTGACTGTTGCGGCGGCATCATCATACGAGCAAGGCCAGGATGGGATCTTGCTTGGCTTTGCGAGGTCGTCTTGAATGAACAGGTTGACCTGCCATCTTTGCGTCGGTGTTTCGGTCGTCGGGCCGTATGAGTCGATCGCATCTCCGAGTTTTCCCATGTCCCAGGCGGCATCGTGCTGGCATTCCTCGTCGGCGACCACGATTGGTCGTTCGTTCATCGAGGAGGATATCGTGTCGAACATGACTGATAGCCAGTAGAGCAACTGTACCGTTCGCTTTGCCTCTTTGATCTCTGCAGCCGCATCCCCCCCTGTCCGGCCTCTGTTCCTGTCCAACCAGCCGGCTTCCCACAAATCGAACTTGCACTTGAGGGCGTGGATTTTCCGAGCTCCCCTCTCCATAAAAACAGGTGGTTCTTCGTTCTCGATTGCTTCCCGCAGCCTGCCCATTAGTGTTTCCATGACGCTGTTAGAAGAGTTGTAGGCTTCATAGCCACCACTATCCCAGCTACTCGTTTCATCGCCATCCATAGGTCTCTGACAAAGACCAAAGATCAGCTCGGCACACACTACTCTGAAACATTCGAGGCTCGATACATTCTCTAGCGCTGATTTCGCTTGAGCCCATAGCGTCCTCTGAATATGGCGATCGAACTCCTCAGGCGGCGGCGAACCATCCGATCCCAGTTGGTTTGGGCTTTCCCCTTGACTCTCTTTGTATTTCTCCGATTGTCGGTAGCTGCCCTGAGCCCACTGGCTCGCAAACGCCATGATAACCAGATCGAGCGCCTTGGACGCGGCCTGGTCTTCTGAAGGCCGTAGTTGAAGGAGCCTGTTCCTCTGAGCGACGCGGTCCAGGAGCTTCACGCGTCCGTATATCTTGTTGGACCAGGTTGAGCCGAGTTCGTTTTGCAATCGCTCTTTGTTTGTAGATGTTCTCATGAGTGTTAGCGCCGAGCTGCCGTAGGGACAGGTCTCCTCCGCCAGCCAGCAGGAAAGGTTGTGCTCCAGCACATCGTGGTAGATTCGGAGGAGGTTGTCCGATATCATGGCGTTATTTGAGAGGGTCAGCATCTGTTCCTGGGATGTGAGGATGGAGAGCGTGGAGGTAGGCGCAGGCCAGTTTGTCCAACTGTCTCGTCGTGAGTTCTTCCTGGCATTGCGATCCTGGTAGAAGGTAAGTTCTGAGTCTGCATATTGGGACGACGGGTCTCGACCCAGCCAGTCCGTCGAGGGGAGGAACCCTTCCTCTGAGTGAGAGCCCCACGACTGCGTTTCGTCACTGGAGAGGTTAGGAAGCGAGCCCCAGAAGGCCTGCTGGGCAACATCCAGCGATGTGCCCGTCGAAGACACCCACTGTCCGTCGGTTGAGTTACTCGCGGGACTCGCGTACGGAATGGAATTAATATCAAGAGGCGGCGATGAGAACATGTCCAGCTGCGGGTTCAGCTGCTGCTTCATGGCGAGCATGCCCGGTCCCATGCCGAGGCCGTAGTCCGCCTCGCCGCGCGACATGAACGCCCCGTCATACCCCGGCACAGGGCCATAGAACTGCTGCGCGGCCCCAGCTGGCTCGCTCGAGTCGTCGGTGCCGGGGGAGGCCTTGTTGGCGCCGCCGCGGAGCTGCGCCTGCGCCCAGACGAAGGTGCATTTCTTCTTGGTCTTGAGGCAGTAGGTGCACGAGGGCGTGCGCATCGAGTCCTGGGCTGTGGAGGGGGAGCCCGGATATCCCGGAATCATCAGCGACGCGCACAGGATGAGACAGGCGCGGGGGGAGATGAGGACTCACCGAACTGGCCAGGATACAAGGCGGTGCGGTAGTTTCTGGCGTCGGGAAAAACGCGGGTGTCGCAGGCCCTCTTGGACTTCCGACACTGGTCGCACGCATGGTTCTGGCGGCGCTTGTTCGTCTTCTCCATGGCTTGACGTGATTTGAGCTGTCCTTACGCGCGGCTGGGCACGGCTGGGAGGGAGATGCTGGGCTGCGCTGGGCCTGCTCGGTCGGTTTGGTGGGGAGAGAGGCGGGATTTGATGAGAAAAAGTGAGTGAGCGCTTCTGGGATTGGAAATGATCTTAAGACACTCGCACTAGACTAAGAACAAGCCCCAAAACGGCGGTAGTGTCACTGGCCCATCATGATTAATCCCCCGCCTGCTAGAGGGTCGCAGTGCATCGGCAGAATGGGGAACAGGCAAGGATCCTTCGTCTCGTCCCCCGCATTCTCTTGGGCGCAGTTCGAGGCCCCGATTGGGCGTGCTCGTGTTTGTGCTACGACAACAATCATCCGGGAGCACACCCTCAGACGTGACGGAGGGGAGCAGGTATCTCGACACAGGGATCCCGTTGGGCGCAGTCACGGATCATTCGGTCCAAGATGGCAGCATGAAGGCATTCACGGAAAGCTGCTTCTCTTCTTGAGCGTCTGCCTCAGGTACCTACGCGCGTCACGTGGCCAAAATTGAATTAGTGCCTACGGTGATCACTCGCAGCCTAAAAAAACACCAAATTACACTGCGCCCCCTGTAATGCACCAACATCAGTCAGTTACCCCGCTCTTCTCGACTCTTCCGTCTGGGCTGACTTATTCCTCCGTTACGCAGCCAAGCCCTTATACACCTCCATCTCAATCTGCCCCCACAGGCCGAGAACCTGTGCATCAGCAAATGGGAGCACCTGTGAGGCAATCATGCCTGCGACACCCTTCTCGCGGTCACACCACCAGAACAGGTTGGCCAGCCCGGCCCATTGTCCTGTTGGCTGCGACCGCCCCGTTGCGGTGCTGTTGGGCAGCATGAAGGTGAGCCCCCATCCCTGCGGCTGGCTCGCCGCGACCGGGTACAGGTCCGGGATGGGGTTGGTGAGGTCTGGCTTGGACGGCGGGATGCCCTGGCGCCCGAAGTTGGGGAAGTTGGCGATCTGGTTGGTGAACATCTCCTGAACCGTCTCTTTCTTGAGCAGCTGGTGGTTGGTTCGGGGGCAGGTCCCGTCGTTCAGGAGCACGGCGAGCACCTCTGGAAGCGTTGGTTAGCATTGACTGATGCAGAAACAGGTCGCACGAGGTGGTGTGTGGACGTACTGCAGTATTCCTGCGGCCGGGCATAGATGCCAGCACCGCCACTGTTGAATATCTCACCCACCTTCTTCTCGTCTGCGAGGTCAACAACGATCGGCACACGCTGCAGGTGGTCTCTCGGTCGTAGCTTTCCGTCCTTTTCTCGCTGGTGCATGTAGGCGAGCTTCGACCGCATCTCTTTGTTGGGGATCATGGACATCTCCGTCAGCCCCAGGGGCTGGAAGATGTTCTTCTGCATGTAGTCGTTCAGCTTCAGGCCGGTCACGCGCTCGAGGGCAATGCCTGCCCAGTCAATGTTGACCTATCACCCACGTCAGTACTGTGTGAGACATTTACGAGTGCAGCTGGGCCAACGCACCCCGTATTCCCACCCCTCTCCAGGCTGGAAGAGCAGCGGCATGACCATGTCCTCAATGCGACCGGAGAATTCGTCAAATCCCCCGGGGAGCGACCAATCTCTCAAGCGCTCATTGAAAAATGTATAGCCAAACCCCGCCGTGTGCGTCAAGAGCATGCGCAGGGTGATCTTTCTCTTCTTCTCTTCCAGCGTGCCATCAGGCCGCAGGACCTGGAGGGTCTTGAGCTCCGGGCAGAGGTTCTCTAGCTGCTCTCCGTCATCGAGGGAAAGAATTCCCCGCTCGACGAGCTGCATGCAAGAGACGCCCGTCAGCATCTTGGTGCAGGACGCAATCCAGAAGATGTTCTCGAGCGTCATGGGCTCCTTGGATGCCAGACCCCGCTTGCCCGACGAGTGCGCAAATAATTCTTTGCCATCTCGATCGACAACGACGACAGTGACGCCAGCAAGACCCAGCTCCGGGTCGACGGTCGTGCCGTCTACCAGCGCCCGCAGGCTATCTAGACTCTGCGCAGAGAGAGACATGGCGTGAGTCTGATGGCAACAACTTGGACTTTGTAGTAGATTCTTTTTTGACGGAGGACAATTGATCTTTGATCTTTGATCTTTTGGCGAGGGAGATGAGATGAGATGCCCTCGCTGTAGGATATGTAAGGAAAGACGAGCTCCATGTCCCGCATCCTCTTCCTTTTGCCGAGGTGTTCAACCCCACAAGCTGAACACGGCGCTTCAGTCTGCCGCAATGCTGCGGCTTCCTTCGTGACCTCTTACGCAACCGTGCTGCGGCTCCGCATGGTCACCCGCCGTCCAATCCGTCAAAAACATGTGGCCGCCCACGATGACCGATCTGGCTGCGTGCTCGACGCGGGGAATGGAGAGCGGGTAAAGCTGAAGTCCTGATGGCGATCCCCGCAATCTAACCTCCCTTGCAATGCGGCTGCAGGGGGGGCTACATCATTCCCATACCCTCCCATACCCTATCTAGTGGGATAATCGGCTGCGGATCCGCAAACGATATGAGAGGAGCTGGGCATCTTTCTGGGGAGCGGGGATTCCCCAGATGCATTGACATCTCTCCAGGTTGGTGAGTCTCCCTTCAGGAGGCTTGCATGCATAACGCTCCGAAGGGCTTTGTCGTTGCATTCGATGGCGACTCAGTGCACAAGCCTCGCCAATGTCTAATCTTCAGATGGATCTCTATGGATCTAGTGTTACAGCACATATGCGGCTGCTGGATGTATTCTTCCAGAATAGACCTCGTGCTGCTGCGCAGATGCGAGTTGTAGTATAAATAGGAGTCGTATGACTCCCCGTTCTGCTGGGTTTTTCTGAATATACATCAGCTTAACAAACAAGAAGAAGAATTATATCAAAATCTCATTAATCGCTACAATGACCGATGCTGCAATCCCCAATCATACTGCCAAAAAGTTCAATACGGAGCTGACGGACTATTCCGTTGCTCATGAGGACAAGACCGGGCCATATGCTCCTAATTTGGAAGTCGATGCTCTGGTTGTAGGAGCAGGCTTTGGTATGCTTAAGTCTGACCTTACATTAGATAGAATTTGAGTTATCTGACAATATCTTGCAGCCGGAATCTTTATGCTCAAGACTCTGAGGGACCGTGGCTACAAGACAGTCATCTTCGAGGCCGGTAATGACACCGGTGGCACTTGGAGATGGAACTGTTATCCCGGTGCCATGGTTGACTCGGAAGTCCCCGAGTATGAGTTCTCCTGGCCCGAAGTATGGAAGACCTGGAACTGGCCTGCCAATTATCCCACCTATCAAGATCTCCGGTCTTATTTCGACCATGTTGACAAGGTCATCGGTGTCAAGAAGGACACTGCCTTCAATACTGTCGTTGTGGGTGCCCATTTTGATACCGATGAGGGCCGCTGGCACATCAAGACTGAAGATGGCCGGTTGACCAAGGCTAAGTACCTTGTCCTTGGAACAGGATTTGTAAGTAAAGCCTTAATCCTCTCCATGTCTGGTTTGGTCTATTTTCTAACCGACGTGGACAGGCCGCCAAGAGATACATCCCTGATTGGCCAGGAATGGACAAGTTCAAGGGTACTATCCACCACTCTTCCTTCTGGCCAGACGAGGAGATCTCTGTCAAGGGTAAGCGCTGCGGAGTCATCGGCACAGGTGCTTCAGGCGTCCAAATCGTCCAGGCCTGGGGACCCAAGGCCGATGAAGTCAAGGTGTTCCAGCGGACTCCCAACTTGGCAGTCCCCATGCGCTATCGAAAGCTCTCTGTTGAAGAGCAAGAGCGCGGCAAGACATGGTACCCAGAACTGTTCAAGTACAGAGAGACCAGCTTTGCCGGATTTCACTACGACTGGTATGAGAAGGAGACGTTTGACGACACCCCGGAGGAGAGGGAGGCGCTCTACGAGAGTGTTTGGGAGAAGTGCGGCTTCAGATACTGGGTCGCCGTGTACAAGGACAACCTCTTTGACGCCAAGGCGAACCAGGAGTCTTATAATTTCTGGGCTAAGAAGACCCGCGCTAGAATTGGAGATCCTCGAAAGAGAGATATCCTTGCTCCTCTGGATATGCCCCACTTCTTCGGTATCAAGCGGCCTTGCCTCGAGTATAGTTACTATGAGCAGTTCAACCGCGAGACTGTGGACGTTGTTGACATCAAGAACAATGCCATCAAAGAGTTTACCGAGACGGGCATTCTTTTGAATGACGGTACCCACTACGAGTTTGACGTTATTGCAGTCGCAACCGGTTTCGTGAGTTCTAATTTCTGACTGCATTGGCCACATTCACTAGCTAACCCTAGTCATTAGGATATTGTTACAGGAGGTATGAACATTGCCCTTCGATATCTTACTCAATCTATCTCAGTGGGATCCATGCTAACAACTCGTCTATGTAGTCATGACTCAGCTTGGACTTGAAAGCATCAACAAGACCAAACTCCAAGACGAATGGGTCAAGGGGTGCGAAACATACCTGGGCGTCACCACCTCCGGGTTCCCCAACATGTTCCACATCTACGGCCCTCACGGCCCGACTCTTCTGAGCAACGGCCCGACCAGCGTCGAGATTCAGGGTCGCTGGATCGCCGACGCGATCGACAAGATGAACAAGAACAACATCAAGTACATCAACCCCAAGCCCGAGGCCGCCAAGGAGTGGAAGCAGCACATCCTGGACCTGAACAACAGGTCTCTCTTCCCTACAACAAGGTCCACTTATATGGGTGGCAGCATGCCCAACAAGATTGTGGAGCCTGTGTGCTACAGCGGTGGCATTCCTGCCTATACCAAGGAGATCCGAGAGGCTCTAGACAGTATGGAAGGGTTCGATATTGTTGACCAGTGAAGGATTCTATTCATAGTGACTGTCTTTCTATCTGCAGGATGTATTATCCATAGTTTAGTTCAATTCATGTGTTCGAGTATTCAGGACCAAGAATATTTGATGTCCGAAAACTCTAGCGGCGTAACAAGGTTTAAAATCTTGCTCCCTAGCTGTATGATGGCTTGATTTAAGCCAAAGGATTAGTTAGCACTAAACATACACGTTCACTCCTCCATGGACTAAAGACATGATGGTCCATTCTATGCTTTGATGAACTGTAGCATACCACGTGCTCATGTGTTTCTTTATTGATCCTGATGGGGAATTCAACAAAATCATGCGATTGATTTTCCATATGCTTACCATGATCATAGTTACGTAGGTGGCCAGTTTTCATATTCTAAATCAGCTTTTCCAATTTCTTTGCATTGTTCTCATTGTTCCTGTTCTCTTTTGTAACTGCTCCTGCACCTCTAGGGTCACAGCTATGCGTCAATTCAGAACAGAGGGCCTCCAGCTCGTAATTTCATCAGTGACTCGATAAAATACTAATATAACTCACCCAATTTTCTTTTTATCCTCACCGTTGTTCAATGCGGCTATGCAAGCTTGACATATTTTGTTTCCTGGGCCAAGGTTTTGACCTCTGCGATCTCTCCGATCTCTCCGTTGCTATTTTCATTCTTGAATGTTTGGAAATAACTCAATATTGAATTTTTGAAAGAGTTTGTTCATTTCCGTAACAATTTGCTTAACGACGACAATGATGCCGACACAGTCAATCATGTTCAGAATCACGGGGCTTTGTTCGCAACAATACAATCGAAAATGTCCTTTCTCTCTAATATATTGTGAATGAGTACAGCTTTACTTTCGGTACTTTAAATACGTCCTTAAACCAAATTTCTAGCATTTGTTTTTATCATCTCTCACAGTTTCCTCACTAAAACTTCATATCACCAACTTCAAACCAGAAACAACACCCCAAAAAAATTATTGCACATCATGGGGAAACCCATCGATTTCTCAACATATCGCTTCTACAATATCATTTCCAAGACTTTTATAGATGACAAAAGGCTAGATGAGGTCATTAAGGAATTTGATTCAAAGCGTGTGCATGTTGTTCGCGTGAACAAGGAGGAAATAGTTGCCGGGTTCATGAAACACAACTTCCGCACCGATAAATTCATTTTAAAGAACGACTGCGACTACCACTTTACCGTCTCTCCCGCACCAGTCCTTATGTAAGTCTCACTGTTCCTCTTGTGCCCACCGCTTGCTAATTTCTCGTGCTCTCAAGAGTGACTCCTGCAACCAAGAATACTCCAAATGGGCACTACCATGACAGTTATTATGGATGGCCTCGGGGGGATAACAAGGGAGATAAGAAGAATGGGAAGTAGTGTCCGCATACCTATCTTATATCATATACAGTGCCAATAGATGAGATTGAAGTTTTCTCCCTGCGCTTATTTTTCTTCCAGGGTTGATTTTGTTCAGCCGAGGAAGGTTTCTTTCATCTGGCTAAATTGGTACAAGAGGCTCAACATGAAAGCTCAAAAAACAAAACAATATATATATATTTGAAAACTCATACAGTACCTGTAATCTGTGGTATGACTTCTTTATTGGCAGATTTGAAGTTATATGGGGAAACCCTTCGGTGGCAGACCAGCGAGAGACTCTACACTCACAGCCATGGGTTTCTGCTCAACAAGTTATATGTGTTTGAATTCCAGTTAAACGTACCCAACCTCTTGCTAATCGATGCTGGTTGCTGTTCTAACAACTTCACTATGCTTTCAATGGCCTTCAACCTAGAATAATGTCTACGCGATCATAACAACGGTGTCTGCGTAGTTCGCTTTTTTTTTCCTTTGCCTTGACTTGTTTATACATCTGCATTCATACTTTATACTAGACCTTGAATCGTAGAGGCTTTTCAGTAAGACACATGTGTAAATTGATCGAGCCAGCCCGACTTGTGGCTTTGATCAGATCTCCTTGCCAACCGAGTGACTGCCATAAACATGGTTCAACCCCATACGAGAAAGGACATAATAATAGGCAACACAACCTATCTAAAGGCACAGCTCATTATTTATATCATTCCCATGCCTCTAGTCAGAAACTTTGTAACCTAGTTCCATGTTGGCGGCTTAGGCAAGCTTCAACCCACAAGAGACTCCGGACATAGCCATTAAGAAGCAGTTCGAAGATCATATGGTATGCAAACATAAGCCCGGGATCAGGCAAAATTAGAGGTTCTTTGCATTAAGAAGCCACCTTCATGGAACTGATTCTAAGCGAGGTAGCTGGCGAATGTGCGTCGCGTTTCGGGCACATTAACGGGACAGCCGAGTCATACCTACGAAATTATTAGCAGCAACTGTATCTTCAGGAATTGCGCTTAGTGTCCAGCATTTTGTACCTAAACATATACTGGCATGGGCTAAGACTCCTTTTCCTTAAGATCATCCCATGGTAGTTCTTCTCCCAGATCTGCAAGACCAGCCTTGCCGCTGATAACAAATGCCATCGGACTCCGATACGGCACTTTTTCAAGCTCATGTATTATTTATATTAGATATCTATATCCTCTTCCTTCCTATCATTTAATATGGGCGATAACCGAGCTACTTTCCACAAGACGAGTGGACGCTACAGAATTGACCCAACTGTCTTCAATATAGACGACTTATTGTGAAGGAGATAACATAACTTTCATCTGTCAAGATAGTTCATTTACATTCTTAATAAATACGGAACCGTTTCAATTAGCCTGGTACCTTAATTTTATACCACGGAAGAGAAGAATTGAGAGAAAAAATAGTCTATTGGAAAGATAAAAACTTAGATAACGCTTACGCTTCTATAACCAAGAAAATTCAAAAATAAAAGTCTGCCTGGAGAAACAAATAAACCTCGAAATTATCTCACTATTTAAACTTTCGCAACGGCTGGCATGGGGTTTACCCAGGGCACTTTGCCAATCATGCGTTCTTCAGCTTTGATATAATCAAACACCTGCATGCTTGCTGTCTCAGGGGAACCGCGGCTAGCCAGGAATTTCTGCAGCGCATGTACAGACAGTACATGTCGGTCCACGAAGGCGAGAGTCCTGGTTTGCCAAGTGGCCATAGCCGTGGCCTGGCCAGAACGCCCGCACCCTGCTGTCACGGTGTCGTATCGAGAGTCCTGGTATGCCTTGAAGGCTGTGTCGAGCAAGGCTTTACTTGGCTCAGAGCCACCGGCTGATTCAACTGCTTTGTGTATCTCGTTCGCGAGGCTAACGATGTCGAGAATACCGTTATTGCAACCAGCACCTGTACTAGGGGTGAACTTGTGGGCTGCGTCACCAACAAGCACAATGCGGCCATCCCAGCTCCAATGTTCGACGACACCCTCCTCGAGACTCACTAGGCCGGATTGGACACGGCCCTCGTGCGCCTTCTTCAGGTTCAAACCCCCTTTTGAGGTAAGGGGGAGGTGGCCCCATCGCTCGACAATCGAAGCTTCGTCTGCCTCTGTGAATCGAAACCTCTCACGGGTTGGCGCATCTAGAGTTTCATATAAGCCGATGACAGCGGTCTCTTCGCCAACAAAAAACTGCGTTGCAGCGCCAGGACCATGTGTCTCGACTGTTGTGCCTGGCTCCAAGCCTTGACAGAGAGATGTAGGAATCCGAAGCCAAAGGCATCTATAAGTGGTGAGATAAGGTTGCTCCTCATTGATCTCTAGTGAGCCGGCGTTGAGGCCGAGAGTGCGCATTTGCTGGCGGACACTGCTGTGAGCGCCGTCGGCACCGATAACTATGGAGCCAGAATAGGAGGTGCCGTCCGCACACGACACGACAGTTTGATCTTCTTCAACAGTAATGTTGGAGACTTTCTTATTTGTGTAGATATTGGATCGTGCGTGGGCGGGGATGCCTTCGTACAGGACTCTGGTCAGATCATGCCGGCTAAGGACTCTTGGAAATGCGCCAAATCTATGAGAGGTAAAGAGACGTTAGATGAATTAAATTCGGAATGACATCTACTTGAAAGCCACTCACTTTTCCTTGAGGTGGAAGAACCACTGTAAATCACTGACGGGTTTGCCTTGGTGGTCGATGCATTCGATGCCTGAGAGTGGTGAGCTCACAGCATCAAGGGCATCGCCAAGACCAAGCTGGTAGAGAGCTCTCATGCCATTTGGAAGCATGACGAGATTTGAGCCAGCATCGATGATGATGTCTGATCGCCTTTCAAGGACAACAAAGTCGATGCCAGCTTTTGCCAGAGCGATGGCAGCGGTCAGCCCAACTGGGCCACCGCCCACAATGATGACTTTAAATCCGGGGACGGCCATGTTTGAGATATTTTTCTCCACGGGGGCTGATTTATTAATGGATGAAAGATTGAAAGATGGCGTTGTTAATTGATTGTTAAGTAGTTGTCGAGTTTGGTGGTGTTGTTTGGTGTATTGATCTTATTCTATCTGATCTCCTCCATTTTCGAGGAAGATATCCCATTGTTTTATAGTAAATGAATATCGGTTTCATGTCCAATTAAATGCCAGTTCGCATTCGATTTCTTTGTGCATAGAGGTTCCGAGAGTGTTCGGCTGTCTTTCGTCGCACTCGCAAAGTGGCTCAGCAAGCGGCGGGATTCAGGTGCCGAGTGACAATCTCACTCTCTCTAGCGTCTGCTATATTTATGACGTAGACTAAGTCGCTCGCATTCGGATCAAGGCGGTCATCCAATGCCGAATGGCGCTTAAATCTTGGACCCGTCACTCAGCTTCGGACTCCGACAGCCCTACAGACAACCCTACAGACAGCCACTACCGTGAATTCACTGATTGTCCCTCCTTCATCGTTTCTTAGGCTAACGTTCGATGCCTGGCGCCACTCCCGCGCATCGAAACGGTTTCTGCGAATGCGAATCCCGACCAAACTGCGGGGCCCGCGAAGATGAGAACCGTCGATATGATAAGCTCGCTTAGATGCGATGCTCCCTGTCCTGGATGATGTCTTCCAAATTTCGAATTTCGGGAATTCACTCAAAGCAAGCAGCCGAAATTTAACGCCAATTCTCGGGATATATTTCCGAGAATAGAAATGGGCCGACGACTACTTGGCAAACGCGATCTATTCGGGATGATAAAAGCTCTCATATGAGTCATTATTCAAAATGCAGGTAAGGCCAATAGGCATTGCAAAAGACACTTAATACAAGAGGGACCAACACAAGGGCGTGAAGTGCCTTTCAGTCTCCCCGGTATACTGCTTTGAAAGAAAAGATCAGGTTTGAATGCGACAAGTACTCTGCCGCTCTACCAAATTAATGGGATACTATCAATTCCTGATGGTGTTACTGTACCCGTCTGTCGCTTCAATCTGCTCATTCGATGCGTCCATGAATTTGTTCAGCTTTCTGCCAAGCTTCGCTAACGAGGCCAACGCATTCCTCCCTGACAGAAGTTCTATTTTCCAGCGACGGATAAGAAAAGATACGGGCAAAAGAGGCAGTTGGGGTCGCAATGGCTTTAGGCAACAAAAGTCCTCGAACGATCAGTGACTCACGATGACAATCAGGAACCAATCGTTGCGCCCCGTCGATATACATGCCCATATTGGTTGTCGTGTGCCACTTGGCTATGTTGGCTATATATTTCTCCCGGTCCCATCAAGCTACACTGAGCCGTGCATGAACAACACCTGCGCAAGTCTTGCCTCTCGGTCATTGAACACAGAATGCCAGTGACACTCCAAGTCGCCAGACATGGTTCAAAGCCCGTCGGTCAATACGTGAAAACAGAGCACGCGGGCGCGCAAGATGTGCTCCACAAGCTCATCAACTCACCCGCCAAGCCTCAGGGACGAGGCGAGACTGGCCCGATTCTTGTCGCCGTCTTGGGCCAGCAGACATCCTTTACCGATGATAAGTTAAAGGAGACACCCGCCCAGCCTCAGGGACGAGGCGAGACCGGCCCGATTCTTGTCACCGGCTTGGGCCAGCAGACATCCTTTACCGATGAAAAATTAAAGGAGATGAGCTTCAGCGTTCAGGACCACGGCCTGATCCGCGCCGCCTACTACGCATACTCCTACCATCACAACCTGGTCCTGCGGCCCGAGGATATCTGGTTTGCCATCTTGACCCAGTTCAGCTTCTACGTCAATGCAAACTCGGAGAAGCTTCGCTCGTCCTTTGTTGCCCATGAGGGGAAGAAGGGCCTGGTCCTCCGTGACCGGGCCCAAGCTGACATGGGCCTCATGTGCCGCAACATGACCAAGCTCATCGATGAGAACATTGTTGACGAGAAGCTGCGTGAATGGATCCTGCCGTCCTTCACAACCACCACCATCAACGACGAGGTGGTCGCTGCCGTCATCATGATGGGCACCCTCCAGAGGCACTTCCAGTACGTGTATGATTGTTCTCACTGCGGCATCCCGCGGGTCACCTTGCTGGGCGAGCTGAGCGACTGGGAGGATATACAGCGACGCATCGAGAAGCTGACCGAATACGGCGAGGAGCCGAGTCGGTTTTGCGAAATGCTTCGACCGATCCTGCAGTACATGATTCTATCCTTCAAGACGCCAGAAGACCGAGAGGTAGTGGACTTTTGGAGCCAGATCATCAGCCATATTTCGGGCAGCGGGATGAACCATTTAGACGGCTGGTTGGTCGTATTCTGCTTCTGGGATGAGAAGGGCAAGTGTCAGGTCAAGGAACCCCGATATCATAGATTATTCGCGTCCCGCGGAACACCCGCGAGCAAGGCTCCTTATAACTCGGTGAATTTCAATGATGTGCCTTGCGGGTTTGTTTCGTGCCCTTTGACGTATATATCTCCGGACAAGGAGGTCATAAGCGTCAAATTACTGGCCGGGCTCGCTGGATTCGAGTTGAGCAAATCCCTCTACGAAAGCCTCCCTACCGCTGAGGTTGAAAGCAATACTGCGGCGAGCGAAGAAGAGAATAAAAGCCAAAGCGGCGTCTCCGGTCTGTATTCCAAGCTAAAGGCCACAGGCACGGCAGGAGAAAAGCTTCATCAAAGCACACAAGGCAAATCGCGGATTTCCCTGATCCACAATGAGAAGGCATCGCCTGAGGCAGACACTATCCAGCCAGTCGCCGGGTGGTGGATGTACAAGGACGCGGCTGGAGAAGACGACGGCAAGTCGCCCTCCCAGTTCTATCAAGACAAGATGGCGAATGGCTGGGATGGTCAGGTGAGCACAGGTTACGTCCAGAAGGACGGCAAGATGAGAATAAAGGAAGAACTACCCCGCGACAACAAACGTGTCAGGTATGATTTTCCTACGTCTGTCTTGAGAAAGACTCTATGAAGGACCTCGTATTGAATAAACAATTGGAAATGTGGCGTGTACTCTCGCCATGATACTTATGTTTAAGATCTCAAGGTACATTCATTCATCAATCCTGTTCGGATGTCACCTATATTGTATGCACCGTTCAGGATTTTTGGTCCTAGTGTCTCAAAACTTAGTAGTAAGACAAGAACTTCACTTTCCTTTCTGCCCTGGGGCATTGTGATTAATTCTGAAGCCGATGAGTGTTAATCCTGATGTCGGGTTGCCCGAACCGCAAAGTATCAGCACAACTTTAGCTTCAAATGTTTTCTCCGGACCAGCTATCGGGACATCATTAAGTATTTTATAGAGAGTGAGCAACTCCGTAAAATCATATATAGGTGATTCTCTTGATACAGACTAACCTCTGGTCTCGACTTGTGCAAAACCCCATCGTCTGTGAAAGACTTTTAAGAAAAGTCGAAATCATAACTCATGTGCCTTACAAAACTATCATGGCACCCTGCTCTGTCTGCTTCAAAACTTCCTGCACAGAACGACCGTTCATGCTCAATTTATAAAAACAATTCCAACACGTGTTTTCGGACTTCAAGATGACGCAATGACCTTTTGCTATGCAGATAGCGGCTGCAACCAGCCGAGCTTGCCAATTTCCTTTGGCTCGGACAATACCCGGAGCCTTTGGCGGGACAACCATTTCGGCATAGTTGTCGATAGAGATGATCCTGGACCCGAGCGGCTGGGCTGGGCTACATTGGCACGGCTTGGAGTGTAGGTATTCTCGCAGGATCCTCTGGCTACGCAAAGATCCGAGGATATCAAGCTCGGAGACCCATTTGCCGTGATCATACACGGAGACAAGCGCCTCGATAAAGTAAGCCTCAACATCTCTGTTACCAGAAAATTGGACATTGAGCGGTTGACAAGCCTCTGAAAACGAAAGATGCAAGCTTGTGCCCTGAAAGCAGTCGTCTACAACCCCGTCAAAGTCCTTGTGGTCAAGGCAGTACCATTCATCAATTGTATCATAGGATTTTGTTTCGGGGTTCTGAGGAGGGACAAGAAAGGCAACTCCTGCTCGGCCAATGTTTCCTGCTAGCCTCTGGATCGGGGCGCTGGACGTGTTTGTCGCCGGATCCTCGAGAACGGCTGAAGAGATATATAGCGAATCAGCCGAGGACAGAGCAAACACATTGTTCAGGTCTTCTGGGTGCAAATTGTATGAGCCAGTTTCCATCATAGCGATGCAAGCAAAACATTCGGCAACAGTGAGATCCTGCGGGTTACACTTAGGCTGGCGGCGATGTCTGGCTTGATGGACGACGACTCTCCGTGATCGCGGTGAAAGCATCGAAGTAATCCAGTGGGCTTGTTCAAAGCCTTCCTGGATCACTCGAACATCTACTGTGGCGTTTGGCAAGGTCTTGTAAAGGCTATCGACGAGTGTCAGGCCTAAAATCACGTCGTGCTCTGGAGCATTCAGGTCGAACATTCTGGCACAATCTTTGAACCTGATATTTTCGGGCCGGAAAAGCTTCATGATCTGGGGTATTTTGAGTACAAATTTGTACTCGCCGGATTCTGGTTCCTTGGGCGAGCCAGATGGGTGAAGGATTTCGGGCTGATCCTGTATCATACGCAACAGGGCAATCTCGTTTGAATCTCCGTAGACCGCTCTATACTGTCGAGTCTTATTGGTTCCTTTCGGACCAAAATGAGCAGTAAGTGTTGTGCGAAACGGCGAGAAATTCCGGTATTGAGCTCCGCTCTCTGAGCTATCTCCTAACCCAGATGATTTAGGTTTGCGTAGGAAGACAGGGTAGGAAATGGACCCAACAACCTCCGCCTTCTCTCCGTAGGAAATGATCTGCTCTAGGCGGTCCTTCAAGATCTGCTTTGAAAGGTGGGATGAAATCCATCGCCTATGTTGTCTCCGAGTATCAGTATCCCAACCAGTCTTAGTTACTTGATGATCTGGAACAGCAGTGACGAACTCGAAGCCGTAACAAAATTCTCCTGTGGCTGAATCAAAGTATTTCTTCTTCAAGACTATCAAAAACTCATATGGTGATGATTGGGTTGCCATGGATAATGCTGCTAACCTAAGCAGCCCGATCATATCCTCAGTGCGTCGTGCTGACTGGAGAAATGTCTCGACCCCAAATATGCCCTGAAATGGATTGAAAGCTGGAGGATAATATCTTTGACCCATGTTCCGCAGCTTCCTGACTCTCTGGTCATCTAAACGGTCCTTGAACAGGAGTGCAATACGCGAAAACATTGTCAGCCACGAATCGTTTTTGTGGACTTCTCTGCCTGCCTTCCATTTCCTCTGGGTCTCGTCATCAAGGTGCCCCTTGCCCTTTGGCGAATATTCATATCCCATGTTCCAATGAAGCTGAATAGCAACATCACTGATATATTGAAGTAGCTCGGGAGCTGGGACACTGCCGTCATCCCATTTAATGATATAGGCTGATAAAAATGCCCAAAGCATTTCATCAACCGTCAGTCGATCTTTATCTGACAGTCGGATAGTTGTCATGCGTGTCACTGGTAATCCATAATATCGTAAATGAGCCAGAGGTAGTGCCCAATAAACGGACTGGCAGTCTTTTGCTCGCGTTGGAGACGGCTCCAGGCCCAACGTCAATATCCCTCGCCCCTTGACTAGGTGATCACCTTGATCAATCTTCTGATCTTTTCTAGAAAGATAGAGCATGTCCGGGTAAATATGCCAAGATAATAACCCAACAAGAATATCTCCGCTGTAGACCTGTAGAGGAACCCCCATCAGCAGGTTCTCCATCTGGGTCATTGCAGAAGCCCATGCCTCGATAACACTAAGATACGTGTCTGGCTTCATATTGACAGGCATGTCTAGATTATCCACAATGAGCCGCAGTTGGATCTGTTGCTTGTTCATAACGCCATCTGCAGCACGAAGCCAAGCTCGAGCACTGGCGTCCCAGTTATGGATATCAGACCGCACATAATCGCTGATTGCGGCTAACAAGACCTCATTATCCAGTTCACCATCTGCTTCAAGTTGCTCCTGGAGCTCTTTTCTTCTCCTGGATATCATCTCGACCCATATGGATGTTGCCTCTGTGGGCTCCCACATTCTAGCTAAAAAACATGCCAAAAGGTGACACTGCAAAGATCGCCTGCCGGACGTAGCGGCTGCCCATAAAGTAGTAGCATCGGCTCCAATTATCTCAGCAAATGGCCCATGAGAAGACTGGCCGCGGGGATTGGCGGTGGAACTTCTCGCAATTTCCGAAGCTCTCTCTCCGTATGCTTTGATGAGGTTCGGTGTAAGAGGTAGCGCCGCATGATTCTTGAAGAGCAGCCCAAGTTTCCGTGCAAGAATGTGCCGAGCGCCGTTCTGTGCTTCATCCCTCCGTGAGCGAGCGAGGTTTTGGCCTATGGCATCATACTCAGGCGGAGGTTTCACGAATTTGGAAAAGTTGATCTCTAAATTGACATTGACTAGAGCATTGGTGGCCTCTGCCCGAAAGCTGCTGAGGGCGGCGTTGAAGTTGCCAAAAGAAGCCATCAAGCATGCTGTCTGAGGTATTCGGTGATTAATAGTGTAGAAAAGCACGATTAAATGTGCAGATGCTCAAAATTTACTTGTTCCTCAATTTTTAATAGAAGAAATTCCCTCAAAGTTAAATGCACTGATGCCCAATTCACCAGACGGGCATGACGATGTTGCATTGCGTCAAGCTGACCACCACTAGGTGAAGGGGTGCGGGGTGGATAAGAGTTGTCCTTCTTATGAAAGGAGCCTGCTCTAATGTTTTCGCTGTCTAGGTTACGATCAAAAGTGAAGTTTACACTTCCATCCTTCGTTCACCGATATCAGCGTTTGTAACGTTGCCGTTGAGATGGCTTCCCCTTGATGATCTGTGATGTTTATCTGATTTAGTTATCGGTTAATACTCAAGAAGAACTTCAAATAAAAACAAAAGGAACTAGATTTTTTTTGTTGTTAAAATAAAGATTTATAAAAAAGATACAGCCGGATTCTGTCAGACTGAATTATTAATGGGAGAGAGCAGACGTTGAGCGTGATGAACCAGCTATCACATGAAGTGTAGGGTAAGCGAGGTGATGGGGGTAGACTCAGGTATGTGGCTTACTAATCCCGTAACCAGCTAATGCACAGCCCCAGCCGAAGCCAACCGATCGACCCATTCCCGTCATCTTTGTGCAGCTTCAATCCACAAAGACGAACAGTGGGCCTATCAACGACCGGCACTGCTCATGATGGATCAGAAACACGACTCCGGGCTGCTAATGGGCCCGTCATACCTGGGTCAAGCCCCCCAGAAGCACAAGCAGGCTTCACTGGGCCAACGGCTGGGACTCGCCTTCTACTTCCTCTGCGTGTCCTACATCCTCTGCTCCATCTTCTACCATTCGCTCGGACTGTTTGGAATCATCAGCCTACCTGACCATCTTGATGAACCCGCCGGCTTAGCTGTGTGCGACGAAGCTGCTCCCTTTGTGACCTACGAGGGCGAGACTATTCAGTGGCAACCATGCGGTGAAATCAACGAGCACTCGCTCGAATGCGGCTCCATCGACGTACCCATGGATCAGTTCAATGCCTCGAACTCTGGCGACAAGACCTTCAATATCCCACTCATCCGCCTGCGCGCGTTCAACGCCACCCAGGGCAAGAACCTTCTGCTGAACCCCGGTGGCCCCGGTGGCAGCGGCATCGGTCTAGTTCACAGGAAAGGCAAGCAGCTGAGCACCATTGTCGGCGAAGGATATCACCTCGTCTCCTTCGACCCTCGCGGCATCGCCGCATCTACGCCCAAGGCCTCCTGCTACCCCGATAGCGATGTGCGCCAAAGGTTGTCGAGGGTGAGGTCCAAGGACCTGGTCGCTGACAGCCCCGAGGTTTTCAGCTGGACCAGCAACTTTGTCCAGGCTTGCGCCGATACCATGGGTGAGCACGGCCCGTACATCAACACCCCGCAGACGGCTGCCGACATGAACAGCATCCTCGACGCGCTGGGCCAGGAGCAGATGGCATACTGGGGATTCAGCTACGGTACCATTCTGGGCCAGACGTATGCTTCGTTGTTCCCTGAACGATCTGAACGAGTCATCATCGACGGCGTGGCTAACAACTTTGACTGGTTCGGCACATCCATCGACCAAGAGATGTGGACCGACACCGACAACGTCTTTGACGGGTTCTTTGACAAGTGTATCGAGGCGGGGGACAATTGCGCCCTTGCAGGATTCGCCGACACCAAGGAGGAGATCAAGAATCAGGTATTGGCATTCGGCAAGGCACTCCAGGAGCAGCCTGTCAATGTGTACATTAACTCGTCCCACTACGGTCTTGTCGACTACGAGATGCTGTTCAACACTGCCATCTTTAGTGCCCTCTACAAGCCAGCCAACTGGAACGAGGTGGCCAAGCTGATCGCGTCGCTGATGAAGGGCAACGCGACTGACCTGTTCCTCCAATACGGCGACGGCGATGGGTTCGGGATTGAGGGCGAGGGCCAGCAATTCGTCCTGCTGAACGATGCGCAGACGGGCCCCGAGCACTGGCCACAAGATCGCCAAGCCATCCTGAACGAGACCATCGTACTGGCAGAAAGCTCTATTTTCGGCATCACTGAGGCTCCGGCCGTTTACCAGAAGCAAAAGTGGAACCTGCCAGCCGGGCACCATTTCCAGCCCGGTCATGCCATTGAAACCGTCGGACCACTGCTCATCCTCTCCACCACGTACGATCCAGTGTGCCCGCTCAAGTCGGCTCGGGTCGCCAACGAGGCCTTCAAGGACTCCCGGCTGGTCGAGGTGCTTGGGTACGGCCACTGCAGCATCTCGGTGGTGTCCGGGTGCCTAGCCCAGCACGTGCGCAACTTCCTCTACGAGGGGGTCTTGCCGCCTCCAGGTGCGCAGTGCGAGGTCGACGCGCCGTACTTTCTGCCGCCAGACGAGCAGATCCTGCTTGCTGCTGAGGATGACGACTCGGAGGAGGGTCGGCTGTACCGCGCCCAATTGGAGCTCGCGCAGGAGATGGAGTGGCCCCGGCGCTGGTAGACGGGCGGGGCACGCGGTTCTGCAGGAGTGGATGGGATGGTGCATCGTAGACAGACAAGCAGCTTGCACATGACACGAACGTTGGCATTAGTGTCTGGGCCGTGTTCCATTCCCCTCTCCCCTGTTTGGCCAGATCATGGCATTGCGTTCCTGTATCAAAACCCCTAGTGTGGGATGGATTGTCAGGCACCTTGCCCCCTTGGTCTCTGATCCATGCCGGGCGATGCTGCGTTGGGCAAGTGTTGATATGGTGGCTTGGGCTAGACCTCAGTCCCCAGCTCCCCCAAATTCCAGGGCAGATACTGAATTCTGAGAGAGGGTGGCATTGGATTCCCAAGCGTAGCGTTCGGCTGCTTGGCCTGAGACAGACCCCTGCTCCCTCACGCTGGCAACGGGCGGTCGAAACCCAAAACCTTGCGCGTGGAGGGTGGGTTCTGGTATGGGGCCTTGGGATGATGCGACACGGCGGAGACGAAGAGGTGCAGCGCATCGTCATGAGCTTCGTATTAATTCATGCCGTGCCCTCATCGTTGGTTGGCGCTCGCTCCTGCCTCCTGCTCGTCACTTCCTTCTCTCTCTATTCATCCCATCTTTCGTCCTTCTCTTCCTCTCCTTGTCCTCTTCAATCGGGTGCTGCGCATCCCTGTAATAAATAATAACACACAATTGACTACTGATACCTAACAAATCCATCATGTCCCCGTCGCCGAGGTGCATCTTCCCTTCCTTCGTCATCGCGTCCGAGATCGCCATTCTCGCCTTCACCACCTACCTTATCGCTATCAACTACTCCGCCTACCACAACGATCGCTCCCTCGAGCCCGCCAGCGACGATGCCTCGGTCCTCAGCTGGATCCAGCTCTCCTCCACCCCCTCCATCCTCCGCCTGCTCTACGGCTGCCTGTGCGGCGACCTCGAGAACCTCCCCGTTGCCCTCTACGCGGCCGGCTTCGCGTGGGCCGGCCTGACCATGCTCTGCACCCGCTTCAGCACCCCCGCGACCCTCCACAGTGGCCACGCCCACCTCATCGCCATCGACGCCGCCATCGGCACCTTCTTCCTCGTCGCCGTCTTCCTCTGCAGGCCAGCAGCCACCACCGCACCCGTTGCGAACGGGGAGCTGAAGCTGGGCGAGAAGCTGGGCGAGCCGATCGAGCAGCAGCCCACTCGCAAGTCCAACCTCTCGGCGTACCTGGTCCGCGAGGTAGTGGCCTGCTGGAACTCGTTCCGGTTCATGTACATGGAGTTCAAGCTCGTCCTCGCCGGCTGGGGCGCCATCCATGACCAGTCCATCGTGGACGGGCTGTTCTGGGGCCAGACCATCGGGTTCGCCATCGACGCCCTGCTCGCCCTCGGTATCATCGTGCAGGCTCTTCATGCCCTCGTCCAGGCCTTCCGGACCAAGACAGTCTCCCTTTTCGATGTAAGTTGTGCCCCACCTACCTGTCAGACCGTTAAGCTAGGGACGAACGTTGACGCATTCCTTAGGCATCTGGCTATGCGCTAATCGGCGACGTGACTGCCACGATCCGCTATGTCTTGGACTTTATCTGCATCTGCGTCCTCGCCGCGGGACCCCTGACGGGCACCATGCTGCATGTGAGCCAGTACGCCTCGCTCGTCTCCATGCTGCTCCCCGCGTGGTGTGTCATCGGCACGATCAACATGTTCTCGTGCTCGGGCATGGTCATGGAGGCTGATGAGGAAGACGAAGAGAAGGAGGAGGCCGAGCGGCCCTGGTTGGTCACCGTCTTCGTGGATGAGAAGAAGCGGGAGGGGGATGTCATAATCGTGTAATCGACGTAATAATGTGCGTGTGTGTAAGCAGTGTGACCCCTTTTAGATTTTCAAGCTCTACGCAAAAATAAAGCATAGATACAGATTCCCCCCGAGTAATTTTCTAGACCTGGCCCATCGTGTTCCCTAAATCGAATATTATATGCCACCATATAAATGCCCACACTGAACCCCTCTGGTCAGCTGATGAAAGAACCAAAACCAAGAAACGAACAAATATCCTAAAAAATACGTGGAAAAGACAAGATGGAAAGAAAATAAAAGCACTAAAAAGCAAGGCCTCTACGAGGTCGTGGTCATTAATCATTATCTTCCCCCTGGTGCAAATCATCCCAACCAAACGTCATATATCTCATTCAGACAAAAGCACATAAGCACGGCAGGGAATCGACCCGATCAGTGCTTGCCGAAGAGGCTGAATCGGAGCTTGCCGCTCTTGGGCTTCAGCGACCGCTCGCTCAGGGGGCTGAGCGGTCTGTCATCGAAGCTCACAGCCCTCTGGACAGGCTGAGAGTGGATGGGCTCGAGCTGGGGTGGTCCGGACATGGTGCCCGAGGTCAGGCCCCTGTCAACGAGCTCGCCTCTCATGGCGCGGCCGACGTCCTCGTGCTGGCGGCTGTAGTCGTCATGCTTGGACTTGGCGCTGAGGAACCGGTCCTCGGCCTGCTGCCTGCGCTCCTGGAGGGCGCGGAGCTCATCGTCGAGCTGGGCCATCTCGCCGCGGGCCTCGGTCATGAGGCGGTCATACTCGTTGATCTTCTTCTCAAGCGGCTGGAGGACGCTCTTGAGGACGCTGGGGCTCTCGAGGCGGCTGACACGGCGGTTCGGCCCACCCTGACGGCCGTCGTCGAGGGAAGGGGGCGGGCGGAGCTGGGCGTCCTGGTTGGACATTGCCTGGGACCGGCGGTGCGGTTGATCAGCGGAGGGGCCACGGGACTGGCCGTAGGGGCCGGATCCTGGGGGAGCGCCTGGATTGCCGGAGTGGCGGCGGTTGGAGGGAAGGTTGCTGGTGGCCTGCTGCTGCGACCGGTAGTGGCCGTTCTTGGTTGGGCTCTGAGGGCTATCGTCGTAAGAACCTCCCGGAGGACCCGGGTATCCTGGAGGCATGGCACCTTGCTCGCCTCGACGAGTCTCTGGGCCTCGCTGCTGAACGGCGCCTCCCTGATCGTTGGTGTTAGCCGATGTGTCAAAACTGAGAATGGTGGCGGCAATATTGGTCAAAGGGAGAGAAGGTGGGAAGAGCAGGACAATCGCTTCCATTCCGGAAGGGAGGCTTTCGCATGGCGATTGGAGGGACGTAGGCGCGGGGCAGGTTTTCAGAGTGTGTGGGCCGACAACGCAACGCAACGCAATGCAATTGAGGGATGGGGGTGTCGGGCAAATTGGAATTGACCATGCATAGGAAATGAGCTGCTTACCTGCTGCGACTGGGAGAGCATTGAGTCTTGCAGGACAGAGTCCTCGGTAGGGCTGTACGGCTCATCATTGTCCTGGTACCGGTAGTCATCACGGCTGGGAGAATGCGAGTGGCCGTTGCCGTTGAACTGGTTCGCGCTGGCGTTTTGCTGGCGGTTCTTGGCCCGGGCGGCCTTGCGAGCTTCACGGGCCTCGCGGGATCCGCGCATGCCTACCTCGTCGGGGCTGTCATACGGCTGCTGCGAAGCTGACGCGGCCATGCTGATGGTGATGCTGTCGGGCGAGATCTTCTGAAGAATGACTCCGGGCATGGACGAGGCGGTAAGCGGTGGAATGCAATTGAGCTGCGTGGAATTGGAGAAGAAGGGAGGGGGAAGGAGCTGGCAGAACGCGGAGGGTGGCCAGCACAGTGGGACAATGGGCTGGACTGGAATGCAATGTAATGCGAAAGAAAGCGATGGAGAGATGGAGAGATGAAAGACAGATGATCGGAATGGATTGATGGTGAATGGGCCTCGCCGTTTTTACGGTTGGACACCGACTCGAAAAAAGGTGCAGGCTGGGAAGCTGGAAAGTGCTGTGGCTGGGGATCATTTGAGTTAGCGCCGGCACGGACAGCGGGCTCCCGCCTGGGCCCACACAGCCCTGAGCTCCCGCTGGAACGGCCTCCAGAGGGCCCCAAGCCCTGTTTCTAGGGCCTCGCACCCGCTGTAGGCCCTTGCTGCCCAATTCCCCCGGCACCCACTTGTTACGTGTCGCTGATCCTGTCCCCAGCCCCACGCTTTTCGGTGCTGCAAATTGACTGGATCAATGTCCAAGACCTCACCAACGGCTGGAAATCAATCTTACCTTGGCTTTGGGCCTCTCTCTGTAAACCGGAATCTCCTGCAGCTTGTGAAACGGCTGCCGTACACCCGATTGGGCCATGCGGTGGATTTTGCCCTCGTATTGCTGATGCCGTGACCATCAGGCCGCTTGCTGACCGGCAAGATGACCCGCCACTGTCTCGCTTCGATTCATTGCACCAACCTCTGCATTCTCTGCAGCCACACACGATGGACGACAAGCCACAGTTCATGGCATCAGCCACATGGCCATACAGCCAGTTCGGGCACATCCCACCTGCTTGGGCACTGGCAAATTGCACGTCAAACTTGCTTGCTAATATCTCCAGAGGTAAACTTGAGATACTCACTTTCTGAAAATGTAGTGGCATTGGAGCTCAACCTGCCGATCGGGAATAAGCTCGAGCTCTGGCCCTCCATCTTCTCCGTATAGAGAGACAGGGGGCCTGCGAAATGACCCGACCGACGATGACCAAGCGACACGACATTGCATTATCCCTCGCAGATCTTCGCTGTGCGACAGCATCTCTACCATCAGATTAGGGAACTAGCATGGCCTAGGTATATCTTCTTAGCTGCCAAGTTTTCACGTGTTTGGCATACTCATCGTCATCCCCATTGGCCAAGATCAAGGACGTAGCACGATTTTTCAACCTTGGTTCTCACTTCCACTGCCTCAAGACTGATATATTTGTGACCGAGGTGACCATTAGATTGATACGCGCTTAGTAGTTTCATATAATCCGCTGATAGCGAGGAGCCTAAGTTATCAGTCCAAAACTGACGCTCTCGATAGATAAACATCCAGCTACGTAATTATCGGAAATCATTCGATGAGCGAAGAGGACTGCCTCCTGAATAGTTCATCATCCTCATTCTTTTAACACAACAATTTTTTGAAATGCGTCAGTAGTCTAGAAGAGTCGCGATCCAGCAGCTCAAGTCATTTTGAAGCCCCTTCCCCCCCAAGATATATGCTCTCCAGTCATGAAATGAGATGCACTGGGAGGAAGTTTTGCTTCTAAGCATTCTTTTGGTGCTTTCTGTCTAGTATTAGACCCGAAAAGAGCACAACACAACAAAGGGAAACAAGGCAAGACTACTGTACTGGGTGGCATCCTCAGCCATGGACGAATTCGGAGGTTCAACAAAGGTTACTTGGAAGCAGAAGGTTTACACAGCATGAGCCAGAGTGATGGGCACACGATTGGCCCCTTAGGAATCCCCTGTGTGAGGTTGTCTGGCCACTCACATTGAGAATATTTCCTAGCCGTTCCATGGGGTTCTTCACCTTGCCTTTTACCACACAATCTGTAAACTACTCCGAACATACCTCAGTAGTTGGAGCTTGCTGAAAAAAGCCTCGATTCTATGACTCTTATCCTGCCTGCGAGTTTTTCATGTGAGCATCTGCCCAATTGAAAACCCACCACCAACAACCTTATCCATACTCTTATTCAGTAACTTGCGCAATTAAACCGCAATGATGAGGTTTATTGGAAGAGTAATTCCATGAATGTCTCGTAATATCTGGCCGTCTATGTTCTGGACACTTCCATGCTGTTTATTAGCCTCTTCGCCTTAGGGACACAATTTGCCTGCTGCTCCAATCGCAAACCTAACCAAGGCTGTGTAAAAATCTTGATTTCATAGATCAGGGCATCCGTCGCAGATTTTTCCCAAGGAAAATACCCATGAATTATGTTCAGTGACTCACTCAGCTGAACCCCATTCAGAGTTACGGCAAGCCACTTTGATGTATCTCCCATGTGACATTCTAAAGCTTCATCGTCTAACAGAGGCATACCTAAGAGAAGTTTAAATCGATCCCCATGGGGTAAAGGGCAACGCCATACCCCGCATGGGGCTGACAGTTTAGAAAAAGCTTAATTCCATTTCCAATTCGAGACTTGCCTCTTGAACTCAAGACCTCAAGAGAGAAGCCAGACAGAAGGCGGATCTAGAGTACGCCCAGGGTCTATGAGTGTGAAAAGGGGACTCATATTCTTATGGTTCTAAGTTATTGAATGGTGAATGATGAACGCCTCTCCAATTCCATGGAAACCCAGTCTCCTTTAGGCTCTCCCCGAACTTTTTCATATTGAATAACGAATATCTTTCTGAGTGGAGAATAAATCTTCCAACAGAGGCCTTCCATTTCCTTCGCGGGATTCGTAGAAGCTCTGACTTTGACGTCTGGTGGGTGGGGAGTTTGGGTTGGCGAGCATTGACTTTGGCGTCTGGGCAAATAAGGAGGAATTTTCATACATGTGGCTGACATTTGACTCATCCTTGGGTGATTTACACGACGGTAAGGTCTGCCATCTGCCTGGAGGCAACTGTATGAGCTCTAGCTTTGACGCTTGGGCAGTCAAGAAGGATTTTCATGCATGTAGCTGGCACTTTACTCATCCTGGGGCGGAATCTTGTTTCCTGTGGCTTTGGAAAATACCCATCAGAGATTTTCTTCGCATTTCGAAAAGGTTTGGAGTGAATTTGACAGCCGTCGAATATCTATAAAGCTGTGGCATTTTTCCTTCAATCCTTCTCAGATCTTCACCTTAGCACACCAGTCAGCTCACAGCTTTCTAACAACTCTATTGAACTCACTACTCAACTACTCTATCATACCAAGACACAATCTTGGCCTTAGCCCATTCACCTCAAGACACAGTCTTATCTTATACCCATTCACATATCCTTGGTCACATCAGGCCTACATCTCTAAGCCAAGCCTCACACATCACTGTCATCCTCTTGAGAGACTTCACTCAGTCTCTCACTACATACAAACACACACTCACACATTCCAGGAGAAACAAAGTTTCCTCCAAACTTCCAAAATGGGTTGCGGTCATTCCAAGCCCAAGGTCATCGAGACCCCCTTCCGCCCCCCTGCCCCTCACTTCGGGGAGGTAGAGGAGCCCAAGATCTGCCAGACACGGTACTACAACCCGGTCGTCCCCGACCCATTGGCGAAGATGTCTACTCGCCCTATGCGGGACCACCGCCCGGAATCGGCAGAACTGCCAAGGTGCAAACCAGTCAGGGGGCCCATCCCGCACCAATGGCGCCCAGTGCGCTCACGGTACTATGGGCTGGGCCCGTCAAACGAGCCTACCAGGTACTACCTGCCCCTGGACAAATAGGGGAAGGCCAGATGGGGAGAGGGGGAGAGGGGGGGAGAGGGGGGAAGGTTCAGCCAGGACTTTCTAAGGTTTTTGAAGGAGGAGTAAACGCCTGCGGGTGAAGGAATGAAAGTGGGGAATAGAAACAGAGAGGGCCAGTACTATAGTATCATTAACATCATTCTCCTTTGAGATGAATATTCGTTAGTCGTTTGAATTTATCTTTCACTGTTGAGTTCACTTTCTTGTGTGTTGACCATGTAATTCTGGGTTATCTCCCATGTCCGACTGAGTCTATCTCGCATATCAAACCCCCCTCATCTTCCCCTCACCCACACACCCAGCCAACTCTGTTTCAACATTCAGCCGACCCTGTGTCGCACCCAACAAATTCTGAACTTCCAAAAAAACCTCACAACTAGAAACATCTCCTACTATGAGCAAGGGCCTACGAGGTGCCATTGAGGAATTTGGAAGTGCCCCTTGTCAGGGATGGCATCCTGACCATCAAAATCTCACGGCTGCCAAAGTTGAGCACTCAAAATATACGGCTTGGAAAACAAATCCCATTTGTTGACTTTGGTAATGGTACTGGGTGAATATTCCGGTGCCATGAGACTAAATAGCAGCTGGTTGAAGGGTGGCTGGTTACAAGCTTTTCTTCAGAGCTTACTGGAGTAATCCCCCATAATCAAAAGAGGCGACTATGATAACGATCGATCCAACATCCTGCTACCGGTAATAAGTGAGAGAGTGAGAGCTATACAGATTATGCAGCAGCTACTGAAAACAAAAAAGGGCGGAAGAATTACCTGCACACTAAAAAAAAAACGACAAACTAATGCTCTACTCAGCATCACAACACGGTCAAGACCTCAAATTGAAGTTTGGCCTTTTTGCCCAGGCACACCGCTTATTGCCTATCAACAATAAGGATCTAGCGCTCAACTCCAACTTTGACATGACTCCCTTCTTGAACCTTCCATCCTGCTTTCCTCCTATTTGAAGACCTCTATCCTCAGCCGCCGCGAGCATACCTGATTCAACTGCACCGATCAAAACCACTCTTATCCAAACTCCGATCCATCTTGCACATCGCTGTCCTCGTTACTCCATCACACATAAGCCCAGCCTCAAACATCTGACCGAGATCTTGCCCGATCGACCTGATCGACAACACAACACATCGACACCTCGTCCAAAGAGCAAGAACAAGAGACCTAGACCTAGACCATGAGGGATGTCCCCGTTCTCGGGAATGGCGAGCTGACTAGCTTTCCAATCCCACAGCTACCCAAGATGACTGAGGCACTGGGATCAATCGAGGCACTCGAGCCTTCGGAGCTGGATATATCATAGCGCCACCCTACTTCAGCAGCTGCGCTCTCGACATCCACGATTTGCTTGAAGAGGAGGACTTGGATGACGACGCAGCAAGGAGGCTACCCGACAGCAACAAGGTTGAGAGCAACAATAGTCATACAGAAGTAACACTCTAGAACCCTTATACCGATAACTCGCTTGCCGTTATGACGAGCAACTCATCAGCACTTTGGCCAGAGCACTTGCGCTGACATGTGCGCGCTTTCGTTATTTGGCACGCCATGCTAGGCCAGATCTCAGCGACTCCTCTCGACCATAAGATTACGATAAGCACAAGTTATTTGAACCCTGTTGTTTGCGCTACGGTAGCCCTAGTTAGGAGCTTGACATGGAAGATTTTGAACACCTTGAACAGAACCAGCAGCTTTGAGAGCCTAAGGATCTATCCACAAGCAGATTTTAACGAGGATATTCTCAGGCGTGTGTCCAAGGGCGAGATTGACGCCAATGCCGCCTCAGGATCAAAATCGGTGAATGAGAGGATTGGTGTTTTTCGTGCCCAAGGCTAGGTCACTACGGAAGTATGCCCTCAACAAGAACAAAGACCTACCCTTGTTCCTACCTAGAGGTCGGCATCCCTGGACTATAAACCGCACTGCTTGAGTCTACACCCTGCATCCAGCAGTTCTCACACATCGCCGCTTTCATCATTCCAATACAAGCACATATGATCCTATTTTAGATAATCTCCTATGTCACACACGATCGGCCATGGACAATCAAAAAGCAACATACACCAACTTCTTGTCGTGGGAACAGGAACCTACAAAATGCCAGCAAACACACCGAAAGTGACTCAGACGACAAAACCCGCCATTTTGCTGAGAAAAGATTCTATCGGCTGACGAAGCGAAATGAGGAATCATGGACCGTGGGTTGAAGGAAGGCGGGTCAAGAGGAACTACAGCTGCTCGCATACTTGTGAAAGAATTCACATTGCGCTAACCTTTGCAATAGCACATCGCTGTGTTTGTCTCAGTACAGACCAAAGTTCATGTCAAAATCGTACATTTGACTGAGCTTACGCCTCGCCTGATCGAATCCATCAAAACACAACATAGCAACATCTCATTCAAAGAGCAAGAAGAGCCTACAAGATGACCAACAGCACACCGGCCGTAACAGTTATTAGGGATGGTGAGCTGATAGCTTTTTATTCTCGCGACTTCCTTAGATGAGCAATAGTAATAGAGAGCTAGTAGGCCCTGCTAAAGTAGGGCCTAAACAACAAGCAAGAGTAAGGTGAAAGAAAGCTTCTAGACCTTAATTACGCACAACTAACTGTATTACTCAACTTAGCAGCTACAACTATACCTTCGTTGAAGAGGAGAAAGCAAATGATAATACAGCAGTAGTGTTCAAGAGGTATTCTATCGAATGGCTCATGTTCTTGATCACTGGCAATAACACCGCTTTACTAGCTTGTTCTATCAAAAACACATCTTTCCGTACAACGGGGAAGGACCCCTTCGTGGCAACGAAATCGCTCACAACAAGGCAGATCTGAATTGCCTGCTAAAAACCGAAGATGATCCTATGTCGGTGTACTGTCCAAACGTCGCATGCAGTAGCCCACTGATGGTCTCATATAACCCAACATAAAACCCCTAGTTTCAGTATACGTGTAGAGTTGAGCCTCTACCATGTTTTCTCCTCGATTATTTCACGCCCTTTTCCCTTAAAATTAGTAGTCGAAGCTACGGAATAGCTGTTGAAAAGCAATAGATTATCCGAACATGAAAGAATTGACAGTCTAAATCACACACTTTTTGCGGGATGAGAAGAGGGAAAATAGCTGGAAAGCTCAACACTCCGTCTGATTACAACACCACTCTTTCCACCAAGCATGTATTAAAAGTCCCACCGAGCTCATACATCCAACTGAGTTCATATTCGATCGATCTGTTCAAATCTGCGCTTAATCGACTTCGTTATCTTAGGACTAACGACCTGCAAGAACCCCTCATTAACTTTAAGCGCACGAGTTATTAGGCAGGGACAGCATGACAGGACAGTATATCATTAATGACCTATGGGTATATTGAGTCTGGCTTAACTTAATCGCGAAAGCTATGGGTCTCTCTTCCCCGTGTAGATTTCGCCTCCATTGCAGCTCTGATAACCTCTGCGATCTCATTGTGGCCATACGCATACGCGGCCTCCATTGCTGTCTCGCCCAGTACATTGACCGAATCTAAGTCAATCCCTTCTACATCCACGAGCATTCTCACTATATTTATGTGACCCTGCATAGCAGCAACGATTAACACTGTTGGCTCGCTCACTTCGGGATATTCGAGCAACTGGTCCCTTCTCAGCCGTCTGATCGTCTCTACCGGAATTCCTATCGCATAATCACCGTTCACTTCGATTCCATCGTGGGATAAAAGGAGAGAAACCATTTCCTCTTGGCCGTACCTCGCTGCATACCACAAGGCAGTCTGTCTAGAGCTATTTTTGAAGTTGACGTCGATTTCCGGGAACCGTTCAAGGATGATTTTGAAGACACCGAGATGATTACCCCTGGCGGCATCGTGCAAGAGACCGGCCGGCGAAGCGGACTCCGGGACTGCCCCTGCGTCGAGGAGGTGACGTACGACATCAGTGTAGCCTCTGTTTACCGCCATCTCCAGGGGGAACACATCGAAATACCTGTCTGGGCTTGCTCCTGCGTCCAGAAGCAGTTTGGCGATTTCACCATATCCGTGCCAAGCAACCAGGAACATAGAATTCTTGGTGTACCCATTCCCCTTGGAAGGATCTACATCAGGGCGGTCAAGTAAAAGCTTAACCACATCCACATGTCCTTTGTTTGCTGCTGTCATGAGAGGCGTCATCAATTCCCATCCGGGAAGCTCTGGATTCACATCCTCCAGTTGAAGTAACAGCTCAACCATTGCTATGTCCCCAAGGAATACAGCTGCTTGCAGAGGATGGAAGCCGCATGAATTCTTGGATGTTATATCCCTGCCCTCGACGGCCAGAAGATACTTGACCATTTCGTAATGGCCAGCGTCCATCGCGAGCATCAGTGGCGTGTTGCCGCCATGATTGCATCGATCGGTCTTGTATTTATCCCTGTGGCATCTGAGGCGCCTGGGTATGATGCTCTTGCGATGAAGCGCCTCCTTAGCATTTATGTCCCCTCCAGCGCTTAGGGCTTTGTCGGCTATGGTAGTTATCCCCAGTTCCGCGGCCCAAAGTAGTGCCAGGTTGCCCCATCGCAGCGCACTCTGGAGGTATAGAAAGTCATCAAGAGTGTGGTGGAAGCGGCGATTCACCCTTGATAAAGCACTCAAATCGCGTGGCGAGTCTACTGAGGCTGCGATGTGAAGAATCACCTCGTTGGGGAGCAGTTGGATCATGATGGGAGGCATTTTATTCCGTCAAAGATAGATTACTCTTTGCTGGCATAAGAAGAAAGAATCATTTGAAACCTCGGCTGCCAGTTGAAGAAGTCGGGAGCTTCGGAACCAGTAATGTTGCTGCCTGCGTATAGCCAACCAGATGGACAGGGGTGAGGCGGGTAACTCAACCGCTGTCACTTTAGGGGTAGTAAATTACTATATCGTGCTACAATGACTGGCATTTCTCCCAAATAGAGTGTTCTTACTTATGTTGCGTTCTTTAAGGCGCAATGTACAGTGTTCTTCAACACCAAATTGCGACATACCGGAATCTACCTATTGACTGGGAGGGTCAAGACTCTAAACCGTGTAATCTTATACTAGGTACCTTCTATTAAGTTTGACTGGATGCCTACACAATTTTGAATCACACGCAGCTCTTCTGGCGAAAGCGGCTCTATTGCTCCTTTGATTGGCAGTCACTGACCCCGAAGATGCCTGTCAAGCGACTGACATTACTCATGGCACACCCAGGCCCTCCAACGTTGAATTTCATCACAATATCAAAACAATAAATCAATATTAATATGATAATAAGCTAATTACTGTAGAACAATAATTATGAATTTTCTTATTATCACGTTTAGTATTATCAATAAGAAAATAAGGTCCCTGGCTTGCGTGAATAGAGCTTTGGTGTGCAATGTTTTGTGTCACTCGCTTGCCTGCCTAGATCGACGGAACCCCCCACGTAAGATGACAGAGCTGACACCCTTTGAAGAAGCTACACAGAGTTTATCATGGCTCAAACGTGAATTCTCGTTATTGGTGGCTGTGCCATACGAAACGTTCATTGAAAGTAAAGTTAGAAATCAAGATTTGTCTTCGGGCCTACCCATTAAGCTTCGCACGTAGTGCCGTACGCATGTTTAAAATGGTGAGCTCTATGTATATCTAACTTCAGATACATTATCGCCCGGCTCGTCGCTTGAGAGAACGGGCCTCCCATTCAATACTCTATTCCTTCTAATATAAAAGCCATGTTTATCTCTTTTCCATACGGCAGAAGCTGCGCCCTTTGCCTTCGGGATCTACCAGCGTTAAACAATAACAACAACAACAATAATATTGCAGAAACTGTGCCCTTTGCCTTCAGTATCTGCCGGTGTTAAACAATAACGGCAACAATTATACTGCAGAACACTGCAGAAGCACTTATTGTGTACCGCACCTCTCCCAACGAACATGGAACCGTCATCAACAACGCCGAGCTCGTGGGCATCGCTGCCAACTGAAATACGACAGCAGATACTGAGCCATATAGGTTTACCTATCCTTTGGGAGCGAAATAGCAACCAGCGCCCTCCAAGGGTAGCCCGTTTTGCTACTATTTGCCGGGAATGGCAAGTGTTCTTCGAGACTTGCACGTTTCGTCGGCTTGTTCTTGACACGCACGCTCTCAAACTTTTTGATCTGATCATCAGACGGGATTCTACTCGTTTAAGATACATGAGGAATATTTGGCTGCGCATTCAGCTCCCGCATTATTCGTGTTCCAGGTGTGAGGTACCAGAGGACGAGTTTGAGAAGCAGATGTACGTTGGGCACATATTCATGCCAAAGTCCCGGCTAAACCTTCGTCCCTCCCCTCATCCCCTTCCTTACCGTTATCCCCTTCCTTCCCCTCATCCCCTTCCTTCCCATCATCCCCTTCCTTCCCCTCCTCCCTTTCCCTCCCCTGTTAACCATCTATGTCTGTGCTAATCTGCCGCCCAGTAACAATATCATCTTCACAAATAGCATACGGTTCCTCCTGGAAACTCTCAAGCTCTGGGATCCCGCGAAGCATGGCGCGAAGGGGCTGGAACTGATGGTGTCCGCGATGTCAACCGGCGATACCTCGCATCGATATATCATTGGGGACATGCAAGACGACTATCCATTCCATCCCGCTGAAGATGCAGATGTTCCGCCTGGTATCGCTGGTGTCCACAGCTCTTACCATAGGCGTACACACACCTTTCTAACCCATAATGGTCACCTCGCCTCACGGCAGGGAGGGCATATCAAAAGGATCCAGGGGACTCCGCTTCGGCTTGAGCCCACCAGAAATAACACCGGCGGCTTCAACGACGAATATATTCTCCCTGCTGTGCCTATGATCAAGGGGCTGGTTATGCGCAAGCAGAATCGGAGGGAAATTGACATGAGGGCGCTGGCTTGTCTGCTTAGCCGAAGTCTTGTATCGTTGGAGTGGTTCCGCCTCGAAAGAACTATCCATGCTAGCGTTCTTGAGCAAGTGTCTTTTGAACTAGGTATGCAACATCAGTCAGCTCCCGTGACGATCGGTATCTTGTGAAACTAATCCCCCTTTTGTAGCCTTTCAAACACACTTACTACCTTCTCTACCAAAAACACTGCGCCAATTCTCCTTTGTTCAATGGAAGATCCCATCAGGCGAGCGTGGGGACGTTCGGAGCGGATTAGGGACAATAGTAACTCCTTATTCTCTCGCCTACCTGCCTCGGGAGATGGCAAAGTTATCTCAAAGGCTAGAACGGTTCTGCCCGCCATGGCAAACAGATACAGCTGCCTTTATACAGTCTGTGATTAAACTAGAAAAGTCACCTGCGACAGCTAGAAGCTCCCTAAAGCGCATTATCCTGCGTTTTGTACCCACAAGCCCAGAAGCAAGCAGGCGGGAGTTCGAGTCGGTGGTGATCCTCGCAGCTAAAGCGGCTCTGTTGCTGCCTCAACTGGAAATCTTTGAGCTTTGGGCTACCTGCCTTGAAAAAGGAGGCTGCGATGCATACATCTTCCAATATATCCATAGCCCCGGTCGAGTCAGTATCGTGTGGAGGAGCCTCGAACCGGCCACGATCTGGCCGGGGATCATCACCAAGTGGAACGAGGTGGCCGTGAAGCACACAGACTCAGCGCTCGAGCACAGCGTAGTCCCCTTTTCGGAGACGAGGAGACAAATGTACGACTCTGGTGGGACCTTCATTTATAAGCATCTTCTGCTCAAAGGGTTGGCGTTTGATCGAATTACGCAGATAATTCTCGAGAGCCAAGTTTTTTACAGGTACTTGGGTGATCCAAATGATGCATCCATAGAACATCATCCGGATCTCGACGTGCTCGCAACTTTTACGGCTGAACGACTCGCCGCATGTATTGAGGCGCGTCTGAAGTGACCTGGCTAGTGTGTGAAATAAAACATGGCATATCGAGACAGTTCAGCACTGAAATTCAATACAAATCACAATGAATGACCTAATACAAATCACAATAAATAACCTAATACAAATCACAATAAATAACCTAATACAAATCACAATAAATAACCTAATATTGAATACAATATCAAGCTAAGTATTATAGAATAGTTTATTACTCTCTCATTACACTCTCCCTATTGTGTATAGTTAAAGAACGAGGTCCCTGTCTCACACGGAAATAGCCTTGGTGTGCTACGTTCTATTTTACCGACTTGCCTGGTGAGCTGGAAAGAGGGATTCTTCATTGTGTAGGTGGTCAGTTACCTGGGGCGAGCCCCATGCATCAAAATTTCGCATTCAACCCAATGTTTACCTTGCAAAATAAGGCATATCGTGGGATCCTATCATTAAGGAGGGAGAAGACTGGAATTGACTTATTGTTCTTGTGGCATATCCTCATGATGATGCATACACGTTGCACAATTACAGATTATTGATAACCAATACAACTCAATTTACCTTGACCTAACTAGATAACATACGGTAGGTGCAAGCCAATAAAGACGACCTGCAAGAGCAAAACAGGAGAAAATATATCCATCAAAGACAGTCGTGCCAATAAGCTTCCTACATCTGCCTACCATGAGGTTACCAACTCGCAACTATCTTTTCATGACTGGTAGCATCTTCAGCGTGAAAAGAAAGTCTAGCGGGAACTATTGGCCGTGCCTTTTGCTTCCCTCTTCATGTGGTGTGTCAGAATTCCATCGGCGAACCAGCTCGTCTCGGCTGTTCGGAATCCATGTTTCTCGTAGAGACCTTTCCCACCCTCGGTTCCATTGACATAGCAAATCCATCCCTCCTCGTCTGCTGCCTGAATGCCGGGCTTTATCAACGCACTGCCCACTCCTTTCCGCTGCGACTCCTGCCGGACAACCAACATGCTCAGGAACATGACGTTTTCGGAGCCCACAATGTCTTCCATCCTCTCGACATTTGTCTGAAAGAATCGCACCGCAAGCTCGGGATCTCCTGTCTGCGGATACATGTCTGGCGTGAAGATGGGTTTCGGCGGCTTGGGATCTTGGATTGGCCGACGCACCCATCGCGACCAACCAAGTATTTGACCCTCCTCGTCGCATGCAAGGGTTAGCTCTTGTAGCTTAATTTTCTCTTTAATCCATTCGATCTGGCTGGGTTCCGTCTTCGGATCGGAAGCTGGAAAGCAACGAATGTTGAAGGCAGAATCTTTGAATGCTGAGTTTTGGACTGCCAGCATCTGGGTTGCATCGTCAAGGGTGGGTTTTCGCAATATCAACGCCATTTTCTCTGGTTTGGATTGCTTGTTTTGATAAATTTCTTTGGATGAATTAGTAGACCAGCATTGAGTTGCGGATGAAGCAAGGTAGAGGTTTCCATATCGCCCTGTCGCCGCTAAACCGCGTCATCTCTTCTCAGCTTAATATGACTCATCGCCGATGATACGATTAACACGATGGAACCGTCTTCACAGAGAAGTTGGGGCACGACAATCATTTGTCTCGTCAAGTAAATATCTTGCTCCTCTGCACTGGACAGATCACTACTATTGCAAGCCGGTTTCTTAATTTGTTATTATAATTGGAGGTGGTTTGGTCTGTGATTGTGGCTGTGCTCTGGAGCCCCTGCAGGCAAATGGGTGACAAAAGAACCGAGACACCAGCGTGAATAATCGGCTTGAGCAGAGCACTTTTTACAATAAGTAGGACAGCAAAATGACGATTTCGATATAAATTGACATACGAAAGTACACTATTTTTGCATAAGCCATCATAGACTCTCAATAAATTCAAATATCAGTGAAAGACTTGAGAGTACCGCATCATTAATTTTTGGATTCACAACCTCAAAGTCGCCCAACCCTGGCAAACACCAAGCCACCAACAACTTCTCTGTGGCTGCACTTCAACTTCTACCTGTTGGTCGTTGATGCCTGGAAGCACATAAAAATTCTTTTTCAAATCTCCACCTGCCCAACGATTTCACCCAACCCTCCATGGCAATATCAAGCTTCGGGAAATAAACAGATATGAACCATAGCAGTATGTCGGCATTCGGAACTCTCCCACACGAGATCGCCATCGCCATAGGCGAGATGTGTACCTGGCCAACCTCATCTGAGGAACCGTTCCTTCTAAAGCATCTGGCTGCGCTCACCCGTACAAGCCGGTGGTTGTACAATTTTTTCAACGCGACTCTATACCACAAGAATCTCAGACAAGGCGAACCACTCGACTCGTGCGTCCTCTGGGCTGCTGAGAACGGCTGTCTAGGCACCATCAAAATAGCGGTCAGTTTGGGTGCGGATCTCAATGCAGATGGCACCAAGGAGGAGAGTGACTATTACAAACGGGATGAGAGAACAGGGGAAAGGAAGTCCTTTTCAACCCCCCTGAAGCGTGCCATACGCAATCAGCATGATGATATTGTGTATTGCCTTTTGGACATGGGCGTGAAAATCGATCGAGGCCCAGTTGCATGGACTGGCACGTGTGCGCTCGACATTGCTTCGCACTACCACACTTCCGACAAGGTTGCCCTCGCTCTCGTCCGCAAGGGCGCTCTCCAGCTCACACCCGATTGGTATAATGGTTTACGGAAATTAGCCGATGGCAAAGTCAAGGTCGTCCAGGCGCTGTTGGACGTTTGTAGAAATACATGCGACTTGGCTGACGGTCTACGATGCGGAATGGATTTAGACAACTACGACATTGTCAATTGGGGACTCCAAAACCCTCTAGCAGATGTTTCCGCGAGCACCTATGGCCCTTCAACTGTGCTTCATTATGCCATGAGGCAACCAATTCGAGAGAATAGCCTTCGCATCTTTGAACTTCTTTTGGCAAGGCCGGAATCCAGTGTTAACCTTGTCGACGACGACGGTTGCACTCTACTGCACGAAGCGACATCTACAGGCAACTCTGATGCTGTAAGGTTTCTCTTAGCAAAGCCTGGGATTAATCTCAGAGCCAGGTCGGACCGAGGCCACACGCCACTGTCCCTCGCCATAGCTAAACGTCGGACTCGCTGCGCGAGGCTCTTGCTGGAATGCCCCGAGCACAAGTTGAAAGACTTCCGTGTAACAAAGGGGCGCACATTGCTTCATATTTTGTGTGCAAACACGAAATATGAGAGTGGCAATACGTTAGACTTGGCTTGTTCTCTCATTGATCGTGGTTGTCCGCTGGATACCCAACTTGACGACGGGCGCACCGCTTTAGATATTGCTATTGGAAGGCAGAAAACGAAGATGGCCAGGCTCCTCCGCAGTTACAAAATAATCTCGGGCTTCGGACATGGGCCGTCGCAAACATGTCGTATCTGCCGTCCAATTACTCAGCTACGTTCGGATCGAATTCTTGGTTCAGTTTATAAAAAGAGGGATTGCAAAGACATCTCGGCAGAATTATTGCAGTCAGTCATAGTATAATGCTTCTTGTTAGATAGGAATAGGTAGATTATGTTGTCTAGTAGGTGCTCAATAATTTATTATGCTTTTAACTTTATCTTCAATATTGTGGCCTGCATTGGAAAGTTGGGATAAAAAGAGCTTCGTACTTTCTACTGCTGAGTCCTCTTTCAGTTAGGAATTAGAATCTCATCTCTAATCAAATATAAGAGAATTAACTCATTGCCAATTCTTCACGGTTTAGGGACTTCTGAGCCGCTAATTGGAAGACCACAAGTGTATGAGCCCTGATGTGGTGTTTTAGCAGAACGATCTACTTGAAATCCCAGATATTCTCGTTACGTCGTGCTTCGTCAACTGTAAGTCCAAGGCGCCCTTGAAAGAAAATCCCAACAGCATCAGATTAAGCATATCTATACCAACCACTATGCGATATTCCTGTCCTTTGTTGAAGTCTGCAGAATTCCCAATACTTTCCATTATAATCTCATCCCCATTTGATGCCATGAGGACCCTTCCAAGGGAAAGATAGCCCATTATGCGAAGCGCAGCCCACAACTTCCTGTAAAAATTACATTTTGAAACAGTCGGACATATTTCTACCCCTTAGTTCAGATCCTGCCATTGGTGCAATTTCCTCTTTCCTCGCTGGACATCTTCACGGACAATTCTTTTCAACTGCAACCGGAGGCAGACCTCGGAAAAGTTGTTGGCTTGGCGCTTAGTGAGTTGGAAGCAACCCAAACAAAGAGATATAATTCCAAAATAGAATTTCCCACCGTACCATTACACTCATAATCATTTAATGGCCTCCATTTGTCTTGCGACTGGGTATCAAGCCTCCGAACACGGCACGGAGAGAAATGCTGTTGATCTTTGTGGAATGAAGCCGCTCGGCACCTCTGATCCGTATTTCTCGAACAAGACCGCCATGCACTTGTAGATTCAATTGTTTCACTTCACATATGTTACAACCCCGTGCTACCTGCCCAACAAGGGTGCCAAGACTCATCTCCGTAGGTGAATTTGGCCTAACAGAAAACCAAGATGGGACGCGGCCCGAAAATCGCGGCATGGAAACAACTCAGTGTTTCAAGAGCCTGAGGTGCGGCACTGACCACTAAGAAGTCTCTTATTCACTTGGTAGAGATTCAGCATAAGCATATGGTCAGTACGGAGATCCAAGCCCCGAATGTTACCTCAAGTCACCTCCGGGGAATTTTCAAACGAGGATATAACAGACTATTGAGCTGATCATTACCATTTACGATGTTAAACATTTCAAATACAACCAGTGGTTACCGCATTGGTATCAAATAATGCCAGGGTGTATTCTAACCCAAGCATGGCCTCCTCGAGTTTCAACTTATACTACCTGCGACAGATCCCCGCACATGGCTAGGTTAAGTAGAGATTTTCAGTATATAAGTCTGGCTTTCTGGAGTATTCTGAAGGTCCACTCTCATCTATATCTCTTTCAATAAGACAAAACCGACTTCCAATATCCAAATCACCCTCAATATCAACTCTAAGACGCTTGTTTGCAACACAAGTAAGCATTTAGCTGAAAATGAAGGCCATCGGGCTTTTTCTCGGCGCCTTCGTCGGGACGACAGTCGCCCATGGCACTGTCCAGAGCTTCAAGACAGACGGCGTCAGCAACGGCGGATGGCTTCTCGATTATTACTACATGATCAAGAACGGCCAGACCCCGCCCAAGGTTGCTGGCTGGTATGCCGAGAATCTCGACAACGGCTTCGTCGCTCCTGATGCTTACCAGAGCCCCGATATCATTTGCCACAAGGCAGCCAAGCCTGGAGAGACTTCTGCAAAGGTGGCGGCTGGTGGCACCGTTGAGTTCCAGTGGACTGACTGGCCGCACCCTGGACCCATGTTCACCTACGTGGCCAAGTGCTCCAACAATGACTGCACCACAGTTGACAAGACGAGTCTGAAGTGGGTGAAGATCGATGAGGCCGGAATTGACTACGCCACTCAGGAGTGGGCGGCCACCAAGATGCAGAAGAATGGCAACAAGTGGACAACGAAGGTGCCCGCATCCCTTGCCCCTGGCAAATATGTTTTCCGTCATGAGACTATCGGCGTCCATGGCTCCGGGTCGGCAAATGGCGCTCAGAACTACCCGCAGTGCCTGAATATCGAGGTGACTGGCTCTGGAACCGCCAACCCCTCAGGTGTTGCTTACAACCAGCTTTACACTGCTGACCACCCTGGAATTCTCTTCAACCCATACACTACAATCACTAACTATGTGATGCCTGGGCCAACTCTCTGGAAGGGTTAACTTGGGGTGAACATCCAAGCTAGTGGCAAATCTAGTTCCTAGCAGGCTTAGAACTGTTAAGATAGGAAATGAATGCATATCAGCCATTTCACGACGAGTCTCATGTCAACTTGTGCATGCTTATTTTGAAGAATAGTCCACGTAGTTCTTAGAAATGGAACATATCCGAAATGAACATATGCGGTTTAGAAAATGATTCGGCTCAAGTACTCCAAACTCCTCCAACTCTCTAATAATGGTTATTGTTCCAGCTATTGATGACAACAAAGATGGATTCGTTTTACGCCGGCGTGTCTCTTGCAACACAAAGGGCGTCTAACGACAAAAGAGCCAAGGTAAGAAAATAACTTATTGGATTTAGACTGTGATGACAGTTACTTGGTCTCGCATGGAACATATTCCCCGTTATAGAAGGCTTTCCAGGTGACGCCGCAGGCTGCGAGAATTTAGACCGGTTGCCGTACGCCCAGGGAAAGCTTTCATATAGGTGGTGAATACTTATCCTCTGCTATTGGTAACATTTATTTTCCTCCTCCCATTAAAGGATAGGCTCTGAGCATCACTCGGCACTGGGGTTCATCAATGCCACCCAGCAACTTGACAAGTTGTTCAAGTCTAATTTGTCCCTTCGGCCAATGCATTTGCATAGAGGCAGGGCGGCAGCGACAAATCCACGCTCGAAGTAACCATCTGCTAAGCCCGGAGTCAGATGATAACAAGATGGGGAATTATGCAGAGATATAGGTCAAGCCAGAGTAAGAACCAGATCAGGCATGACACCTAAATATTTTCGTATTACGTAGCTAAATTCAATTGAGGCGTTTCTCCAACGTAAAAACAAGGTATCTCGTTCTTAGATTGTTCTAAACCAAGTTCGGAGGTGTTCATGCATATCTACCGGAGGAAAAGGCCATTTGTGGTATGGTTTGGGGGCATGAGGCGTTAAAGGGGTAGAAGAGGACGTAACCTATATGGGGCTTCGTCCACGTAATAGCACAAGTGAACAATGTCAAGGCATGTGTTCTTCAGGATCTGATAAGGATCTGCAGAGGCTCGGCGGTGTCAGGTACCCTTGTTTTTCTCCATTCGCTTAATTATCTTGATCCTGACAAGTGACCGAAATAAAGCATGCGGTCTCAACCTGTCACGAGGAGTGGCTCACCCAGTTAACATGCCTCGATGATAGGTTGCAGCCACAATCAATGGAGAAGTAATGCATTGTGGAATTATTTTTTCAATGGCAGTTTATCTATTTTTAGTTAAAACTTAATTGTACTATGTAAGAACAGAGCACCTAGATCTGGTGAGCTCCCCTCTCCACTCCGTAGCGATCATAACCATTAGTTGCTATGGTGGCTTAACAAGTGCCGGGCCCCTTGATGCCAACGAGGCTTTCTATTCGTATGTGAAAGCCTAACTAAACAAATTGAGTGAGGGGACGCGTTAGACCACGCGGCCTTCGAAGTGCCGGGCCCCAGTAGAGATTGCGTACGCGAGATGTTGTGGGGTTGACCGCCGATCCAATACGACCGTCTATCCCCTGTTTGACAGGGCAACAACTTCTCTCAACAATATCACGCCTCAATTATCATGGTGAAGAGCTATGGACACCACTCAGCCACCATGAGGCGTCCATGGAAATGTTTGTTTCTATGTAGTAAAGCAATTTGGACGGCAGAGGCCATCGTCTCATAAGGTGTTACCCCTGGAACGAACGCGCGTCGATGGCACTGGGAAAGAATCCATCTAGAACATCCAGGAGAGCCATTGTACGAAATAAGATGTCAATAGAATATATATGATTAGTCTTGTCTTGGCTTTTGGTCACTTTTCTTATCTGCAGAGCTCCTCGAACTACGCAACTGACCCTCTACTCATACTCTCAAACGTATCTGAACACTGGCATCCAGCGAAAATGATTTCCTCTATTTTAGGACTCCTCCTCTTGACTGCCTCTGGCGTTTCCTCTGCATCTTGGAACACTACTTGCAGCACCCCAACGGAACGAAAGGCATGGTAAGAACCTAGATCACAAGTCCGATAGCGTAAATCTTCAACAGGACCCTCACACCGTTACAGGAATGCCATGACAGATACGGAAAAGTCAGCTTACATCGAAGCTGAGCTTTGTCTGATGAATAGCACGGCCAAAGCTGGCATTGACGGCGCCTTGAACCGCTGGGATGAGCTTGATTGGGCCCATATCACCCAGTCCAATGTCATCCACAATGTCGTAAGTATACAGCCCTAGTAGGCAGGCTTTCTGAAATAGCTGACAAGTGTCTCAGGGGGCCTTTCTACCCTGGCACAGGTACTTTGTCCGCGTTCACGAGTATCTCTTGCAGTCTGAATGCGGTTACGAGGGCGGCCAACCCTACTGGAACGAAACGATCGACATGGATGACCTTGCAGGCTCTGAAATCTTCGACCCCGATACTGGATTCGGCGGCGAAGGCGGAGACTGTGTGACGGATGGCCCGTTCGTCAACTTGACCTTGCACATGAGCTCAAACTCAACGTCGGACAGCTACTGTCTGTCGCGATCACTCAACTCGAATGGCTTCCAGACTGGCGCACAGGAATACATCGACGAATGCTACAACACGGATACGTACGAGGAAGCGTTTGAGTGTTACCAAGTGAACCCCCATACGGCAGGGCATTCCGCCGTCGGTGGAACGGTAAGTGATCCGTCGGTACCGATCCGAATAGTTTCAAGATAGATTCTAACCATCACTAGCTTCTTGACGTGGTCGGAAGTCCCGGTGAACCAATCTTTTACCTCCATCATGCCAACTTGGATCGCCTCTGGTGGGAGTGGCAGCAAGCCAACCTCACGTCCCGCTTGACCGATATGGGTGGGCGCAACGTTCCTCTGACCAGCTACCTTGAGCAAAACGGGATGGAAGAGCCGAGTGCTGCCTTCTTGGACTACGATGGTGATGATGGTAACGTGACCACGCTCAACCACAACCTTTGGATGGTTGGAATCGTTGCCAATGCGACAATCAGAGAGGTTATGAACTTGGGCGGCGATCTCATTTGTGCAGAGTACGTTTGAGCGTACGCCTGTCCAACGCCACTGCTTGTATGAGAAGCATATTCTATCTGATGATAGATCCACAGATTTTTCAAAGCTTGGTTTTCTATTACCTGTTTTCTTTTCCCATGTTTCATTCAGTTTAATACTTGTTTCTTTCTTTCTCCCCGTCTCACCAGTCCTAGAGATAAAATTAAATCATAGAGGTGATTAAATGGATTCTTTTATATACCAGCTGATATCTCTGAATCCTTTTCGATTGCAGTTAGAATTGGTAGCTCATCAGTGTCATAGAGTGCTTTCAAAGTTTGGAAATATCCAGGCATCAAACCCGCAAGACTCCACAAGGGCTTCCCAATCCTCCGTCGCCCACATGTTGTCCATCGACAACTCATCAAAGTTTGGTTCCACCTCTTGAGGCACTTGTTGGCTCTCATCCTCCCCGGGCGCTCGACTTTCCACGTTGATGCGGCCAAGAATACCACGAATCGTGTGTGCCTGATACCATTCTACACCCCACCGATTCAACTCCAGAAGTCTATCGGAAAAGCTCCTCGCCGACTCGGTGGCCTCGAGTAATCTCGAAACCAGCGGGCTGGGCTGGGCTGAGGTCGTGCCGAGGGTGTTAAGCTGACTCACGACTACGAGCAATGCCCTCGAGACGAAGTAGAGAATGAAACCCATCTCCGTGAACGGCGAGTGTGTCAATTCTCCGTCCAACCAGGATAGTGTCTGGATAGCTTCGTGAACTACAAGTTCGCGCTGCTGGTCCACAGTTTCCTTCAGCTCAGATACAGCCGGGCCTTCTCCAAGCTCAGGGAGCTTGACCCCGAGCACAATGAGCAGGCGGTTATTATGTACATACATTTGCAGCGCACGTGAAGTGTCATGGTCGTATAGGTGAAGATGTGAGCTGACTAGCTTCTGACAGCGATCGAGGAGATGGAAAACCGACGTAATCTGCCCCAGAAGCCTACTCGTTTCGGAGCGTTGTGTGATATACAAGCTTCTGATAATTCTTTCGAGATGGCATGCCAAGGCTACAAAGTCGTCGAATGCAATGTCAGAGGGAGATAAAGGTCCAGTCTCTCGTCTGCGGAGAAGAGAGCGGTCCAGGCCAATCCAGTAGTCTTGGTGCAGGTTGGGAGTGTGCCCATATGTCGCAGCCTTGAACACGTCCATAAACATACAGGATTTCCAGAGCTGTCGTCTAAATTTGGTATCATCTGTATCATCGTTGGCTCTGAGAGATTCATCCAGTTTAAGGTCTTGTGCCATTTTGCACATGAGTGCCATGGCGATAGCCACGTTGAGAAAGTCGGTGTAGTCTTTGTTTAAGATCTCAAATCTGGCACAAGCGATGACCAAAGCCTGTACAGTCTGGATCTCAGGCTTGTACTTGGCTCGTAAGCTGAAGATTTGGGCGAGCTGTTCCTGGATGAAACCTCTAGTGTATTCCAGGTCTCTCCATGACGCAATAGCCAGCCGATGTTTAGCTGCAACCGCGCATATCACAGCTTCCAGTAAGGGCGTAGGTGGATAGGCCTGGATGGAGTAGGAAGAAACAACGGGAAAAAAGGGCTGGATATGCTTTAGGTAGATGTCGAACAAGTGACTCTTGACGTTGTGATCGAGGTCCAGCGTGTTTTGGTCCAGCCCATTCCGACGTTGAATAGACGATTGATTCAACGACGTAGGTCTAGGCGCATTAGAGCCAGGCTCCTTCACTCCGCTGTAGAGATCGCTCGGATTACCGCCAAAATTAGATGTAAGCCCCCAAAAGGTCGATCTTGAGGATGCCTCCAACACTGTGGTCCTATACAGTTGTTGGGCATTGGCCGCCCAGGGCTGGTTGTCCATTGTACATTTTAGATCGTATTTCTCACAACGACTGCATTGAGGAGTGAATGATGTTGAGGACGACCAGTCGCAGCGAAGTTTTAACCTAGATTGTCAGCCGGGAGCTTCACTCAACCTCCCCACCAACGGAAAAGGATAGAGTTGAGGACGTACTTTTTGCAGGGATCGCACATCCAAGACTTCATGATTGATTCCACAGCTCAAGGGTCTTCAATGAGTTGATAGCGAGTTACAGAGGGGTGGATGCGTCCTCGGGCACGGTTTGGCAGCTCGAGCATCTTCTCATGTCTCGTCGATGATGGAGTGAGATGACAAGCCCGATGTGCCCTTGAGATAGAAGTAGAAAAGGCTAAGCAACTAGCGCTAATTATTAATACGCGCCCTACCAAATTCACCATTAGCTGGACTCTCCACAATTGCCAATTCTCCGCTCCCTCAATTCTTGACCCATTCAAAATGTCAACCTCTTACCAGTCGTTTCCCTGCAACTGCCTAATTTCTCGATAATAAGAAATCAATATATCGATGGTTTCAATCTGCAAATGGAGCCGCGAACAGCCAAACGGCTACGAGTGAACAAAGCCTGCCTTCCATGTCGGGCAGCCAAGCGAAGGTAGTGAAGAAAGAAGGATCCCCTCGCTTCCTTTCTCGTAGCTAATCTATCATACTGCTCAGATGCGAGGGCGAAGTCCCGTGCGCCCGCTGCGTGTCCAAGAACCTCTCTTGTGCTCTAGATGATGACGGATCCTCTTCTCAGCTCGAGCTACGATATTTGAATGAATCGGTCCAAAATGGCGAGCCTTTACCACTACGCCTCGATTTACCTCCGGGGGCAGTCTCATCCGCAACCTTTCTTATCAATAGGTAGGTGTATCCAGGATACCCGAATAAGGCACCAGAGGACAATACCTAACTCGATGGCTTTAGATATTTCGATGAGATTTCTCCTTTCTGGCCGCTTGTTGACCGTTCCGACCTGGCCGTAGAGCCTTTCGCACCGCCTCTCTTGACCCGATCGATCTGTCTGGTCGCCGCAACATACTTGAGCAAAGATCCTTTCCACGATCAAGTTGTCGATGACATTCTCGCCTCTGTCCAGCAATGCTTCGATTCATTCGAGGTCGCCACCATGCCTTCTCTTTGGAGTCTGCAGTCCTTCCTGCTACTGATAACCTGCCCAAGAATGGAACAGACCTCGATGCTGATCAGCGCCGCCGGCCGCATGGCTCTACTCCTAGGGCTTCACAAACCGCAGAACCCAAAGCTCTTCCTCTTTTGGTCCTGTGTGCTGGCTAGTCGGTGGGATTCGCTCAGACATGCGCAGAGTCGGGTTACTAGCAGACCGTGCCCTGACCTCATGACATTTGCCCCCAGTTCTGGGCCAGAGGAATCCACCATCTTTACATGGTTCTTCGACATGGTTGCCGATGCAGATGGAGAAAGGTGCGGTGGTAATGCCGGGGCTCAATTCCATGGAAATGACTGGGAAGCACATCTGCATCAGATGGGAGCTGGCATCCTCACTCAGAGTCCAGGACTGAAGGAGATGATGATATTGACAAGAATGTACTTGAGGGGAGAGGTTGATGAGCACGCCGTGCAAAACATTGGAGGGCTGGCCAAGCAGTGCCGCGCTTCAAATCTCAACCCTTTTTCTTCCGTGCTTCAAGGGCTGGGGGTTGATAAATAAGGATACATTTGGACAGAGTATCCAGAGGAGCTGAGCGTCAGTGCTTGAGAACCCGGAGCCCACTCTACTACCCCGATCTCGCCCCAGGACAAAAGGAAAACCTAATTATTACTCACGCAAAGTCATACTTGAAGGGCAGCACTGCATGTGCCGTGGAGCCGATGCCCTGACTGCAAATGTGACGTTGGGTCCCACAGCCACCAGCTCCTCAAAACACTGGATTTCGCAAAGGACCGGGGTTCCCCCCATCTGGTATCTACATGTGATCTATCCGTGGTTATGCCAGATTCCAGATTGTGCAAGATCTCAAGATGAACTGTTCAGATGCCTAGGGTGGCGATGTCACTGCGGGAGAGAGCGGGCCAGCATTCCATGCGGGTGATCTCGACAACATCCGCTCTTTGTTAACCATGAAATGAAACTCTTCCAGAAAATCAGCTACTTAAGGTACAGGGCTAGATTATTTGATTCTGACCCGAATACTTTCTCCATATTGCAGGGCCGATCCTGGACTAAGATTATAGCGTGCCACTCCGAACCCGCTCACCCGCTTCATTGTGGATCTGCTTCGACATGGTGGGCTGGCCGGATCGGACCTGAGTGAAAGTAGGGAGAGAATTCGGTGTCTTATTGTTATTAGGTGGGAGGATAAATACCCTCCGCGTGTCCTGGTCTTACGCTCTGACCTCACAGGGGCTCCTCAAGTTCATTCCTTCGACTATCCGGCTTGGAACCATGGCCACACCATCCTCATCGTTTGTGGACTCACAAACACTTGCACCCCAAAATGAAGACAAACGACTTCAGCCATCGGTGAGCGAAAACATCGAGACTGCCAATATCGAGTCCATCAAGTCTATCAATATAGAGTCCGTAAACATCGATGGTGTACGGCACCAGCATGTCGTCTTCTCCCAAGATGACCCCGAGAATCCCAAGAACTGGTCCAAGGGCCGCAAGTGGTACTGCACCATGGTCATCGCCCTCACCTGCTTTGTTGTGGCCTTTAGCTCCGCTGTTATTACAGCCGATATCAAAGGTGTAGTTGAAGAGTTTGCTGTCAGCGAAGAGGTAGCCCTCGTCAGTATCAGTATTTTCGTCGTTGGCTTCGGTATCGGCCCTATGGTGTTCTCGCCCCTTTCCGAAATTTTCGGAAGGAGAATCATTTAGTATGTTGGAATTCATGCGTCCAGTTTTGATTTGTATTGCTGACGACTTGGAAGTGGCTCTACTCTGTTGATCGCTACCGTTCTTGTTATCCCTTGCGCCGTGGCAAAGAACATCGAGACATTGCTTGTTTGCCGAGCACTGGATGGTATCGCCTTCTCCGCGCCAATGACCCTTGTTGGTGGCACATTGGCCGACATGTGGAAGAATGAAGAGAGGGGTGTCCCCATGGCTGCTTTCTCTGCGGCTCCTTTCCTCGGCCCAGCCAGTAAGTCAATCGTTCACCCCAGGAGGAGCAAATGCTTATGAGTGGTTCAGTCGGTCCTTTGATTGGAGGTTATCTGTCAGATGCGAAGGGCTGGCGCTGGCTATATTGGATTCAGCTCATCTTTGCTGGCGTGGCCTGGTTTCTGGTCACCTTTACAGTCCCCGAGACATATGCCCCTACAATTCTGTCCCGTCGAGCACGTAAGCTGCGGGAGTCCACTGGCATTGACTCTCACGTTAGCGAACAAGATCTCGATACGCGGACCCTCGGAGAGAGATTGCGCGTGTTCCTTATTCGACCGTTCCAGCTCCTCTTCGGCGAACTTATTGTCTTTCTCATCTCGATCTATATGAGTATTCTATACGGACTACTCTATATGTTCTTTGTGGCCTATCCTATCGTATTCCAGAAAGGTAAAGGATATTCAGCTGGAACCACTGGGCTCATGTTCCTCCCAGTTGCCGTTGGTGTTCTACTTTCTTCTTGCTTGTCTCCCTCTGTCAACAAGCATTATCTTCACCTAGTCAAGAAACATAACGGAAAGCCGCCAGCCGAGGCACGACTTATTCCCATGATGCTCTCATGTTGGCTGATCCCCATCGGTCTGTTCATCTTTGCGTGGACATCGTACGCCGATCTGTCTTGGGCTGGGCCAGCCATGGGTGGTCTACCTGTTGGATTTGGTTTTATTTTCCTTTATAACTCGGCCAACAACTACCTGGTTGATTCATATCAACACCAAGCAGCTTCAGCTCTTGCAGCCAAAACTTTTATCCGAAGTTTTTGGGGTGCTGCTGTCGTTTTATTCACCGAGCAGATGTATGAACGATTGGGCGATCAATGGGCATCGAGTCTGCTGGCTTTTCTCAGTCTTGCCTGCTGCGCAATTCCTTTCTTGTTCTGGAAATATGGTGCCAGGATCAGATCACGAAGCAAGTATGCTTATGCGGGAGAGGACGAAGAATCTAGCTCTACTGATGTAGAGACTGGCAACAATGATGTGAATGAAAAGGTCTAGAGGTGTACACCTCTACGCAGATGCAAAGTTTAAAAGACGGTTTCAGAGTCATCATTACATATTAAAGTTGGAACATATACACTCGCAATCTCATATTAGAATGAAACACAGAAATATTGGATAGATTATAAGCAGGCTACAATACAGAACGAATAGTAGGCAATCATAATGGAACTTGTCATACTCGAACTTCTTGCAACGGGGCCATCGTGACTCGTAATGCTAAGGTAGGCAAACATCTCATTCGTGATTTTTAGAATAAACTATACTTCAAATTCTGTTCGCAGGCGTTCATCTAGACATTCATCTGAACACATTTTGAGTTATGCTTACCTTACATGGCCAGATGGATGCTCGACCGGACTGGCCTGCAGTCAAGGTTGAGCCGCTCAGTGGAGTTGCGGCCTGTCGCCGATGAACCGCAGACACACTAAAAACGTCTTGATGTCAGACTAATTTCTTTAGTGCCTGAAGGTGGAGAATTGCGGCTTGTCGCCGGTGAGCCGCACATGCCAGAGCTCCGACAATCGCTCACCCTTTTCTTCGCTGCCTTGACATTCTTGACACATCACAATAGTGACACTTGTAGATCGCTGACAAATAGAGGTTCTGATGTCTTCTTTACCAATCTTGACGTGAAATCTATGCCTCAGGACTGTTGGTTTTCCATGGGATCTTGCCCTTCCTCTTGCCAGCATCCTCTTATGTACTCTCGACATTCAGCACATTCTTCAGTACTTCATGTCCTCTCTGTTGAGAATAGTTCCCAATATTAAGCTCCATTTCATAATATACAAAAATGTTGAGGGAAGAACTGTTGCTGCAGGAAGGATACGTGTAGTTCTCCTTGAACAGCCTCCTGGCTTGACTGTACTAGAAAGGATCCCGGATTAACCATATCCCTCAATGATCCTCTTAGAAAAAGTCGCGATGCAATGAGACTGGGCTTAATCTTGTAGACTTGGGGATTAACAAAGGTCGACGCGAACGTGGGAGGCCTAGTATCGATGATTGCTAAAGGTAGTGTTTTTCTTTTGAACAACCCAGGGAAATATGAGTTATCTTGAAATGCTCTCTAATCTATGACTTGAAGATGCCATATAACAGGTCTTTAGCCTTCTCCTCATCGTCTTAACTCAGGCTATCACGCTTTCTGAAGCTAAAGCAAGTCAATTCGAGAAGAAGGTTTAGAGAGATCTCCCGGACCAAGTACTGTGCTGCGCTGCGCCAGTATCGACAAACTACTCTACGCATTCCCATTGTGTTAAACTTGCCGATCGAATACAATGCTACCGACCCTATAATGGCTCCCAAATGAGTTCCAACCGCCACTGGTCCATCTTCTTATGGAGGAGGTGCGCATTTGGTCCATTCGCAATGCATTTCCCATGGTAGTAATCAGTCTAGTGACAAGTTTTGATATCCATTTCGAACTCGAAATCTAGTTCAGAGTGTAGTGGCATTCTTGCGCTACTTGAAGTAAGGAATGATCTCAATTTCGTCCAAATATGGTACCTCGTGTTTGCACAAACGAACTTATCATATAGTGTCGTTGAACACTGAGAGCATGAAGGGTTCATAAAGCCTAGGCCCCTTTCTTGGGCTTGCTCTTCATTTTAGTCTTTCGCGCTTGAGTTAGTAGACGCATTAAGGATCCTTGTGGAGGAAAATGATGATATCAGCTCGTACAGCCGCATACTTTTATTTTGCACCAAGTAGGGCAGGTAAGAAAGGAATATCCCAGAAGGTTTAAGAGATGGGAGACATAGTTCGTCCTATTTTGCATGGTGGAGATCTTGGAATTTGCGGACGGCCTAAAACAATGAAAACTGGATTAAGTTGATTTGAGAAGAAGGCGGAAACATCTACAGATTTCGCGGATAATGGAAACAGATGCTATGTCTTGGGTAGGGAAACCCGAATTTTCGGTAAGTTCTCATCGAGGAGCTGCTGGAACATTGTGGAGTATTACTCAGTAGAAACTATCTAGGCAATAAATGGATACGTTGCCTTTTCCAGTTCGGAGATTCATAGCATACAATGCATACTTCCTACGTGTATCTGTACAGAAGCCTCGATTATGAAACCATCCCACGAAGCTTAAGAGAAATTCCGCCATTTTGGATCGACCAGAGGGTAATGATGAAATACAGGTACTGAAAGAATATTTAATATCCTAAATTGAATGTTACCTGGGCGCTACATCTTTTATAGCCTGTCGAAGTGGCCGCTTCAGTCACCTAGATCCTAAAATAAGACAGATAGGCACCGACAACAGCATAGGGTGAATAGCCCTGCCACGGTTATGGATGGTTCACAGTGCTTTATCCATTAAAATCTGAAAACATCACCCCAAGTCTGCCAATCTACAGCGTCCCCTTCCATGAATCCCAGTCCATCGAGATTATGCGAGTCTAGAACAGCCGCCATCGACATCCCATCATCATTCCTCTCCCTCCTCTTGTCATAAAGCGATCTGATAAAAGGGGGAGTAATATCAGCTTCAAGAGAACTCGACATCGTGAGTAATGCCTTTCGTCGCGCCTCCCAAGCGTCCAGCGTTAAATTAATCAACCCATTGAAGAAGGTCTCATCTTCCTCTGAAATCACTGCAGGAAGATTGTCGAATAGTTTTTCTATGATTCTCCAAGCCAAGTCTATTCGAGGCCCGGAGCACCGTTGCCGCAGCTCGCTTATGACATATACGTATGCTTCCATTTTAAACCAAAATGTCAAGTGGGTGACGAGATACGGCGCAAAAACTGATTCCAAGCTCAATTCGCTCATTTCCAAAGCGAGCAGGACGGCCTCAAAAGTCTCGTCGCTCTCTTTCCGCGTAACATATATTGTCCCATCTTCCGCTGCCGATCGTAACCGAGGATGGTAGATCTTAAAACGTAAACGAGCTGGAATAATTGTCCCCCATATTTGTGCCAGGTGGTGGAGTGGAATACGCTTATCCGATCTCTGCAGAATCCTCCGATAGGCTTGTTCAAGCTCGTTGACAGCTGCTTCCTTGAGTTCCACGGATATTCTCCCCTTCTTCGCGGGGCTCGGGTGGGTCATACTCTCAAAAACTCTTGACCCATTCGATCCAGTTCGGCCCCATTCAAAGACTTGGAACTTGACAAGAGCACAAATCATCTCCGTCGGATTGTCGTGTTGTGCGGGTGCCTCCGTCATGTCTGGATGTAGATCTGCATCATTCACATTGAGCGGGAGGCGCACATCACCGAACTCACGATGCGGAGGCGGCGCCATCCCTCGGACGTGGACTCCACGACTGCGAGCGTCGAGACCGGAAAGATTCCACCAAAGCCGAATGCGCATTTCATTTTCGAAAAATGAGACTTTTGGATTGTTGGGGCGGTGCAGGCCTATCTTTTGACCGATCCTCAGGGCAGCACCCGTCAAGGTCGAGGTGAGCTCTGACTCTGGGTCGGAGAAGAGAAATAGTACAAATGCCTGGAGGACTTCAAGGTCTCTCGTGGTGAGGAACTCTGCAGCTACGAGGGCGCGAATCGAAGCAGTGCGATATCGCATCAATAAGTTGAGTCTTTTTTCTTGGAAAGAGGCCTCGCATTCTTCGTCTGATATGGAAGTGACAGCCAAGGTGTATATGGCAAAAAGCATAGCAGTGAGGGGTTTTGATATGCTTGTAAGGTCCCAACTGGCGTCCAAGACGCGTTGCTGGAGGGTCGGGACATGGATGATTTTGGTAAGCGGGTTGACGCGCTCAACAAAGATCTGCCAGAATCGGTAAATATGTTTCGGCTCCGGATGCATATCGTGCAGGTTTAAGTTGGGTGTACTAAGAAAGGAATCGAGAGGAGGGGTCAGGTGCAGGAACGGGTCGTATTTGTGACGAAGGTTGACTATAGGCGGGTTTTTGAGCTGACATCAAAGGTTATACTATGTTCTCAACTGTTTAAGCGGCTCAGGTGTATACCTCTGGGATCAGGTTCGACCACAAGGACCTTGAATAATGAATCATTTAGTCTCGATCACCATAATTATAATTTGGAGTACACTTTCACTTACTTCTCAAGAACCATTGAGGAAGCCCCATCTGTAGATCTCAGTGCATCGTGCACACTGTTCGAGGGCAATGAGAGGTCCGTGTCCGGCGATGGCTCAGTTTCCCCTGAATCGGCTTCCTGGCCTGATGGAACCCAGGTGGTTGCGCAATGTGAGAAATCGATGCCATGCTTCCGCATCAAGGTTTCATAGGCTGCCAGCCGGGCGACGAGTTCATCATCCGCGGCCCGTTTCCGAGGCCTTGGGGGTGGATGAACCTCGTAGAGGCACTGCGCCTCTACTTTGATGCAGTTGGAACACGGATCCAGCTTGTCACATTTTACTTTACGTCGCGCGCAAAGAGAACAGGCAAACTTGTGACGAATTTGGGGGATCTGTTCTGTTTGTGAGGGTCCCATGGTGTGTAAAAGACCCATGAAAACATTGATGACGGAAACAATGCAAGATAATGTGAGGAAGACATGTGACAGGGGAGGATGATGAATGATGATGCGGTTGAGAAAGAGGAAGAAGCTGTCGGGGCCCTCGGGTCTGGAAACGGTTTAGCGTCTCACCATCGGCCCCGACTCGGCCACCACCCTCGAGACTCTTTGGCCAACAAAATACAAGCATTCTCTTGAAAACGAAACTAGTAGAGTGCCGGTATCCGAAATTACTCTGCTCGTAAGCATCATCCATGATTAGGCAGATCCATATCCCTAATGGATAGAGCATAGTGTCTAGGACACCAAACATTGCTCGGGCCTTCGGGCCCGACGGACGTGGTCAAACAATCACGGCAAATCTTTCGTTCGGTTGCTATTTATTTCCAATCTTTTGACATCTAATGTCTAGTATTTAATTCTTCAGGTAGCACTGCTTCTCTCATTAATTTCCTTCCTTCACTTCTCACAACATACATACAACTGACGACCTATACAGCCGCCCATTGAACTTGCCAACACCATGGCTCTCGATGACTCTAAACCAGAAAAACAAGGGGCAAATTCAGTCACCCCGAGCGAACTGAATTCCGACACTCCTTCCGACGTTGAAATAAAAAATCAGGATGTTGAGGCTGCCAAGGAAGCACCCGACCAAGATTCCCAGTATCCTACAGGCGTACGGTTCGCCCTGATCATGACCTCGGTCTATGTTTGCATGTTTCTTGTTTCTTTGGTAAGTCTGTGTCATCTTTGTTCCTTTGATCTATTGCTAAAGCACCATAAGGATCGCATGATCATAACGACAGCAATCCCCGAAATCACAAACCAGTTCCATTCCATAAACGACATTGGATGGTACTCATCCGCCTATCTCTTGACAACTTGCGCCCTGCAGCTTCTCTTCGGCAAAGTTTACGCCTTTTTCGACGCCAAGGCTACGCTTCTTAGCACCATCTTCCTGTTCGAAGTAGGATCCGCCATTTGCGGAGCGGGACCCAACTCCATTGCCTTCATCATCGGCCGGGCCGTTGCAGGACTTGGCTCGGCTGGCATTATGACCGGCGTCGTATGTTATAACTCACTTTCTTGTTATCTTTCTGGCGAATGAGTCCACTAACCAAAGTCTTCCACATAGCTGATGACGATTGTAAATACCGTGCCATTACCAAAACGACCAATGTACCAAGGCCTCTTTGGAGCCGTCTTCGGTATATCTTCTATCATCGGCCCTCTTCTCGGTGGAGCATTTACGTCAAACGTAACTTGGAGATGGTGTTTCTACATCAATCTTCCCGTCGGTGGCGTGGCGATGGTTGTCGTGTTTTTCCTCCTGAAGATCCCCGATCGCGACTCAACAAAGATTCCTCTCAAAGAAAAATTGCTTCAATTGGATTTTTACGGATCTATACTGGTCATTGCAGCTTGTGTCTGCCTAGTTCTTGCCTTACAATGGGGTGGCGTCACATATCCTGTAGGTGCCGATGATAAACACACGCGATCTAGCCATTGCTAACCATCCCATAGTGGAATAATGGTCGGATGATTGCCCTTCTGGTCATGGCGGGTGTATTGTTCTTGACTTTTGGCTTGGTTCAAGTCTATTTACCTCGAACTGCCACCCTACCGCCCAGGGTCGTAAAGCAACGTAGTATCATAGCTGGTATGATCTCTAGCTTTTGCGTTGGATCGCAACAAATGATCTTCAGTAAGCTATATAAACTACCCAAATTGTTTTTTGGCCGCTAACTCGATCTCAGTTTACTATCTCCCCATATATTTCCAGGCAATTCAAGGGGTATCAGCCATGCAGTCAGGAATTCGACTTCTTCCCCTGCTCCTATCCATGGTTGTATCCACCCTGGCGACAGGAGGAGGTACTCGGCTCACCGGCTACTACACTCCATTCCAAATCACCGGTACTGTTCTCATGAGTATAGGCGCCGGGTTGCTCACCACCCTTCAGGTACATTCAAGCAGTGGCGTGTGGATCGGCTACCAAGTCCTCTATGGATTTGGCATGGGCATGGTCATCCAGGCACCCAACCTGGCCGCTCAAACCGTCCTACCGAAAAAGGATGTATCCATAGGAGCGTCCTTCATGTTCTTCACACAACTCCTCGGCGGTTCCATATTTTCAGCAGTTGGTCAAACCGTCTTCAACGAGCAACTCCAGAGGCGTCTATCCAACCTTAAGGGCTTCGATCCCAAATTCATTCAGAGTAACGGTGCCACTTCCTTGACCGAAGTACCGGACTCGATCAAAGATGTGGTCTTGGAACGATATAATGAGGCCATCCGCCAAGTCCTGAGGGTTGGGATGATCTTGGTGTGCATCACAATAATAGGAGCGCTGTTGATGGAGTGGCGAAGCGTGAAGGATGGCGGCGCTAAGCAAGACGAGAACAAAGAAAAGACAGCCGCAGCGGAGGAGGACAAAGTTGAAAAGTAAGATTGCTAACATGACGGTACCTTCGATTGGGCACGTGAGCTTAATCGTGTCATTATCATCACAACTCATAGAATTTCCATTGATAGAGCATACATACATGGCATAACATCTGTACACATAATTATACACTCTTCTCATACACAGAAGCGATATCACTCTCTTTTCTATTGTTGTTATTACATAGTCATTCACGTTGCTTCTCATTCTCATGCTGATCTACTCCTTTCCATGCTCTCTAATATCAAGACAATGCTCAGTTGCATCGCTCAGAACTTTCGATCCCTTGCCCAGTCCAATCTCTCTGTTTCATCAATCATAGTGTTGCCTCCAAATCCGGCCTATCGGTCCTTTGCCTTCCATGTTTGATCTGCCATGGATTCAATCCATGGCACATCTCGATATCCTTCAATAGGCCATCTTTGGATTGGGGTAATGATATTGTACGAAAAGGACTGGGAGAGGAGAAGGACCAATAACACAAAACCTTGCCAAACTTTTTCTTTTTGCTAGTTTTGAACTAGAAACGATTAGCGAGAGACTGTATGAGTGCCTTGCGAGTGATTCATATCTTCTGAGTGATGAGGTTGTGATATTGGCGATCATTAGCCAGGCCATGCAGATACTAGAAGCTAAGAGCCCAGTCGTAATATACATTTAAAGAAAGGAGGGGAGTCCAAGCAGTAGCAAAGGTACTTATACCAGACAAAATAGCCTAGCATAATAAACGTTTAATATACCAGTCTATTCATGTGATTTAAGTCTCTTAACTATAAAACTAGAGCGGACTTCAACATAACGTCTCCCGAGAGATCATGCGGCAGCAACTGTGCTTTGAGCGCTTGGTTACTGGCTCGAAGAGAAAAGACGATGATGAGACAAGGCTTACTCCTCCTGTGAGTATCTTATGCTTGCACAACTGCTGAAAAGATGGGCATTCATCTCCTGATATATACGGTTTTCTTTAAAATTTGTTTATGCCCAAGTATTTTAAGCATGGCTTTTCAGGTTAAGCCCATAGTGAATAAACTAGGTCCAAGGCTATTACCCACTTAGCATGATTTGAATATGCCAGTTCTCTCAAGCAAATAGAACACTGTCTGATGTGGACTATACGACAAACATGAAATCTGTAACAGGGGTGTTCCTCAAGAAACCGCCTTTTGTGTTTTAAGAATTATACGACCTAACCTATTTTGAGAGATCTCCCATATACTATTTAGCTACTTCCTATATAAATGACTATACCATGCTCACTATTGTGCAACAGCTCTTACACTGCCACTAACGCCTTGACGATGACTGTAGCTGTTTCTTCCATGAGAAGGTCTCACGCTAAGTAGCTAATAAGTAGCTCGTGAGCCCCATCCAATCCAAATATTTCCTGATCTAGAAGCGGTCCAAACCATGATCCAAGTATATGTTTTGACAGGGGGGCGTGTCCACTGCGTAACCCAGCAAGGCCCCACGCTCATTAGGCTACGATTTCCGTTTCCTAATCAGCTATATTCCCGTTCCGGACTATCTCTGAACATCATACGCTGAAGATGTTGCTCAAGTGCCGCCGAACTAAACGTTCATGCCTGAATCTGAGAATTCAGTTCTGTCCCACACGGTAACCCAGCGGGCACGGCCTGTTAGCCTTTCGCAAGCAAGGGCTACTTCTTTTAAAAGGCATCGATTTAAAGAGACTTCACTTTTGCAGGTCTCAAGATCGTGTAGTTGCCATAAGATGAATATAGCCAGCCAACTGCAACTGGGGGGGTTTGAAATAACACATCAAAGCCACCATCATAGCATTCTGTATAGACCACAATTCGCAGGTATCAATCAATGATTCAAGATTGCAGACCCCATACAGAACATTTTGGTTCTTCTTCATTCAATATTTTTTCTATTACTGACAACCAAGAACACAATGCCCGCCTTGTATATGCAGTGCTGAATATGGGATGTAAGTGTGTCGCTTTTTATGTCACCCTCTAGCCAGCAGATAGCCCAGCAGTTGGATGAGAAAACACAGCACACCAAGATCATCGATTTGAATATAATAGTAACAACAATTGTCTGAATAATTATGAAGCTATCGAAGTTACAGTTACTGCAGTCCAAATAATATTTAGCCCATAACTTCAGTCTTTGCCAACCAACTGTCTCTATGGTGCTGGTGCTATGGTACCCAGTCACGTGATCGATCAACGTCGGAGTTGTGCAGACATCGCCAAAAATATGGAAGGATCGCTCACCACGATCATCCCAATCATTTGCCGCCGCCAAGCAGAATCCCACCGCCTGTTTTACTAGACCTATATCGACGCCGTATAATGCAGCATGCTGTATCCCCGACCGCAAATTTCAGCCACTGGAAACGGCAAAACCGAGCGAGGACGAGAATAGTTGCAGAGCAGCCCCCGACATCATCGAGTCGCATCCCAGCGATGGCTGCGGCCGCCACGAACACGCATACGTACACGAGAAGCAGGGTCTGCGGCATTGTATCTTCGCGAGTCCCACGACTGAACCGTCAACATCTGTAGCCCCCGTACCCGCCGGGGTTTTGATTCCCTTGCCATCCCCGACCGAGCTGCGTCGTATTCCACCGAGCGCGATACGGCATTGTTTCCTCACGCTCTCACGCCCGAGCGTTCAAGATTCCCATCACAGGCATTCATTTTGCGAAGGAGACGCTACAAGCAATAACGCACCGTGGTGGATCTCCGATCCCGGCATAGTGTGAGTGCTCTCGGCTTGGGGTGGCAGACCGGTCACAAGGGCAGCGCTGTAAAGGGACAAGCATGCGAGACGCAGGCCACCTTGCCATCCGCACACCTCCCAAATATGCTGTCCCACCGAATATATGCCCGGGTGCTTCCGCCCTTCGAAACATCTGAACCTGTTCGTGGACGGGGCAGGTAAGCGCATGGATTGCCGCCAGGGTAGCGGACTCGGTGAAGGAATCGAAACCGTGGAACACAGCCAGCCACTGGCAAAAATAGCCTTCTGCTGACAGAACTTTCTCAAGCCAGGAGGTACCTGTCTGTGGCAGAATCCTCGCCGGGCGGGCGCCCTCACGAGCCATCTAGTAAGCCCACCGTAGACCTTAAAGCAGGAGGTAGCAGTCGCCCGTTAATTCAGCGTACACCGCTGCTGCGCGAGGACGAATAGAGATGTTTTTACCACGGGTGAAAGCATGCAGAGCGGGAGGGAGGCATGTACGCGCAGCGTCCAGGATGCCACCACGGTGGTGCTGCCTTTATCGTCAGCGTCGCATGGATCCCATGGTAGGGGCATGCCATACTGACGGGTCTGCATCCTGGTTGAGGAATTTTTCCATAGGGCCCAGCCGGGCACCGTGCAGATGAATGGTGAATGGAGGCACACGCCCGTCCATAGTCGTCCCAAGATATTACCCCATACTAATATGGAAGGCTCTTCATGCCTCCCTGCTCCCACGAGCCAACACAACTGCGAAAGTTTCTCCCTCGGCCATCCCGGCGAAGAAGCTGGGGGCTAGAGGCCCTTCTTCTGGCCTGTCACAAGACAGTCCTCAGGAACAGTCTCTTGGGGGGAGGCGTCCGCCCTCGGACATCAGCCCAGCCCCTTGATGTCACGCAGGTGCTACCCAAGGGGACATGTGCCCTAGCCTCGTCTCCTCTTTTGCCCACATCCTGCGAAGATGCATAAAGGGAACTGCCGAGCTGTAGGAAGCACAGTCTTTGAGACAGCCAGGCACGGGCCGCAGCCGCCCCCCTGTAAATAACCATGCGCCGCCCTTTGCCCACTGCGCCGGGGAGACGCCCCGGCCATCAGCAAAGCAAAGTCTTCTAGCAGGTCCAGGACGAAGCCCTCACCTGGCCCCGGGGGTCGCCATCCGCGGCTGTCCTGTGGACAGGAGGTAGGCTGGCAGGATTCTTAGTGCCTGCATGCGATGTAACGGAGGTCGCTGCTGGGCTGGGTCCTTCGCTTCTATGTCCCAAGCAGGACACCATCTCAATCCTTCTGGGCGAGCAAGCGAGACGAGTGCGCCATACAGTTGATGCTCCCATGCCCGTGCGTCCAAGGAAGTCGGCCGCCGACCGGGCCGGTGCTGAAACTTTGTGCCGGAGGTTGACAGACACCACGACTGGCTTCATGTCCGGGTAGTGTCTGTAGTGTGACGGTCATCTGCCGTCGCAAGGCGTGGGATTAGCAAGCTTCATCACAGCCACAGGATGCTCGTGGCCGGCTTATTTCGACAAATTGGGTGCAGACTCACTGCAAGGTTGTTTCGTGTGGCTGTTACACCTATTGAGTCTCATGAGCTCCGATGCTATGTATGGCATCACCAAGATCCCCAGGTGTATTGTATTCCCCTGATGAGATCCGCCACATGACCTGGGCGTGGCCGCCCGAGATGAGAGGAGCGTGAGTGATGGACATGCCCATCCAAACGTGCGAGCGGGGAGTCGACACCCACTCAAACAATATGTATCGGCCAGCCTGCAACCGAAGCTGTCTCTGCTCGAGAGGGGTTATAGTCAATGGAACTTGCGCATGACGTAGAGCTGAGATGTCTCAAATCTCAACCCGTCGGTCAACGAAGCCCAACCGAAAGGTAAGCACGTCAGGAGCTGCTTGGTAAGTGTCGCGGGTCGAAACAGCAACGACTCAATTAGCTAAGTCTTAGTCGAGCCTTATGAGATCAGTGGGGTCCTCTGACAGCTCAATTAGAGATCTCTCAGCGGGCATCTGTCAGCCATCTTGCTGCCCATCAGTGAGATCTTGGTAGCCTGCCTTCCCCACTTCCATCCCCAGATTCGGGCTACCCTAGACCGTAGACTGTCCTCATTAAACGTCATATCCCGCAACGTAGACCAGATGTAGCCCAGCAATCCCATCTGCTCACTCTCATTCCTTCCGCTCTGCAGACGTGAGATTCAGTTTCATTTACCAGGCGTAATGGCTACTCCCCGTGTCTTTCTTGTCCGCCACGGCGAGACAGAGTGGTCCCTCGATGGCCGCCACACTGGCCGTACTGATATTCCGCTGACAGCCAACGGTGAGAAGCGTGTCCGAGCAACTGGCCAAGCTCTCGTTGGTGACGATCGTCTCATTGTCCCCCATAAACTCGCTCATATGTGAGTTTCTCCTCCAGCCTCCCATTGTGTCGTTTGATCGCCGCCCCCATCCCGAGCGGTCCATTCGGTCGGGGCCATATGAGAGAGCCAGCCGAGCCTCATTCACCGAGACACCGGGCTAACGCCATACAACGCTTTTTCCTCGCTACAGCTACGTGTCCCCCCGCAAGAGAGCCCAGCGAACGTTCGAGCTCCTCAACCTGGGCTTCTCCGACAAAGACCTACCCTGGAAGGCGCACGGCGAGGCTCCCGTCCGCCGCGAGGGCATCTCCGAGTGCGCCGCCAGGATCCAGATCACCGAGGACGTCCGTGAGTGGGACTACGGCGACTACGAGGGAATCACCAGCCCGGAGATTCGCAGACTCCGCGCTGAGCAGGGCTACAAGGGTACCTGGGATATCTGGAGAGACGGGTGTCCCGGTGGCGAGTAAGTCAAAACTGTGCCTCTTCTTCATCATGCTTCCCCTCCTGCTATTCCAATCCTCCTCACAACGATCCTTCGTTTTACCTGTCTTCCATTTTTTCTCACCCGTATCATGTGTGATATAGGGGCCCCGAGGATGTGACGGATCGTCTAGACCGTCTCATCAAGGACATCCGCGACAACTACCACCAGCCAGTGATTGGCAAGCCCAAAGAAGAAGCCGCCGACGGCGACGTCCTCATCGTCGCACACGGCCACATCCTGCGAGCCTTGGCGATGCGCTGGGCGGGGAAGACTCTCCAGGACGGGCCAACCTTCCTCCTCGAGGCGGGTGGTGTCGGAACTTTAAGGTATGTTCAGTATCACGTCCTTGACGCCGCCTCCTTCTTGTCGCAGCATTCTTAATCTGACATGGGACCACAGCTATGAGCATCACAACATCGAGGAGCCGGCCATTCTCCTCGGTGGTGCCTTTGCTGTCGAGATATGAGAAGATGAGATGGATAGTTGAGCCTTGTTCATACACCTCACGGTATTTCACACATCAGAATAGACAAGAAAAGAGCCATCTTATACTGTATCGTTTCTAATACGCAATGCCCGCATGTAACAAACGGCAAACTCATTCATCCTCCCAACCCAAACTCTACAACTTACTCCCCCTCGCAAAGAACACCTTGCGAACCATATCCTCCCCGCCCTCCCTCGCCCCCCGAAACACAAGCGGCCTCTCCAACCTCTTGAACCCAAACTCCCCTCCCGCCCCCGCCGCCTCAAAAATCCCCCGCACTCCCTCCTCCGTGAACCCGTGATGCTTCACCCCGCTGGCTCCCCCATGCCCATGCCCCGGCCCATCATGCGGCTCAAAGTCGACGATGAACAGCACTCCCCCAGGAGCCAGCCGCTCGGCCAGCCTCGTCGCAGCCAGCGCCGGGTCGTCGAAGTGGTGGAAGCCCATGCCCACGCCCGCAAAGTCGAAGCCTGAGAACTCGCCGCCCGAGAAGAGCGCCGCCGGCTCCTCGTCTTTGGAGATGAGGTTGCCCAGGTAGGCCTTTCGCTTCGGACCCTGTATGCTCGTTAGTCTGGGCGATAGTACGACAAGGGTCTGGAACAAGGAAACAGACCTCTGGGGATGACTTGGCATTATATCTCTCAATCATGGTTTCGGAGACGTCGACGCCGATGCATTCGCTCGCCTGGTCGGAGAGAGCCTATTTTCCCACTCGTAAGCACGGTGTCTTTGAACCATAATCGGTGGTCGTTAAACCTACGTTGGTGAGGAGCCCAGTCCCGCAGGCGTAGTCGAGGACTCGCCCGCCGGGCCGCATGGCGATGAAGTCCTTGTGCCTCCTCAGCTCCTCCTCCAGCATCGTCAGGGCCTCTCTGAACTTCTCGTCATAGTCGGAGCCCAGTTTACTTCACAAGCGTACAGCGTTAGCAATCAAGTCAACAGATCGGGACGAAGAGGGGAGGGGTTGGCATACTTGAAGTAGGTTTTGTTCAAAGCAGTGGTGTCGGACATCTTGCGCAACGAATATCTCCGTAGAGAAGGCAATAAATAAAGTATGATGAATAACAAGTCTATTCTTTCGCAAGTTCAAGTTATTGTATTTGTTTTATTCCAAGTAGCTACTCTCAAGCTGTCCATTTTGTTTAAGTACACAAGTGACGGAGACTTTTCGGAGAGTTCAGCGGCCATTTACCACTCTCGATCCAAGGCAGAAACCTCCATGTATTGGTTTACGGTATTCTATATCGGAGATTTATTACGACGCGCATCTTCATCGTAGGTGACTCACCAAGCATACTGGAAAACGCTACGCCGCGGGCGACGACACCTATCGCCACCAGCATCCTACATACCCTCAGTGGGAGAAAAAAATCCGAGAGGGGCGTTGACCCCATCAGCTCAGCCCAAAATCCCCAAAATGCGGTGAAAGCCAGTCTCAGACGCCCAGGCATGCAGGATGGATGATCGTCCTGGCCCACGGTCGGAAAGCAAAATGCTCAATGATGCCTGATCATCTCAATTGTCACCAGCCTCACTTCTCGTCTCTTGCATTGCAGTTTCACACGAAACCGAGACATTCCTACGCAATGCAGGAAGGAAGGAAGGAAGGATGATAAAAAAGCAAACATGCACATGTTGCCCCCCCTCTCATCTGCCCATCTGCATGGGCGAATCTCGAACATGGAGGAGAAACAGACAGACACCAACCAGCTCTGCTGCATGGTAAGCAGCCGCATCAAGCCTGCAGGCCTTGGCTACAGCAAGTCAGCCACACACACGTTAGACTGAGGAGGGGCAGCCATTTCGGAAGTAAGACGTGGCCAGCTGCGATACGGTAGGCTGTTCAACAGAAAAAAAGAACAATGAGCAACAGTAAGACGACCTGTCAACCATTGGATCCCGAGTTTTCACGATGTACTCACGGGTTTCTTCGCAGTATTACCATGCGGGTTTCCCTCTCTATCGAAACACCTACATACAGCCAGCCCACAGGCCGACCGCTGTGCATGATGGGCTATTGCCCTTGTGAGCCGTTCATGGGCCGATCACTTCAACTCTGCTGCACGAGCGCCTCGGTCCGCCAGAAAGCTGTTGCCGTAAAGACCCTTGCTCCGATGGATCGGACCCCGTCCACAAAAGCTTTGACATCTCGTCATGAGCAAGCACACGTACCTTCAGAACGGACTGTCACTCGCAACAAAGATGCGGGGTATGGAAGGGTCGCGTATTGGGCTGCAGAGAGGGAGGAGAGAAAATAGGCCGACGCCGCTCGATATAACTGGCTGGGCAATACAGTAGTCTGCTTCGGCAGGTCCTTTTGGGTGTGGACAGGATGGATGGGAGGGGGTGCTTGGCAAGCTCCCGGCTCAGTGACATTTCGATAGTTGGCCAGGCCCGGGCCACAACATTATGAGGAAACATGCCGGTGGTTGGGAGGGAGGGGAGAGGCAAACGGGCCTCAGGTGGTCTCTCGTTTTGCCCCGACCCAATATACGAAACCTGCCAGTATTGTTCTAGCGGCGTTGGCGATTCCTTCATGCGAGTCCCAATGCGCCTTCGACGCAAAGGCGCCTCTGCATGGCCGTAGTTTGGGAGGGGCCCAGCTGCATGAGTACGGCCCAAGGTCGCTGGTCGAAGGCTGCAGAAGCAATTGCTAGCAGTCCTAGCTCACTCCAGCTCACGTATCAGGTCCCGATGGTTTGACTGGGCTGGTCGAGAGTGGGCGAACGGGCCGATGCCGCTCGCTCAGCCTGGGACTGCGGGAAGTGGAGGCGGCCACTGGGCCATGCATTTCTCACCCAACTTCATCTGGACAGACACGCAGGTAGGTAGGTACATACAAGCAGCCCATGGCGGTTTCATGTTGGGGAGGGATGGACCAGTTCATTCAATCCCCTTGTCGTTCCCAACTATATGTGCACTGGGGCCCTTGAGGCGAGTGTAACCTCTCTTTTGCCCCGTTTGTATATTGCTGCAGGAAGACCGCAGCAAATGATGCAGCTGGGTTCAGTGGTGTCGATGGGTGCACATGCTCTCTCATTTCTTGAGAGCGAGGGCCCCTTCTTGGCTCAGGCCGTGTTTCTCATGCTGCAGAAAGGCCCCTCCGTCACACACACACCGCCGATTCAATCCAGTCAATCATCGTGGCCATCTCCGTCACAGAGCTTTTGCCACGGCACACACCACAGAAGACGATGGACTGGCTCGATCACCTTGGGGTGAGGGCGATCTCCTGCTATGGTGAGTGCCCAGGGGCGGGCTTGAGTAAACGCGACAGGGTCCAGGAATAGCCGCACGCTTCGCCTCCCATGCCAGCTCACAGCCGGCAGCTCCACGCTTTTCTCCCGAAATACTCCACGTTTGCTCGAAACAATAATGCCCAGGGTGGATTTGTCGCCCCCATGCCCAGCCGGCCGGGGTACAAGCGGCCCTGTTATCACAAGTCTGTTTTGTGGCAACATCACGCCCATTCATGCACCTTGGCCGCTAGGAGTAGTGGATGTGTCAGATATCAGGTCGTCAAGAATGGCCCAGGACTAGACAATGCAATTGAGACCCTGATACACACCTATGGAGTGTTGGCGACGGCCAATGGCTCCTGGAAACAAAGATAAAAAGCAAAGAAAATGAACAAGGGCCCCAGAGTGCAGAATCCAGGGCCTGCCATCTCCCCTGCTCAAAGAGGATACCAATACTCGTAGTGAATGGAGCTAGACCGCGGGTGGTTGCGCGTTGGTCCTGGTGCCCACTGCTGGCCAGCTCACATGCGTCACCGTACAGGCCGTCGTGCATGCAGACGAGGTCCCGTGGGCGGCAGCCTGCATTAAATTTGCACATCTTCCATCGAGAGCTTGGATGCATGCCTGGATGCTTTGTTGTGTCGTGAGGAGTCGCATGCACCGACCCAACAACTCCGCGGAAGAACAGGCGAGCCACCCAGCGGCCGATGGGCTGGATCCGTTGACGTCGCGTCTACGAGGCAGCCATGGCCATGGGATGCTGACGCTGGGTGATGCTGCTAGGTGATGCCAACAGCAATGGGTATATTCTATATCGAAATTCCCCAAGAGGAGCTCCTGGAGTGACGGCAGAGGCGGGCTGGGCCATGATTCAACCTCGCCCGCAAGACCGCCGCACGGGGCATCCGCAGAACTGTGCTGACTGGCCCGTTTGGCGTGGGCGAGTGGCAGTCGCGGTAGCACAAACAACGAACAGCTGAAATGGGCAATCGAGTTTAGGCCGTGCAGTGAGGTGCAGGCTGCGTTCTCGATCGGCCAGTTTCGTCTGGCCATGTCCCCTAGCCGCTTTCCCCCTAGCACCGGCCAAATCTGCTAGCTGAGGGACGCCTTCGGAGATGGGGAGAGGGGTGTGGACGCGAGCGGTCTGACGGTGCGCCGCGAGCCGTTCCCGCACTGTACCGGCAAGTCCTTGTTCTCGTTGGAGATGGAGAGTTGGCGGATGACGTGCAGGGCCGCCGCGGCACCAAAATCGCGACCGTGCCGCCCCGTGAAATTGCGACCCGGCAGCCCAAACCTCTCCTGGCTTGGAGAGGGTTTCGCAGTAATTAGAGTTCGTCCTCCTCATCATGGGTGATCTGCGCCATGTTTTTTCATCCCGCTCTTTCGCACCCTGCATTCATTCCATCCTGCCCGCCCTTGGGTTTGTCTTTGCTCTGCTGTCTTCCTCCCACCCCATGGCCCATGTACGCACCCTCCCATTTTCCCCAAGGCCAAGCAAGTCGCCTAAGACCGGAGTGGGGATAGGTTTCAGACTGTCTGTGTGTCGGTGTCTGTGTTTGTGTCTCGCCGGGTTCCAGAGACAACCCCTCTGGCTCGTTGGCTGGCATTGGGCACTCAAATCATGCCTGTCTGCATGCGTAGGTAGCGACTCGGAATGATTGATAGCGTGCCTGTCTCGGACCGACAATAAGAAGGAGATATGCAGGCAGCAGGGCCGACTCGTTCATCTCTTGACGCTCGCAAGGCCCAGCTCGAGAGTCTGAACTGGCTTAGGTAGCGGCCAAACCGAGCTGAATGCAGCCATACGCCTGTCTCTCATGCTCCCCTGCAGTGAATGAGCAGAAAGGCAAGCTGCAGCACCAGGGATGGCTGGAGATAGGCCATGGATGCCACCCTTGATCTGGCTCCCTCCACCAAACGACAAGACAAGTCACGGCGACGACCTCCCACACAGCGCGCGCTCCTTAAGCAACCCACGCATGGCAAGCAGCAGCCAGCAGTCGTGTTAGCCTTGGATTCGTGGGCCGTCATCGAGCTAGACCCAGCGCCCCAGAAGGACCAAGCCCAGGACGGTTGGCTGTGCGGGAATCCTGCAGGTAGCGCCCATTGTCCGCATCAGCTTTTCCTCACGTGACTGTCCTCGGACGTGTGCGATTGGCGGACCGAGCCATGTCTAAGCACAAGGCCAATCACCACCCTGGAGCCCGTAGGGGGGGTTGCTGCCCAAAGGCTCGGGTCGTAAATAGCGCCGTATGGGCCCCTTCGCCCATTTCCCCCTCCCCCTTCCCTGCTCAGCTGCATCTGTAGTGCGCGGGGCGACTAGCTAAATCCCAAGCGAAGTGTCGGTGAAGGCGCATTGAAATTTCCTCGCAATCTGCGGCCGGGCAGAGTGGACCTCCGCCAGGATTGCAGCCTGCCTGCTAGCACACGATAGCAGCAGATATGTACGTACCCGGCCCCCTGGAGGCGGGCCACAGTGCGCGTGTCATCGCCTGCCACGCCCCTACGCTACAGTGCATTTTCCCCCTCGCTCACCTCGCAGCTTTGTACCGACCTTCCAATGGCGATTTCGCTCTTTTCCTCCGCCCTTCTTCTTCCACCCTCCCTCCAACAACGTCAGCCGCAGCAGGCCCCGACCAAAGTACCTAATCTGCGTGCATCTGCCCGCTGCGCTCACTCCTCCGGCAGGCTTGGCTTCCTTACCTCCATACAAACAGCGCCAATGTGTAATGGCAGTGCCCTGTAGTAGCAGCGACATGCGCACTGGGCCGG